GGTCGGCGAGGAAGGCATAGTGAGGCTGGCTGGGATGGAGTTTTACCTGAGCGCCGGATCTTTAGAGACGGGATGTGGGTGGGGACGTAGGTGGGGACTAGGACGAGGAGTGAGCGGCAGGTGAGCTGAAGAGCGACGGCCTACCCATGTCAGACGCATGCGCTCATGACCGCGCGAACTCCGCGAGGCATCGGAGATTGAGCCCAGCACCCAGGTCGGAGGGTCATCTCGGATGAATGCTCTCGTCCACGACGTGAAGTTCGAGGCGCTCCATGCGGTGTATTCAATGCGTGCCTTGACCATGCCACCTACTGGCTGTCACTTGAATCATCCACTGAATCGGCGGTGTCAGTAGTGATTCCCAAACCCAAGAAAGACGATACTACTTACTCGAAGTTGAAGGCGTACCGGTAGATCGCGCTCCTGAGCTGCCTTGGAAAGCTCTAGGTGAGAGAGCGCCGGCGGTGCGACTCCCTAGTACTTCAACAAGGGCCAGAAATGGGGTGCCTTCTGGCACTGTTCGGACCCGTCGCAGTTCAGCGGGTCGAAGCAGAGGCCTAAGGTCGACGCTAGCCTCATGCTCGTGCACCACAATCGCCAAACGTGGGCGCGCAGGATAGCCCGGCGCATCCGTCCTCGCGTTCGACGTCGTACAGTTCTACCTCTCCGAGGTCAAACGCCGTTTTGCTGATGCGCACGATGCTCACGAGGGCGCCAGAGATACGCGCCATTGCCAGAGACGCGCCCACGTGGGCGGCAACTTGCAAGGCGGGAGTGCGCCCGTCTTCCGCCTCTGTCTCGTTTTTACGCTTCACACTCCGTTCAGGCGCCTGGCGCCGCTTGGTGCCAGCCATCTCCTTCTCCCACTCTGCTGGCGGCGCCCACGACACGCACAACACGCGAGGATATCCTTCCAGACGTCATGAAGGTCGTCCATCCGCCTCGCTCCCTCCACCGCGCACCCTGTCTCGGCTGAGCACCCAATTGCGGGCGCGCAGTGCCCGGTGCCGCCTTCCCCTCCTGCTTCGCCCGCCCGGCCTGCCACCCGGTGGAGACCCGCGGGGAACGTCCACCCGGGCATCCTCGAGCTCTACCCGGAGATGAGGGTGTGGGGTCGCCATGAGTCACAGCGACCACTAGCTCTGTGAGTACAGCCCGTTTGGTGCTCTCCACCTCTGCTTCGCCACTTCCACCCTGCCCTCCTCCCCTCTCGCGCGCGTCCTGCTTGTTCGCGCGGGCACGTCCGACTCGTGGCCAGTGCGGCACGGCGTCGCTACCGGTCTTGTCCCCCACCCTCCGCCTCGTCCTCCTTTGCCTCGCCCTCCCCCGCTCTCGCGCGCGTCACGCTCGTCCATGCAAGCACGACCTAGCCGCGCTCTGCGCGTTCGTTCGACTCGCCGGCGCGCAGCACCACGTCCCCGTCAAGATCGTCGGCAAGGCTCGCAGGGAATCGGCGGTCATCGATGAGGTCGAGTGCAAGCACCTCGGCGGTTTCGAGTGAGTCCTGAGACCTTTAGTAGACGTTGCTGCACTCATCTAGGGACCACCCTCATAACATCTTACGCCCTACACGCCAGTAACGGCGCTTCTTGCCTGTTGAAGATTGCACCTTGGATGTTGACCGCAGCGACCACAAGCCATTTGCCGAACTCCCTTGTGAGTGCATGGTACAAGCTCCTCAGACTCATCCTCGACTTCGGCACCTCCGGCTCCATTCGTTCCCTATCCTTATCTGCCCCTCGCCCACCCCAAAGACGTGCGGCTCTCCCTTGCGCGGATCTCCGGCAAGCTTTCTCCACACCAGCCCGTGATGCTCGACCTCTGTCTCGGTTGGCAGTACCTCAAGCGAAGGCACGATACCATCCAGATGGACTGGCTCGGGCTCCCCCTGGCTCCCCTCGCACCCGGTGGACAGGCCATGCAGCTGGCAAGACGCGTTCACGCCGTTCGTCGAGGGCGTACTCGACCACACGGAGGCGGCGGGCGTCGCGCTGATGGATGCGGCCTGCGCGCGTGTCTGTCGCGCGCGATCGCTTCGTCCTCCTCGACGACTCCCGTCGCTCGTCACCTTCGCTCGTGACGACGCTCCGACGCTCCGACGCTCGTCGACTTCGATTCCGATAGGCGTCCCTCGTCCCGCACGCTGGTGGACGGTCCTGAGCGGTAGCGGCCCGGGTACAGCTCGTCGCGCGTGTCACAAACGCCAGCAGGCGCGCCCTGCCGCGAGGTTCTGGGGCGATGAAGCGGGTGGGTGGAGCGCTACGAACCGCAGGTCCGCATGCTCCATTTTCTCGCCCCGCGGTCACTGACACCGCGCGATCTCTTCCTCCCGACAGCACTGCGGTGCCGGCACGGCCTTCGAGCGTGTGTCGGGCACGGACACGAAGGTCGACGTCGACACGACCGCCACTTTGACCGATCCGGCCCGCTTGGAGCACCAGAGCGCGGCCTAAACGACACGCACCACGACGATAGCGAACGCACACTGCAGCCGTGCGCCGTGCCACTGCTCGTGCGGGTGACGCGGTCCCTCTCCCCGATACCGACACCGTCGTGGATAGGCCTGCCGGCCTGCGTGTCAGGAGGAGTGGGGTGTAGACTCGTCGGAGGGGTTTGTAGTTACAAGCTAGCGCCGACGGCGCATATATACATGCGGTGCTTTACATTACTACTGTGTAATGCCATAATGTTGAGCGCATGAACCTCCATGGGTTCCCGAGGGTCCACAGATCATGCAGTTCAACGCGCCAGCAAACACCCTCAAATGGCACAAACGTTCGGGTGCCCTTCTTCACTTACAATCGTCTCACTTTCGAACCTTCGGTCACGCACTCCACGCCCACATCAGCCGCGGAAGTATTGGCGCACGAAAGGGTGAAACCGGTTGAAACCGACCGCAATGACCTGGGGGGGGCGAGGAGGACCAAAGGAAGACAAATACGACCTCCTCGCACACATGCGATTCCCGTCCGAGCCTACATCTCCGCCTGCAGGCTTAAGATAACTGGTTGCTGACTCGTCCGCCGAGCAGAACGAGGGCAGACTCGGGCGCTGTGAGCGGTCACTAAGTATGTCAACTTGGATTTGCCGTCGCGCGCTGTCCTGGACACTTGCGATTGAAGCGCGGCGACATAGGAAGAATCTGCGGAGGGCACGCGCGGCACCTCGGAGAGCTCTGCAACGATGCTGCACATCACCGCTCCCGCTCGTCGCTCGCTCGCACCCAAACTTTACGGAGGGACTCCGAAAGTGAGCATGGGGCCCAGGATCTCAGACGGATTGTGACAGGGACAAGACGTATGGATAACAAGAGAGGCTTTCATACGGAAAAGAAACGACAGCGGGTTCGTTAAACGTCTGGCACTGGTGAAGTCGGTGCTCTTCCTACGAGCGATTGCATGTCTATACCGATCATCTGCCATCCGAAATTGGGCCTCTGTAGTGGCGATCTTTCAGAAAGTGCGCGCATGAGCTCACGTGCGTCTCGAGGACTCGCTTCGGGTGTGGTGGGGCGCGTGCTGCTGTCCGCAGCTTCTGGATCGTCCGGTACGTCTGGAGCTGTGTCTTCGACTGGAGCGGTATCTTCGACGCTGTTCAACGAAACTGGTCAGCAGCGTTCGCACGAGGTGGAGCCAGCGCGCAGCACGTACCGATGCATTATGGAGCGGATGATGTCGAAAAGTGGTCCCTCGGATATGGAAGCCATACGACGCAACGAGTGGTTGGCCATCATCGCATACGGAGGAGTCGGGACCGTTTCCAGCAGGGTGGACAGATTCATTCCGCTGGCCAAGACGACTTCGGATCCGAGCACTTCAGGATCCACCCTGGGCGAATCTTCCGTGTCGACGAGCCAGATAAACACATTCGTGAGGGACGCGCTGAGATGCGGCGTGACTAGCCTTCTGACCTCCGGAGACTGATGCGAAGAAAAGTAAAAGAGGTCTGCGGAAATCTCGCGGTACGAGACGCAGGCGCGCTTGAGTTGATACGACGAGTAGAACGACCACGAGACCTCGTCAAGCAATGTGTTGATGGAGGAGAAAGCGTGCGTAAGGAACGGTAAGATCTTCGCGATAGCGTCAGGGTCGGAGACCAAGGGTGTCGAGTACTCGAGAAGTTCCCGTAGCACGCTGATGTGGCGGTATATGAACTTTAATTCCCACTCTACAATGTCTTCGGGGACGTCGGGACGACCGAGAGAGGACTTGCGAATACGGCTGTCAAGTCTGTGCGCAGCCGCGTACGCGGCTTGAGAGGAGGTGAGTGATCGCCCACGAAAAGGCAGTGCCGCGAGCGAACGTACAGATTTGCAGTGTGGTCACGTCGCTGATCTTGCGGAAGCAGTCTTCGCACCATAGCTCATACCATTGGAGGTCGGAAGGGTCCACCGCGGGGCCGCCCAAAATGCGTCCGGTGGTGTGCATGACACGCGCTTTGATCTCGTTGCTAGTGTTCGCAGAAGGTGTTCCTGTCTTGACGAAGCAATCCAGGTGATCCCAGTCTCCCTGCGAGAGATCGCCTTCCCGGTACGCGGGATAGAAGTGTGCCAGGGCCGCTTCGAGAATGGGCTGTCGCAGGAAGGTGGTCGTGGGTCCCGAATCCGTATTATTGATCGATCCGACTAGAAGCTGGGTGGCATGCTTCACGTAGGCCTTCGCGGCCTTGTCGTTGCTGGACAGGCAAACGCTCGCGCTGTCGTTGTGGACAGAGTTGATGATGGACCAGAGTACGGTTTGGGCGTCGAGATCCGCGTCTTGCTGGGATATGATGGATTTCTCGTCTCCCTTCCACACGGGGATGGGGAAAGTGGTCATAGCAACTCGGCCATAGTCGGACTTGTCTCGGAAGTATTCGTAGGCGCTCCAGAGAATCTCGCCGGGAACGAGTGCCGAGATACGACGGCTGTCCGTCATGCGATCGAAGAGCCTGTATAAGGCGGGGACAGCCCAACGGTTCAGGAAGTTCCATCTATGTATGATGCCGCGCCACATGTTGAAGACAATCTGAGCTTGAGGGGAGAAGTAGCAGCGCGTAGAGTCGATGATGGGAAGGACGGTTGTGCCGATGACGAAGAGCAGCAGGATGCCCACGAATACGAAGGTTACTGAGAAGACGGCCTTGTTTGCATGAAAGAGGAGGATGAGGAGGCCTGCGAAAAACAGCACGAGGGCGGCGATGAGGAGTAGGGGTACGAGAGCGACGATGATGGCGATATGCGATGCCTGGAGGTTCATGAGCCGGTACATGCGTAGTCTTGCGATGTCGGCGGAACTCCCTCGCACCCCGATTCTATGCTCCTTCAGCCACTGCTTGGCCATGGTTGCCGAGGATAAGCTGAACGTAAGACTTGTGAACCAGAGGGCGTTCACCCAGACGGTCCAGCTCGGCGGGTGCGTGGGGGACTGCAGAGCGGCGTCGATCACCGGTGAAGAGCTGGCGAGGGACGAGTCGAGGATGACACTTCTTAGTTGCAAAATCGCCTGTAGAACCGTAGCATTTGATGTACTGTTCGTCTGCGGCTGAATGAAGGCAAAAGAGATGGTATTGAAAGCGGTGAGCGCGGCCGAGAACAAACCGATCTGTGTCAAGCCGCATGAGAAAATATTGGTATGCAGCTCATGAAACGCTCACGAATGTCAAGAGACCATCGATCTCTTTGTTCCATTCTGCTACAAGCTCTTGACTCTCATTTTCTGCCATCATTCTACTCGAATGCCATGCACCTTGAATTTGTGCGCTTGTATACTTCTCGGGCTTTGGGAGGATGTTCTGATCAAAAAAGGTTACGTGGTGCTCGATACAGCACAGATAATGAGAGCTTACGCGCAAATAGTCGAGTGTTGCACCTGCACGGACTGTCTCTGTTGGTGCTTGCGCGGGCACATTGTCCTGAATACAAACAAACATGAATCCAGTCATGTCGATAATACGTGTACGTAATGTTACCTGCGACGAATTCTCAATTCCCCTCTCGCTCACTACGTGGTCGGATGCATGTTCACTTGCGCTCCCGGGAGACGTGTTCTGTGGTGTTGTGAGCACGGTGTCCGAAGATGAGTGATGCAGAAACGTTCACACCTCCAGCCGTGCTAGTATCGCCTTCAACAAATCGCAAATCTGATCGCACTGACCCTGAAGGCAGATACGCAGTTGAACATTCGAGCAACGACGATGAGTAGTGAAATCACATACGAGGTAGATATTCGTAGTCGCAGAAACTGGCTCAGAGGTCTGGACTGTTGCATCGCGTACGGCGGAATCGTCCTGAGGAAGTGTTTTCTAGTGGATGCATGTAAAAAGCGCAGCAGAGAACTCGAGAAAGACAGAGTACACACTTGTTCCAAGGGGCTCGTGCCGTCCGACGATACAACCGATGTATGTGGGGGAGGGGACGGGTCCTGCGAGGTGCTGGTCAGCTCCGAACGGGAAGGCACCGTGCGGCGTGCGCGCACCAACCTGAGTGGGATTGTGTGAGTGGGTGCTATCTGGGGGCGATGGAGACATAGTGGTGCAGTGTACGACGTGGGCGACGTCTGCCACCGTGGCGATGGAAGATGATGGAGTACTAGGGGAGTCAGGCTCCCGCACGCAAGTAGGAGAACGTTTAAAGTGGGCACGGGAGAACACAGGTGGGTGGATCGTGCCCAAAATAGATGGCGTGCTGACCACAGAAGCTACAGCCCTGTGAGTCTCGTATGAGCTGAGTGACGCAACTGGAATGATTGAACTTCATCGCCCGGATATCGTGTGTTCATGCGCGTGTCTTGCAGAAAGTCCGGACAGCGCGGCAGCCTAGTGGGACCTTCCATTCCGAAGATACCAACTGCAGGAGCACAAATCGGAGGCGATGATCAATGCATATGTCAAACAGAAGTGAAGCGCAGTGCGGCGCCGCAACCACGCATGTACCACATGGTGGACGTATGCCACGGGCCAGTTACAACACCGAGCGTAGCCAATGCGACGTAGCCGTGCTGTGGGGCATTCGGAGCCGATTCGGAGAGCGAAATGAGGAATGGACGAGGTAATAGTGCCTGGTCTAGCCATTCACTGCTGCTTTACACCCGCATAAGTACGCACCCAGCGATGGAGTCAAGACGCCATCAGCGCCCAATCTTGGTACGTGTAGGACGTGGGCTGGGCTGGGCTGGGCTAGGTGTTAACGCGGACCGGCGCCAGGTTTGGAGATATCAAGGCCACAAGCCAACGTACGCGATTTGAAGTGGGGTTTTCTGTGCTGCGGATCTGGAAGAGGATGAGCCATCAAGCGCCCGTGGCGGTGGCGCGATCGGAAGACTCCGGCATATCCCGGCCCCAGTGCTGACTCAATTTTCGCGCCCGTGCGCGCTTGCTATGACCTTAGTTCTCTGCTTCGACTCTCTACTGTACTCGCGGAAGACATCATCGTCATGTACGTTACTGCGACGCCGGCCCCCGCGGGGGTCGCTAGTAAACAAATGGTGGTCCAGCTCACGAGGGGGCGGCTAGGCCTTCATGATCCGTCGGCAAGTTGCGCCGGCCCTCCGTTTCTACACGTTCACGAGCACCCTTTCAAGCGCTCCCACCAGCGACAGTGTCACCCAGTTTCGCTGGACAACAGACACAGTACTGTCAGATTGAGATCGACGGGATGTGCACAAACCAGACCACATTCTCCATGATCCACGTGCCGATCTGGGCCTCGAACTGGGCCGAATCATACGCCGACCAGTCCATCCTCGTGTTCAGAGTCTCAATGGAGCCGAAGGCGTGCACGATGAACGGCAGAATTGCAGCGGCGCCGTCACGGCCGCCAATTGTGGGGGTGGCGAACTCGACGTGCTACGTGAGCGTGTCTGAGGCGCGATACATACGCCACGTCTCCCATATACCGCCTCATGAGGGGAAAACGAACACCCAAGAAAGCTGTCGTAGACACGGGCGTGCAGTCGATTAGAGAAAGTGCTGTTATTCCTCGTATCTGCCCACACTGTTTCAAAATGTGCGTCGTCGAACTCATGTTGGAGAGCCCAGCCAAGTAGTACTAGTGATGAGACGCACGTGGCGGAGCGGGCGTGAAGATTATTCGGCGCCGGGCGGGCCGGAGAACGCTGATGACACCGATGCTCATGCGACTCAAAACAACGCCAACATTTCAAATTTCGACCTCTTTCTTTTCTCCTCTTGCAAAGGCTCACGCAGTCTAAACACGCCCTCTCATGCGCCCAGATCTCTTCATTTGGTTGGCCTTCCTCATCTGCAATCGACGTCCAGTCACGCACTCCACGGCCTCAGCAATGAAAACATAAACTGGCGCACAGAGCGCGAGACCTGAAACCGGCCTCAATGATTGGGGGACTCGGAAGACGAGTTCGACCAGCGGGAACATCCTCGCATGTGGCTCGCGTATGTCCAATGTCCCGGACGATCTTACCCCCTGGCTTGGACAGACTGTTATCTGATTTTCACACCACGACGCTGTGTACGTACAAAGAGCGATGGGGCGGGGGCGTCCATACATAGACCACCTGAGGGCGGGTCGTCGGCGGTCGCCCTCTCGCCTTGTCGCTCTTCCTCAGGCCTCAGCTATGCCTGCACGCCCTCATGATCAGCCCCGCTCACTTTCTCCCACTCCCGTCTTTCCGGGGGACCCCCTCTACGATCCCACGGTTGCCCGCGTGGAATGTCCTCCAAAGTGGGCTACTGAAGCGTCAAGCTCAAGATCGGAAAGGTTCTATTTCAGAATGTTTTTCAATGAAGTCTGGACGCAAAAGCCTCCTGGCCCACCATCGCTGTGGAGGAGGGACGCGATCGGACGCATCGGCCATCTTATCGTGACCAAAGTGGGCATGGTAAGGTATGTCCGAACGTGATTTGAGGAGAGGTGTTGACGCTCCGGGCGATAGTGTCCCTCCCAAGCTTTAGTGAAGCATATCGGTGCAGCGCCGAGCCTTATCTTGAACTTCGTGGATGCCGCTGGTGCTCGCCCGTCGTCCTACAACATTGAAGAAACCCTACGCGCACCATACGACCGCGCCGCTGCGTTGCGGCAAGCCGGACAAGTAATGTCCCGGTCCGAGCGCCTGGAGTGGAAGCATTTCTCGGTTCTCACAGAGAGCGACCCACGCTTCCGCGACAAGCTACGCAGCTGCAAGGGTCGCCTTAGGCGATGCGGTGTCCGATTTCGCTCGTACCCTCTGATCGGCGAACAGCCCAATCCTTCTGCCCATCCGGATGGTCTCCCAGTACCATTCGAGATCGTCGAGGGTACCTCACGAGCTGGCAGCAATACGCGGACACTTGCATTCAGCATGCGTGTTTGTGTGAGCGGCTTCCCTTCCACGTTATGATCTCTGCTCATGCGTTTCGTGGATACAGTGCGACACCTGCTTCCGACTAAAGCATGGCGCATGTGCGGGCGATACAATTCCTTGTCGAAGGTGCAAGAGTTCGACGAAAGCGTGCACTCTGTACGGCATGCGCGCCGACGGATCCATATGCGGTGAGCTCTATGAACCCATTACTCGACCGGCGACATCCTCTAATCCAAATGCATCAGTCACACGCATAGGAACCCTGGCTTACTTCAACGGGCGCACGTTCCGGTTTGTCCGCGATCTGACGCCGATGCAACGCGCGCTCGCCGAAGGCATCGTGTCCTACACCCTCGAACACCTCAGTCCCCTGGACTTTGACACCATCTCGGAGAACGCTTTCGCCGTGACCGAACCCTCCGCCTCGTCCAAATATCTACTTCCTGTACCTGAAGACGAGCGAATATTCATGTACAACATCAGAGAGGCACGCGAGCTGGTACGCCGGCAGCTTGGACCCGTCAAGTTCCAGACGACCATTCCGTTCCGGCAAGACGACTTTTTACGCGTGCGAGAGGACCAGCCCCACACTTTGACGGCTCTCACTGTTCCATCACGGCGTTTCCGAGATGCCTGCCAACCCCCTCCCGCTATACCACCACCGTCAATTCCAGAAATCCCATGGCATTTAATTTCCGCGCCCCATGTCAAGACTGCCAACGCCAGAACGAACCGCCAACGCCGTAATGCGGGCGCCCCCACATCAACATCCTTGACCTTAACGGCTCGGGTTGGTCCTCCTCGAAAGCGGAAGGACGCGTCTCGTACGCAAAACGATGTGCTCGTGCCTGCGGGTGGCAGTACTCAGTCGGTACCGCGGTCCAGCCCTCCCGCGCTATCGCCTATCCCCGACAGCCCGCTATCGCCGATTCCCGACAGCCCACCCTCTCCAGCCTGTGCGGGTAGCTCAGATGCGCCAGTGGATCCTCCTGTAGCTCCCCATACGCAACTCGAGGTGCTCGCGCGCTCGCCCACCCGTGCGGGTGGCAGCACCCACCGGGCGCAATCAACCGGGTTGCATTCATCGCTCTTCGACTTCACGCTCCCCGCAGGTGGCTCAGTTGCGCCGCAGGACGCTCGTCCTCCTTCGCCAGCTCCTGCAGGCGACCAAGACGCACCGCCGGATGCCCCCGCTCCCGCAGAGGATCCCGCCGCCGCCGCGCCCGCAGGGGATCTCCAGCACCACGCCCGGATCGCGCGCCTCGACTTCAACCGGCACGCTGCGCAGTTCGAGGACTGCCGCGTCGGGCTGCTGGCCGCGCTCGCGGGGATGGCCGCCGCCGGGGACCGCGAGGCGGCGTGCAGCGGGCTCGCGTTCGGCGCCGGCGCCGCGGCGGTGGAGCCGACGCCGCTCGGGCTTCGCGGGTTTGAGTCGGCGGGCGCGCTGCACGAGTATGCGAGCACGGCGATCGACGACCTGGCGATGGTGCTGCGGGTGCCGGGGTACGGCAGAACCTGGGCCGATGAGGACTCTGGCTCAGAGGAGGATGTGAAAATGGAGTCGTGAGACGCGCCGTTGCGTCCCATCTGTGTAGTTGTGCAGAGTACTTGCTTAGTTAGCTTGTGGTAGTAGCGAACGGAGGGCATGCTACGCGCGCTCCGGGCTACCGGTCAGTGAGACATGGGCAGCAAGACATCGCACTTGTATTTCGTTCCACCATGTACGAGTCTCTTTTTTCGCGTGGACTATATGCGTGCACATCTAATGGCTTCGAAATATGCTCGTCCATTCTCGTCGCGTACTGCCGGGTCGACCGTTCCTTCCACATACCACTGACTCCGTTCCATCTTTCCGAATATTGGCATCCTCTGGGCTTTTGAGAATCGATTTTTACCAACTGATTTTTCAGTGCCCGACTCGTTGGAGAGTCCCGCAATTGATACATCAAGATTGGAAGGAAATCTGGTTCCCTGTGAGGCGTAAGTTGGTGGCGAAGGAGTATTCTAGTATCGGTGTGATGAATGTCTGTCCCATGTGTCCGCGATTGCTCTACATACCGTGCTTCTGTTCGAGGATCTCCTGGGGACAAGTTGATCCACATCTAAGTCCGTTTCAGAACCGTCCGCTACCAGAGAGACGCCTTGTCGCAACCGTAGAAGTCCTTCACGGATAAGTATGTCGAACGTAGCGAGGATTTGATCTCGTATCCTCCAGGTCATCGACGTTGAGTATTTCGAGGATATTCTTGAGGGATACGATAAGGTCGGAGGTGACCAACTGGCGATACACTGGGCTGATAGAAGAGATGCGCTCTACGTGCAAGACGAGTCTCCACAAGAGCCAGACCTCGTCGCCGTCTCGAGCCAGCGCCGGGTCAACCGTCTCTAAGATGCGCGTAGCTGACGTGAGCGCGCATGCGACGAGCGGCGCTATAGAGGCGACCACGTCAATGTCCAGCTGACCATCGCATTCCCGGTGCTTCAGAAGCCGGTGGAGGATTACGAGATGGTAGGCGACGAAACGGAGCTCCCAGCTGACGACGTCGGCCGCCGCCGCGTCCGCCTTTCTTCCGAGCATGCGGTTATGCGCCAAACTGTGGAGACGGAGTGCCGCCGCCGTCGCGACTGCAAGCGTCAGAAACAGAAACCCCACGCGTCAGCGCACCGGTGGAAAGAGCTACGACAAAAACAACCCCACGATGCACCCGTGCGGTACGTCACCAGCGAGCGCACATGGTCCACGTCGCGTTCCCAGACGATGCGCTTCCACGCCTCGTCCGCCGCGGCAGCGTCGAACGGGCGCGCCATGGCCGTGAGCGCGCGCAGCCGCACCCGCTCGTCGCGCGACACGCCCGCCCGCCCGAGTAACGAGCGCGCCTCGCTCAGCAGCCACCGCGACGACGCGCACTCCCCCCGCAGCGGACTGGCGAGCGCGCTCTGGAGCGCGTACCCGAACTTGCGCGCGACGCGGTCTTCGACTGCGCCCTGTGCGCCGCCCTGTGCGCCGCTGCCGCGCCTGGAGAGCGCGTCGCGGAGGGCACGGAGGTAGCGCTCGGCGAACTCGGGCGAGTCTGCATCGGTGACGCAGAGGACCGCGTCGTCGAGCGCCGCGGTGTCGAGCGTCGCGGCGTAGGCCTTGACGAGCGTGCCGGCGTCGAGCGCGGTGGCTTGTTCGGTCGATACCGCGTCCTCTTCTCCGCGCCAGATACGGGGGAGGCTGTTCGCGAGCACTTCGCCTCGTTGGGTTCCGCGTGCGGAGAGGCGTCCGACGACGCCTGTGATGGATGTGCACATGCAGCATAGCTGCGCGAGTTTGTCCGCCGCGAGCGCCGTGAGGATGAGGAAGGCGCCAAGTAGCCTCGGGAGAAGGAACCGCAGCGGTTTGCTCAGCACGAACGCGCCCCGCGCCTGTGGAGAGTAGCAGCAGCACGTCCTGCATAAAGTCGGCAGGATGGTGCTCACCGCGAGCAGACCGAGGAGAACTCCTGTGAGTGCTGAGACGACGGCAAAAAGGGATGCATGGATAATGTAGACGAGGATGACGAGTCCAACGAGGAAAAGCACGAGCGCCACGAGAAGAAGAACGGGGATGAGCCCGACGATGGTCCCGACGCGCCACGGCTCGAGGTTCTGTAAACGATACTGTCGGCGGCGGGAGATGTCCCGCGAGGTGCCGTAGAGGCCGGTGCTGTACTCCTTCAGCCATTGTTTGACGATGATGCAGGCCGTTGCGGAGGCGAGGCTAAAGACGAGGCTGGAGAATAATAAAGCGTTGAGTCAGATGGCAGAGACAGGGGGTGTGAACTGTGCAAGGGGCAACGCCTCAACTGATGGCTTGGTGGAGTTGATAAATGAAGGATTAGATTGGAAGCTTGCTAGTTGCGCAGAGACGCGGGTGAGGATGTCATTGGTCCGGTCTGCTGCTTGCGGCACTAGTAGTTGGTAGGACTGCACGTTGAACGCAGTAACAATAGCAGAGAATAGACCAGCCTGTGTACATAGCTGAGCGTCATAGTAACGGTTACGAAGCATGACGACATTGGTCCTTACAAAGGTCAAGAGTCCGTCTACTTATTTCCTTGTTCCAGTGCTGAACCAGTTCATCGTTGTACGCTTTTACGGTCTCCGACGATCGTTCCCAAGCTCGGGCCTTTTCTGTATCTGAATAGATATCTCGATACCAGTGAGAAAGCTTCTGTGCCCCCATTAATATGACAACTATGTCGTAGGGCAATAAACGTTCGTACCTCCACCTCTGTCGCGGGTACGCCGGCGTGGTTCCACTCTTTTTGCGTTGGTTCATCGTGCATCTGCCACAGAAAATGAGCCCTTGTCCGTCTTGCAAACATCCAGAGTCACACCTGGCAATGGGTGCTCTCTGTTGCACATTCCTCAAAATGCCCGTGTACATCGAGCCTCTCCTATGAGCAGCACCTTCAGTAGGAGATCGAGGATCATGATGGCAAAGTGGGGCCTCACCAGTGCTATCCCTGACAAGTGCTTCATATGCTCGCCGAAGGCGGGTACTTACTAGTATGTCTCTGAAGGATGAACGCGGGGGGCTCAGCGAAGATTCCTCAAAGCTTCTAAATAGTCACCGCAGATATCGTAGCTGAGGACCAGAGAAGGTTTAGCATAGCACTGTTGTTGGTCGAGAGGGTAGTCCTTCGGCGGATCGCAATCTGTCGAACTTCAGATGAGTGCACCCGTCTGTGACATTTCCTGGGGAGGGGCGATCCCACATGCTAACAACACATCACCGCCGGACGCGCGCGCACAAGATCGCAGCCGGCGACGGTGCTGGAAGACACCAGAGTGCGGTGAGCCTCTGAAGCAAGTGAACCACATCGACGCGCACCCTCAGTTCCGTCTCGCACACTGTGGTGCGCAGTGGATGTTTCGTCGACACGGATGGCGGACGGTAGCAAAGGCGATGCCGCGGCGCGGCGTTTCGGGCGTATCGGTCGGGCTGCGGCGCGGCATTGCGTCCGGAGAGGCGACGTCGTCCGACGCGGAGCGGCGAAGACGGTGGCGCAGGGAACGGGGCTGTGCTTCGCGACGAAGCATATCTGTGGGACCATTCACTTGGTCGCGGACGACGAGTCAGCGATGCGAACTATTTTGAAAGACGCTAGCGTGCACGGACAACAGCCCGTGACCGTGGTTGCGTGCCGGAACGTCCGAGAATCGATGGAGGAGGACGAAAGGAGACGGGTCGTCTTCCACTGGTGCCCGTCACATATGGGTGGCATCGAGTGGACGAAGATGCGAAAGCAGCGGCCGACCCGCCAACGGCAGCAAACAAACGAACGCTCGCGCGGGCCAACCGAGGCGAGCATGTGCGCAAACTTCCAAGGCTGCCAGTATTCGACTCACCGGCACGAGCGCTGCACCCGCCGCACACGCACGCTCGACATCCAGGACCGCGCCCGGGGAACTTCTCCCGCGCCGCACCAAACCACGCTAGGATCGGTCTGGAAGACCGTCTTCCCGATCGAGCCCGACTCGCCACGTCCTGGAAAGTCGGGACTCGGGCGCCCCGGAACCGGACCCCGTACGTGGTGGTGGCTCCTGCAGCTCGCGTTCGCCGTTTCCCCGAGAACGTCCAGACCGTGCATCCGTCGCCGTCTTCCGATTGTTCTTCGCGAACAGAAAAGAGTCCTCGGCGCAGCGTCGAGATCGGGGCGGGGTCGCAAAATCGACTCCGCACCCATAATACTTCCAGAGTGTAGGGCCAGCCGCCGGGAGCGAACATGATCTGCCTCTGCAGACACCGTGTCAGCCGAGACGATGCGCACGACCTGGTGAGTTTGAGCGACGACGCACGTTTCTCCCAGGTATGCACACTCGCAACCAACTGAGGGGCGTACGATGACCTCCAAACCGGTGCTCCCTGCCAGAGCCAGGAGCTGCTCGAGCCTCGAGCCCATCGAACGGCTCGCACCTCCAGTCTTCGATCTAGAACGGGCCCTCAAGTCCCCCAAACGAACCTTCCTCTCGAACCCCCCGACATCCCGAAACGCACGCGCACGCGCACGCCGAACGGCGGCAGTAGTCCTCGTACATAGATAAAGATCTTTGGCCCCGCCCGCGCCCGGGCCGAGAGCGAGCAGCGGTAAGTACGCGAGCCGAGCCGGTCTTCTACAGCGGAACGCAGCGCGGTGGAGCGGGGCGGGACGGGCGAATTCGGTGGTGGGTGATGTGGAGCGGCGAGGGTGGTGGGTGGTGGTGGTGGTGATGATGATGGTGATGGTGATGATACATTCTATAGATCGAGAGCAGTGAGGAACGGGCGAGAGAAAATGAGGGAGAGGGAGGGGGACGCGCGGTAGGGCCTCGAGCGAGCGAGGAGGGTCTACTTGGAAGGAGGAACAGAGGAGGGGACGCGAGGAGGGAGGGGGCGCGCGAACGCCGGCCGCGAGGGCGCGGGGAGTCTGATGGGCGGGAAGCAAGTGAGTCCGAAGGAGAGAGGAGAGAGGACGATCGTACACGGGATGCGGCGGTGTAGGCGGCGCGAGAGGCGGCGCAGGGATCGTGTGCCGGAGCGGGGGGGGAGGAGAGGGCCGAAGTCGAAGGGGGAGCGGAAGTTACACGGAAGGCGAAGAGAAAGGGAGTCGAGTCAAACCAATACCCGATGCGAGTGTCCGACGGCAAGGGTACACAGAGGGGAGGGAAGCGAGAGGATGAGGATGCGCGTATGACAGTGGATGAGATGAGCGAGCGTGATGAGACAGTGGGCGAGACTGAGGGAGCGTGAGGTGTCGTGCACCGGGACGAACCAAGCGGCGACTGTGTAGGCGATACAAAATGGGAGCAGAGCAAGACAAGGAGCGTGGGTGAATGACATGATGAGCAGACCGAGACCGGGACGGAAACGAGCAGATGGAAAGCGATGGGCGAGCGAGCGGCAGGCACCGATGCAAGGCGGATGCAAATATGCGTGTGCGTGTGACGGGAACCGCGACGGCGACAAGAGGAACGAAAAGACTGGTCGAAGCGGGTATGTACGTATCGCAGACAGAAAGCTAGCTCGGACGGAGAGCGAAGAGAGTAACGTGGAAGGAGTCCGGGGAGGGTGATTGGATGGCGACGACAATTGTGGTGGTGTACACGGTGTGGAAAGGCGAAAGTGTCCAAGAAAGCACAGCGATGGAAGATCCTGCAGGCGAAAAACAACAAAACATTGCGAAAGGGGCGGAAGGCACGACGCGCCGCAGCGTCGTTTTTAGGTCGGCCGGTCCTCTACAGACACCGAACGAAGCGCGAGGACGAGAACGGGTACGCGCGCGGGGTGAGGCGAAGAGCACTCAGCTCGACTGCTTCATCGACGGAATGGACAGCATCGGGAGCTGTCCGCGGGAAAGCGAGCCGATGTTGGGCACCTCTTCCCTGCGCCCGTTCAGCGCGGCCCCGGCACTAAGACCAGAGGCGCCAACGGAGCCCGTGAGGCCGCGCGGGGCGAGCCCGGAACCGGAGCGAGGGCGGGTCTGCGGCCAGCTGGAAAGACCATAGCCGAGAGGCGCGCTGTCGCTGCGCGCACGGCTGCTCTTCTTCGCGTTCGGGTCGACGGAGTGGGAGAGCGACAGAGAGCCAGACGGATTCGTCCGCTGGCGCTTCGCGCTGACGCGCTCGTCGTAGTCCATGCCACCCGGGGAAGGCGGGAGGGGCGTCGACATCGCCGAGTCGAACCGAGCGGCACTCATGCCATGGAGGCTGTGGTGCGGGCTATGGTGGGAGTGGTGGGGGTGGTGCATGGTGTCGTACGGCATGTGCTGGTACGAGTGCTGGCGCGAGAGCGTGTGAGAGGAGTGCGCATGCGAGGGGAACTCGGAGGCAGTGGGGCTCGAGCCTGGGCTCATGGAGTGCAACGAGTGGAGGCCGCCGGGAGGAAGAGAAGACATGGTCTGGAAGTGCGACGTGGGCGGGGCGGCGCTCTGGGGCGAGGTCACGTATATGTTGGGGCTCTCGGTGGAATCTAAGATATCCGAAGGGAATGGAGTCGGCACTGCAGACGAGATCAGGGAACGCTCTGTGTGGCCACGGTAGAAGCATGACGTACTGCCGCACGTCTTGACCATGACGTCGTACATGGCCTTGGTAACAGAAACGAGACGATCAACCTTCTGGCGCTCCTGCTGGAAGGCGACCATGAGGCGGTGGTTGTCGTCCCGCATCGACGAAAGTTGCGCAGCAACTTCGCCAGGAAGCTCGACACGGTGCTTGAGCGAGGGATCGGGCTCAAGTGCCTTACGCTTGATTTCCTCAAGAAGATCGGGGCGGCCACGCAAGAACTTGTGGTGAGAAAACTCCCAGGTCTGCACGTCCGCAGAAGTGCGCTGCGCACGGGGCGTCTAGAGAGGTGGGCAGCTCAGGGAATGCAGCTCCCACGCGAGGATGCCGAACACTTACGCGGTTGATCTTGTGGAAGCCGTACATGTTCAGCTGCCGCACAAAACTGGAAAACTGCGGAGACGTCAGCTGTCAGATAGCGTGGGGCGCACGTGAGGTACTGACGTTGTTGTGCTTGAAGTGGGAGCCGAGGATAGTGCGGCTGAACTCGCCCACGTTGGAGACGACGAAGCTGAGAGGGGGAAGGGTGAGAACGCGCCAAGGGCGAGGGTGAGGGAGACCGACCTGGTCCCGAGCTCTGTCCAGTTGATGAACTGGGAGGATTTTGGGTCGTTGATCATCCTGGGAGGTAACGTCACGCGAGGTGAGCGAATGGACGGATGCACCGATAGCGCCGACACAAGTACAGGCTATGCCGATCCTGGCTGTCGAGGTTCCAAGACGACGGAACACGGCCCCGACGGCCGTCTGGAAACCATCGAGGCTTCTCGAGGTGCGCACAGCGCCCTGCGACGCCGTCGACAGGGCTGCAAGAACAGCCGGCACGAAGCCTTCTCGCACGCTTCGGCGAAGAAGAGTCGAGCCAGATTGCTTAAAGGCGCGCGCGCGCGATCCGCCCGGCTCTGGCGCTGTGCAATCAACAACATCTACGGCGCGATCGCGTCCTCGGATGCCAACTGCCCGTGCTGTGAGAGGATGCCGAGAGCGTCCCACGCGCACAGGCCTCGTCAACTCCGCCGTCGAGCAAGGGCGCCGGCGCCAACGCCCCGGTGCCGTCACGTGGCAATCGCCGATCGCGTCTCGCTTCGCGCGCGCGAGGCCCTCTCGCTGCCCGGCCGCCCGGGGCGCGCGCAGGGGCAGAGGGCGCCGTCGAGCGCAGCAGGCGCGCCGCGCGCAGGTGCCGGGGGGAGGGGAGGGGAAAACAAAGCGCGCCGATAGGGGAGCGAACACTCACTGATACAGCTTGGTGACGAAGTTGTTCGTCCCGAGGGGCTTGTTGAGCACCCCGAGCGAGGGCGGGGGGCCCGAGCCATGATGGATAGAAGAACCCGAGGTCGAGACCTGGCCGTCCATCGGCTTGTCGTCCTGCTCTCCGCCCGAGTTGCTGCCGTCGATGGGGCTGCCCTCGGCGTCCATCGGGTAGGACATGTCGACCTCGTCGTAGAGCGCGCTCTGCGGGTTCTCGCCCATGTGGTAGCCCTCCTCGACGTTGGTGGTGAGGGGGGCGAGGGACTGGTAGCTGCGCTTACGGGGGACGGACTTGTCGGAGCAAGAGGAGGAACGGGAGCTGGTGAGACGCTTGCCGTAGCTGTCGTAGTGGCCATCGTCGTAGCGGACGCCGTGGTCGGGGGGCGCGAACTGGAACGGCTGCTGGATGTGGGGGTGGTGCGCGTGGGGGTGGTGGCCGTGGGCGATGAGGCTGTTGGCGGAGGGACTAATGGGGGTGATGGGCGAGACGTGGGAGCTCGCGTGGGTGGACGGGTGGGGGGAAGGGTTGATGGGGGACAGGTTGGTGGGGGAGGTGACGGAGAGGGAGGAGATGTTGAGCGAGAGCGCAGTCTTGTCCGGGCGGTCGCCGAGGGAGTCGGAGATCTGGGCGGACTGCTGGGAGGAGAAGTAGGGCGGATAGGGCTGCTCGCTGAGGGAGGAGGCGGGGGAGGCCGGGGACGGGAAGGAGGACTGGTTCTGGGGCGGGGGGAGGAGGTGGGAGGGGGACTGCTGAGACCACTGCTGAGCGGGGTTTGGCTGCTGCTGGGAGTAGGGCCCGTCCTGGGAGGACATGGTGTGCGAGAAGTGGGTGGGGGTGCTGTCCATGGGGAGGAGGAGGATCAGGCGATCAGCATGCAGCCGCAGACCAGGCGGGGCAGATGAGGACGGCGAGGGAGAGGGGGAGGTCAGCGTCGGGGGCGGCGGGGCGGGCGGGAGTCGAGCGGGCCCGGGATGTGGAAGAAAGAGGGAGAAGGGAGAGAGCCAGGGAGGCGGGAAGGCGACCGCGTCCGGAGGTGTGGTGGAAATAAATCTAGATTTGAGCGGTCGCACTCGCGCCTCGCGCCCTCCCATCACCCCCGTCCTCGCCGCCCGTCGCCCGCCGCCCGCCCGCCCGCCCGCGCTCGTCCCGGCGCCGCCCGCCGTCGACGCTCGCACCCGCGCCGGGGCCGCGCCTTCGACCGCTGCTCGCCGCACGTCCGATGGCCAGCACGGGCTCGGTTCTTGCGCGGCCTTCGCTGTCACCCCGCCCGGGATTCCCACCCCCGGCCGGCGTGGGCGCCCGGGGGTGGTGGCCACTCATCCTCCAGTGGCCACTGGCATCTGCCCGCCCGCGCTCGTCCACGCGCGGCCGCCAAGGACGCGCAGAGCGAGATCAGGTCTGATAGATCCCAATCCGCGTGATCAATGATCTTGCCCCGCCCGTCTTGCATCCTCGCCCGCGATCCCCACCACCACGTGCCACCCCCCGCACCCGACCCCCGCCCTGGTTTCGGCCCTCGGCCACGGCTGGATACGTCCACATCTACCCACGCACTACTCCCTCGCCTTTCGCCATGCTTCAACGCCATCTGGCACACAGCGAGTCCACTTCCCGTGCTTGGACCCCCGAGCTCTAGTGACTGCAGCACCCACGTTCACCAACCCATGACTTGCCAACGGCTCACTCGCCACCGCTACCAAGTCCAAACCCAGCGTCATCAGCGCTCGCCCCCGCAATCCAGCACTAGGCTATTTCGATCATCCTCCTCCTCGAGCGTCACCGGTCTCCAGCCGACCCAGATCGATCGCCGGCGTCCTACCGTTGGATGTCTACCTTCGCCTGGACTTCCAGTACATACGAAGCATTCGTATGTATATTTGTCGGGCGTTCATTCCACTTGACGGCCTCACCAAGTTCAGCAGGCCTGCAGATATTTTGCGTTGCCTTATCCTTGCGATTCAGCCTCCGTGCACGCCGCGTGAATCCTGAGATCGGGCAAGTCCCAGATCGCTATGGCGCCGAACAGGGACGGCAAATACTGGTCCGCACAACTCGCGCGCGAGTCTGTCTGCTCTCCCGTCCGGACAATACCCCCGGGTGGCCGCGTCGATTCAATGTCATCGTCTATGCTCTCCCTGCATCCACAATAACACTGCAAGTGCCCTCGCCAAAGTCCCACATACCATTCGAGTCCACTACACGGTACACCACTAATTGCAGCCGTTGCCCGGAGCTACAAATCCCCGAATGCTCGAGGCGTTATACCTCAACGAGCAACGTCCTCTACCTTCCTCCGACACAGCATCGGACGAGCCCTTGCACGGCGTCCTGATCACGCCCTGCGCTTTAGCCTTTCCGTCCAGACCCCTCTCAACACAGCGTATCATATCCCGCCGCCAAATCATACTTGCCTCGTCCACTCCCCCGCGTTCGCCGCGCCCGCCGCGCGAACTGACTGTGGGACAGGCCTTCCTCGCGCACAACCACCTCACTTCCGATTCGGCCCACCACCTCGGTCTGGCTTCTCGGGGCCCGGGGCCCTGGTGTTGGACGAGCTGAGCAGCAAGTACTCACTCCGTCGCGACTCAGTCCCGCGCGCACGCGTCTGCGGCGTGCCGCCGAACCGCCGGCTACGAGCGCCCGAGTGCCGGCGGGTGCCGGGTGGCTGAGCGGGGGGAGTTAAAGTTTAGCCTGACACTGCGCCTCCCCGGCCTCGGAGCGTGCGCAGTCCATGGCCACAGTCCTGCGCGCGGGGACGACGGGGGCGCAGGATCTCTCTCTCTCTCTCTCTCTCGCCACAAACACCGTCGCCTCGGCCGGGTGCGGCGCGCGCGCGAGGACGCGCCGCACCCGGGCCTCGCGTGGCGCCCAAATGAACGCCTCTCGACCGTCGCGACGCGCCGTCTCCTGGGCCTGCGTCTCGGTGCCGGAAGGAGGGGGAGGCGCCGCGGGTGTATGTTCTCGACTCCTGGCTTGTACCGTCCACCCCCGCCGCCCGTCCGTCCGAGACTCCCACATAAGCTCTAGCTCACGGCGACATGGCGACCGCGGCGCGCGTGGGCGCGCGGGGATCCGCATCGAGGTTTGAACTTTGCAGCAGCTTCCGTCCAGTGTGTTCTGCGCGAGCGGGCGCGTGCGCTCGCCGACCACGCTTTCGTCCCGCTTCGACTGCGGCGCTCGACGGTCGGGCTGACGGGAGGTTGCAAGGGGGAGATTCTGAGATTCAGTCGCGTCCTGCCGCCGGCCCCCATGCACCCGGGGGCGGTGCGGTTGCTATGGGCGCAGACGGCCGCGGGAGTCGCTGCGAAGGGGGAGGTGAGTCGCCGGCCGGGGCGTCGCCATGTCATCGCTGATCGCTCTCGCAGGGCGCGGGACCCGGGAGCGGGCTTCTTTTCATATCGTCGTCCGTGCTCCTGCGCGGGGCGTTCATTGAGTTCATACGCTGCATTGACGAATTACATAATGACGCATGTTTATTTCCAGGTGCCCGTGGGCGAGTTCGGACGACGGGGATGGGAGCGATTGCAGATATGTCGTGAAGCCGTGAACGGCTTTGGACGGAAAACAAGGATCGCACACTCTCCGCCAACCACCCACCACGTTTTAGGCTCACGACTCTATCGGATATGGCACCAGTCTTTCCCCACGAAGTGCGCGCCCCACTGCGCCATCTGTCCACACTCGCGCGCTCAGAAGCGGCGCCCCTCGCACAACCCTCGCACGCACGCTCTCGCCATCCCCCAAGCTGACATCGCTCCGCTCACACAGCGCTTCGAAGTACACATACGGTTTCGAGCAGACACCCTGGGATCCTTGCACGGCAGCGCCTCGCGCGCCCCGCCGCGTCCGGGCTCATCCTGCGTGATCGCAGGCCTCGGCGTCCTGCTCGTTCCCGTCACTGGTCAAACCCCAGGACTGGCGTGAGACCGCAGGCCCCGCGCGCGCGATACGTACATCCGCACATGTACGCACGTCCCGGACATACGTGCGAGTCCTGTGCGCGCAACGTCCGCCCGGGCAGTCGGAGGAACACCAATGTCCGTCACCGGAGTACGTATACACACACACTTGGAACGCGAACGTTAGGGCACTTTCTGTCCCCCGCCGCTCCCGCCCCCGGCCGGCGAGGGACCCCTGCCGCCGGTACGCGCGCACGCGCGCACGTCTATCGCCCCACGCCGCGCCGCGATGTCGGGGGTCGGGAGGGTCGGGATCTGGATTCCGCACAGACGTCTGCTTCCGCCTACGCGCGCCACGCGCGCCCGCGCGGTGCCGGACTACAGAGAGCTAAGAGCTTCCGCGCGACGTTCCACCGCCCCTCTCGCGGGGGAACCCTAAAGAAAGCGTGTCCCCCGCGCCGCTCCCGTTCCCAACGCGGACGCGGGCGCGCCCCTCGTCCGCGTGCGCGAGGCGCGTGCGTCTCGGGGTGCTCGGACTCGGAGTCGGGCGCACTGCGCAGTGCGCGATGCGCCGGTGCCGGTGCCGGTGATGCCCGCCACAGCCATACGGCACCCCGCCGCCGCTGGCCCACTTCTATCCCGCGTCGATGGTGCGTGCGTGCGTACGTACGTGCGCGCGCGCACAAGTACTTATCTGCCGGGACTGAGAATGTCGGCAGCGCCGCGGCCAGCTCTTCGGTGCTCGGCGCGAGCGCGCCCGTCGCGGTGATCGGCGCGCGGTGGTTCAAAGTCGGATTGGCCGGACGGCGCGACATTGCACAGTGCGCTCGCACGGCGGGTCGGCCGAGGTCGGGGATCATACCCTGCGGCGCGGGCTTCAGGGTCATAAGCCGCCATCAAGCGCAGGCCGCGAGAGCATCAATGGCAAATATCTGCCGTGCAGCTAGATCTGTCCCTGCGTCCCCGAGGCCGTGGGCGCTGGAGGGGTTGCAGAGGTGCAGATCGACAGGAGCCTAGACTGGAGAGTTTGCGCACACGCTGCGGGGCATTTCGGTGAGCCTCGAGTGTACGGTACATGCACGCAGAAGGAGTAGTGACGGCGCCGAACAATGTGCACCGGGCTCAGTGCCGAGCGACAAATGGGCACCGCAGACATCACGCCCGGGCATCATAGGCACGGGCTAAAAGTACGGAAAGCGCGAGCGCAGCACCCCGGGCGCCCAGCGTATCGCACCTCCAGCTGCCCTAGAAGCCCGCCGGGGCCCGGAATCGATCCGCGCCGCCCAAACGGAGGCCCGAGCTCGAGTCTCTGGGACGGCGGCCACGCGCGACCACGTCAAAGCGGAAAGCCTTACGGAAGTCAATCCGGGGCACCGCGCGGCGCACGCGCGCGCAGATGCGCCAGAAGCTAGAGGTGGGCCCGCAGGGAGGGAGGTCGAGGCACGCATCGCGCGTGGATCGGGTGCGCCCCGCGCGCGCGACTAGCCCGGTTTGGGCCTCCCGCCCGGCTGCGAGCGGTGTTCAGGAATCAGCATCGGGCCCCGGCGCGCCGCGCGCGACCGCCACGAGGGGGCCCGCCAGAACGTCACGCAGACGCAGACCGCTCCAAGTTCGACTGGGAACGTGGGGGGCAACACAACCCGAAGTCGAGATCAGTGCGCGCGAGCTCGTCAGGGCGCGAGTGCGACGGCCACGCGAGCGCGTACGGCATCGAGAGACGGCGTGGGTGGACGCCGGCCGGGGCGCGCATCTGGTGCGGCGCGGGATGTCGGCGTGCACGTGCATGCTCCGCGGTCGGCGGGCTGAAGCCTGAGACTGGGGTGTCGAGCGGCGACGTCGCTCCCGGCGCACATCACTCGACGACGGACGTGGGCGCACGGCGGCGAGGCGGAGGCGGACGTCCGGACAACGAGCCTATCATGCCCAAAGGCCTGATGCCCGCGCGGCACATGGACTCACATGGACCGCCGGGGGCTCTCTCAGGTTGAGCCTTTCAGGCGTCCCACACGGGTCGGACGCGCGGGGGGGACTTGGGTCTTATCGGACGGTGGACGAGCGAACGTTGCGATATGTCGTGCCCCGGCTCGGGCGCCGCGCTCGCCTCGCCTCCCGCGCACGACGCATTTGCACTCGGCACGCGCGCGAGCTGCCACACTGCACAGTCCCCGCCCTGCAGCCCTGCACCGACCGACGTCACGCGGACGTTCGCGAAAGAGACGGAGGAAGAGGCTCCTCGGCTCGCTCAGCGCTCAACGTTCGTTCAAACGTTCACGGAACGGCGCGGCGAGTCCCGCGCGCGTCTTCCGTGCCCCGTCCCGCGCGAGCAGGACCGGAACGAGCACCGCGCGTTATCGATCGGGAGCCGCGCGCGCACTCGCAGACGCAGACGCAGCCGCAAACGCAAACGCACCCCTACTTACTGAGCGCCCCGGATCAGCTGCGGACCTAGCGCGCGGCCGAGGGAGGGCTCGATTCGGGGGCACGGGACGGGGCGCGGGCTGATAAAGGGCGAGGCAGAGACCGCCCGAGGCGCGTCCTTACGTACCGCGCCCGAGGGTGAATACACACGAGGCGTGCGGGGCCCAATCACGGGAAGGCGCGAGGTCAGGCGTGCGTCACGTCTTCGGGGCGGCGGGTCGAGGGTGCCAGCCGCCCATGCGGGTGAACGTGCGGGAGGATAGAGGGCGTGGTGGACTGGGTGGGCAGGTGTGGGCCGCGAGGGTACCCACCGCGACTTATCCGTGATCATCATTCAGCACTTGGGCGGCCGGCTTCGCGAGCTGGGGAGGAATATGGGTGGCATTGGGAGCTGCAGAACTCGCGATAAGAGTCTAGAGTGCACGAAGGCGAAATTCAACTGACCTATTTCCGCGACTGGAATCGGCGGGGGCAATTGCGCGTGAGCGGTATTCAATGTCGATGCCGAGGATCGGTCAGGTGGCTCCTTCCGGGGCTGTGTGCCGCAGAAACGACCGGTGAATAGAAGAATTCGTACTCTCCCCTTGTACGGAGCCCGAGGTGAAGGAGCCTCAGTAGCTGGTATACACGAGGGGAGGCACCTGCGCTCGCCAAAGTCTGCTGATCGTCTGCATAACGTAGGCGGGTCGCGCCGAAGCGGCTGAGAGCTCATCCTCGAGGGTGCATGCATAATAATGCCGTAGGTTACGCCGGCGATGTCGCATGTGATAGACGGTGAGCGCACCACGCGTTAACGAGCGAGAGTCGAATGGGCGGCAAAAACGAGAAGCTCGCGAGCGGCGACACGTGTCTAGATATTTCCGCGCCACCAAGAGACGGCGGCTTCTAGGTGCTGGGAAGAACAAGAAATGAGCTTGCATATCTGCGCGAAGTCTATGAGCAGCAACGCTAGCCTCGCCACGGTGACTGGTTGAAGCGCCTCGCGCTGTTGTAGTGAATCAAACCTCGGAACTCGCCCCGAACATCAACCTAAAGGACACGTTAGAAGACGTGGCGTCCACAAGGCGTAGGGGCACCGAGGACGCACCACTCTCCGCGGACACCGCCTTCCGCGGTGGTTTATGTCGCTGCCGCAACGTGCCGCAGGCCACACGGTGCGCGCTTCGCCTTCCATGCGCGCCCGCAAAGAAGATGCCTCACGGGGCGCCAGGAACGGAGCCCACGGAGATTGCGGGTGCGTAGAAGGGCCTCGCGCGCGGGGTCCCCAGGGGCCCCAGGGAGCTGCGAGCCCCGAATCGGGGAACGCAGGCGATTGTGCGGGGGGGCCTGGCGGGGCAAAGGGAGGCCCGCTTCTGCGCCCGCCGGGTCCGGGAACGGGAGTGCTCGACGGGGGAGCGCGGGCGTCCTCCTCGCCAGACCTCCCCGCGAGCGTCGGGCTGCGCGACGGGGGTCGAACCGCACTAGAACCAAGGTGGCCGCGACGCGGATGCCGGCGTGGGTGGTGTGTCCAGGGATGCCGCTCTTTGTGGCCACCGCATCGCCTCGAGGCGGGCGGCGGCGGACCATTTCATTGACTCTGTCGACGCCCTGCGCGGGGACCCGTCAACCCTAACGCCCCCGAGTACGCTTCAGAAAGCGTTTCGTGATGCGCACCGAACGCCCCCGTGCTGCGCGCGATTGATTCCGGGCGAATATCCGCGCATACCGGCGACATGACATATGGGTGGAGACATGAGTGGCGGGCGAGCGCATCGCGCGGCTGCGACCAGATGGACGATCCTGTTTGCGAAGGAACCCTATTTGTTCGAGCCCGGATCTCGACGGGCGCGCCAGAGCGCTCCGATGGAGTCGTCGTCGGAAGAATGCAGAGTTAGACGTGGTTCGAATCGCCTGGCTCGTATTGATCAGCGCTTGGGATCGAGACCACGAGTGTGGACGTACTTGGGAATAAACTTCGGGAGGCACTAGCGGAGTTGAAGGAGTTAGTGCGGTCGAGCAAAGTTGGGAGGACCGATACGACATACAAGACACATCGTCCAAGGAGGAAACCTTTGAGGAAAATATCACCATCGAGAAGTCAGCAACTACCTGAGAGTCTGATAAGACAATACTCTGACCCTACGAACAACCCCGAGTTCGACTCCGCCGGGCGAGCCACAGTCATAGCAAATTAGGAGCTTAACGCACCCGAGCTTCAACAATAATCATAGAAATGTGTGCAATATGCGAGGACGCGCGTGCGGATACACCCTACGGAACGAGAGTACGACAAGGGCTATTACGAACGCTGTAAGATTATACATGAGCAGTCTATAACTCCCACACCGACCCCAGACGAGAAGGAGACGGGGACATATACAACGTGATCATGAAACACACTCCTCCCGACGCGGCAGGAACGGATCCGGGGGCGGCGCGTGCGCTGTTCGTAGGCCGTCGTCCACCGCGAGCGGATCGTCGTCCACGTCGTCCAGATACGCGAGCGACGAGCCGGTTGGGGAGTCGGGCGTCGCCTCGAGGTCGAACGCGTCGAGCTCGTCCTCGGGCGAACCTTCATCCACCGCGATCGACACTGACGTCTCCCGGATCGGCTCTCGATCGTGCGCGGAGGGCGGATGGTGATCGAAGACGTCGGCGGCGTACGAGAGATTGACGGGAGAGTCCGATCCCAGCACGGCCACCCGTGGTGGCGCGGTGGCGAAGCTCAATGGAGGCGCCGAGACGCGCTTTGAGGAGGGAGGTGGCAGCGGGGGAAGAGGCAGCATCGTCGGCGTCGGCGTGACTTGCTGCGACATCCGCCGCCGCTTCTCGCCGACCTTCCAGATGACGTCCTTGAGCTCCTGCACGACCTCCCCACCGGGTCCCCACCGGTCGCGCTCCCGGCCCATGTCGTCCACGCGCCCTGCTCCGTCAAAGAGTGGCGACGGTAGTGACGCGATGCCGAGGGGGACCCCGCTCGCGCGACGCGCTTTCATGATCTCGATGCGCTCCTCACGAGAGAGTTTGGAACGTGGACGCGCAAAGGCGCCGATGTTACCTGCGTCGGCCTCGAAGACCTGCTCGGCACCCGGCGGGGGAAGATGTTGCGTTGACGTCGACAACAAAAGGTGGGACGTCGCGTCGTCCACTTCCTGCTCGCCCTCCTCGGGGCCTTCCCGACCAAGCGCGAGCGAGAGCCCGAGCCCGACCGCAGCGCGGGGCGAGATCGGCTGGCGCTCCGAAGACTCACTCCCGGAGTCGTTGCCCAACCCAGGTGTGTTCGGCGAGGCATCGTCATCTTCCGCAGAGTCGACTGAGGGTCGCGGATCGGCAATAATGTCCAGCAGCCGTTCGCGGCCCCGCTCGCACTCTCGCAAAGCATATCCGAGCTCCTTGCGCAACCGGTCGTACGCTTGGAACGCAGGATGGTCTTGGACCGAAGGGGTGCCGATTTCGGAACTTCCAGGCGCTGGAGCATCGCGAATGGCAGAGATACACTCTTCGAGGTGTTCACGCGCCTCGTTGAGCGCACCAGAGATCGCGTCGACGTGGGTTGCCAAGCGCGTCAAGTTGCTGGGAACAGGCGCGAAACCGGACATCTCCGCGACGGAGCGTGCAGGTACGTAGGAGTGATGGAGAGGGGACGCGCGGCGTTGGTGACCGGATTTGCCCTGGGGAGTCGGGGTGTTGCCGCGTGGGGGAGTTGGATGTTCGTCCTTGATGCGCCGCTTGTCGACTTCGTTGAGCGCTTCCATAAGCCGAGCCGAAGCGTCCGAGAAGGTGCTGCAGAGAAGGGCCATGAGCGATCGCACGTCCTCCCAGTATGTCTCGTCCTCGTCCTCGGCGAAACGCAGCGCTAGCAGGTGGGAGCACGCGTATCGTTTAGATGACAGCGCGGCTTGTAGGGAGAGGTGCAGTCCCGACAACGACAGCGGATGGCGGTTCGTGTGCATGGGCGTCAACCGCGAGGACGAGGAGAAGGTGGGGGAAACGGGCATGTCGCTACCGCTCGATCGTGGTGGAGTGTAGCTCGGTGGCGGCACAGCATCGAACACTTCGAGCGCCGTCGACTTGCGCTTGCGCTGCAGGTCTAACGCGGCAGCACCAAAGTACGACTTGTCCTCGAGCTCGTCCTCGGCCAACTCCTCTTCCGCCAGCACCTCAAGTTGCGGCTTCGGTTCAGGAGATGGAGCGTGCGGAGATACAGGCGCGCTGACACTTGCGACCAAGCTTCCACGAGTGGGCATAGGTTGAAACAGGGAGATGACGTCGGTGCGCCGATTCCTCTTTTTGCGATTGACCAGGTGCGCGGTAGGACTGCCAGCCATCGCGAGTGTGGCGTATGACCCATTCCAGGTAGATCGTTTGTTCGAATTGGAATTCGGTAGTGAGATCGTTCGCGTGCGCTGCGAGGCAGACGGGTGGGAAAATGGACGCAAAGAACCTGAAGGCGAGGACGGTGATCGGGGGTGATCGGAGAGAACCAAAGCGGGGCGGACGGGGGAGGGCGGCGCGTACATCTCCGCTAGCTGGGAAACGGTGGACGGCGCGGCGAGGGCGGACAGCAGTTGACGAACGTTGTCGCACTGCATCTGCGTGGTGTAGAGGGAGGATTGAAGGGCAATTCGAAGGGAAGAAGACGGCGCGCCATAGAAGACGCTGAAATGACGTCAGCAGGTGAACAAGATGACTACATGGATTCATCCAACCTGCGCTCTTCTGTTTCAATCAACATGACGGCCTCGTTAACAGCCGAGTCCCAGAAGTTCCCGGCCGATATGAGTTCGTTGAGGGCATTTGCAGTCTTGAAAACGTCAGCCGAAGCGCATATAGCTGGCCTCTCGGGACTCACCTCCGTCGTATAGTTACACTTATCAGGGTCTGTATGAACGGCGCACCACGCATAGAGAGCAGCGAGAAGCACAACGAAAGCAAGGAAGTAGAACCCGATGGAGAAGACGAGCACGGAGACGGATAGAAGCGTGACAGCAAGCTGAGGACCTGAGAAAGCAGGGAGAGACGGGATATCTGGCAGCGCCACTGCAGGGGTTGGAACAGGCTGTTCACCGCCACCACCGCTGGTACCTTCTTCGCTAAGTCGACCGGGAATCTCTGGAGTGTTCGCTCTTCTAGCGGAGACGGGGGATGCGAGGGATGCTGCGAGGGATGAGGAGAGGAGGGAAGAGGAGATGACATCGTACTTGAAGCGTTCTGCGAATGTATTCTCTTGGGAGCTTGAGTCGGATGGGTGAAGGAGTTCACGGGCAATCTGTTGAATATGTTCGAGTGAGTATACGTGCGATGTGCAACTCACGATGGATCTGGATGTACAGCACTCCATCAACCTGCCACCGCTCTACCGATCCTTCCAAACGCATGCAGGACCCGACGTGGTGTGCGAATGCAGGAAAGGGAGGTGCTCTTACCTCGAGCACATTCTGAACAAGTGGTGGCAGATGAACCTCCGCCTCTGACGAGTAGGCATCGACAGGGTCGTCTTCGATCATGAAGTCGGGAGAGCTTCCCGGCATGGGTTCCGCAGTCTCACCAGTGTCTGTTGTACGCGCGAGAAATGCGGGAATAAGGAGGCAATACGTCTGAATTAGGGGGGTGAAACGCACTGCGAAAGTAGTCCTCGAGTGGGTGTTGGTCGAAGAGCGGTTGGGCCATGGTATTAGCGGGGGATGAGATCCAGGGCGTGAAGGTGGTCGTTACGGGCAAGATAAGAAGCAAGGAGCGGCTGCGGTGAGGAGGCGATACAAGAAACCTAGAAGACCCAGGCCACGGCCGTGGAGGAGGGACGGAACAGAGCACGAGCACTGGGCAAGAGCGACATCCGCCCCCGTCACGCTTCGTTGTCACGGGTGGGCCGGATCCGTCGCACTCCCGCCCTGCGCGTCGGGTCACGGGGGCCTGTCACGCGTGCGCGTCGACGCGGCGGCCTGCGCCCCGCGCGTGACACGTAAGTACGCCTTTGTCAAGACGGCGAGCTCGCTGCGACGGTTGACATGGCGGCAGAAGCGGCCGCCTCCGAACTCGTCCTCCACACCATCTCCGGACCCGAGGACCCGCGTCTTCCCGCCGTGCTCGCGCTCTCCAATGCCATCTTCAACTCCGACCCGGCCTCCAAACACGGCTCCCTCGACGCCTGGCGCGAACGCCTCGCCAACCCCATCAGCCAGATCGTCTTCCTCGCGCCCTCCACGGCCCCGTCCGAGGACGAAACCGCGATCCGCCCGGTCGGCTTCCTCTTCGTGATCCCGCGCGCAACGGAGCCGCCGCTCAACAACGGCGTCGTCCACTCCGCCCACGTCTGGATCGCGGGCGTGCGCCCCGAGTGGAGGCGCGGCGGGTGCCTCGCGACCATGGTCGACGCGCTCGACCGCTTCGAGCACCTCACCCTGTGCACCTTCCCCGCGCGCTTCCCCGACATGTGGGCCTGGCTCAACCGTCGAGGCTGGGTCCAGGAGCGAGAGTTGGGCGATGGAAAAATATTGTTGAGCCGCAGCAAGAAGTTGCCATGAGTCAAAGCGTGCGCCCGCTCTATTGCTTTCGCCTGTTGATCTTCAGCCCACATCGACTGCCACTTGCAGCTGTGCGTTGTTCCTTCTTGTTCCAAACACCGCCAGACCCGCCCCCGGACGGATATTGATGCCACTGTTGTCGTCTCTTGAATTTGACAGTGCAGCCAGATCGAAGAGGTGCGGAATGCTTCCCGTCTGCTCGCAACGCTGACCGTTCATAGGCTGTTCGAATGACATACGGACCAGAACATCGAAAATGTCCAGCGTAGTACCTCTTCGCTGTCGGAGTGATGGCGTTACCAAGTTCGGCGCTCCGCTTGCCCCTCCACGGAGCGAGGACCTGACCAGAGAGCTAGCAGCGGGATCTTAGTTCTGCGCCTTCCCTTACCTCACGGCGCTCGGTCGAGCTCTGTGGGTGCGGATTCTACTGCATGTTTTTATCCCGGATGATAGCCAGGCGCACGTGGCTGGACACGTAGCTTGTCAGTTTTCTACTAACACAATCGGTGGAGGCGATGCCGCGGGTCGACTCAGCGGCCCACACGGCCCCACAGGAGTTAAACCCGGGTCGATGGTTCGGTCGGGTTTGGCGACACCGCGAACGACAGAAAGTGTCGGATGCATTCGATTGTCCATGGCTACGCTATTATCTTGGGGACGTTGTGCGAACGATGGCGACAGCGACGAGCACTAAAAAAAAGATTAAGATTGGGAGTGCGAAGAGACCTTCAAGAGACGCTGTTTTGCCATCTTTATTCATACCAAGATGAGATGTGTTTGAGTGTAGTCCACGTACCTCAATTGTTGACCCCTCCTGAGAGCGGACTGGGCGCTCAAACAGAGGGGCTTATCACGCCTTAAGTGGTCACGAACCCACCACCTTCCAGTAAGTGATCGTAGCAATCCGTGCCTTTCCAACCAAACATTTTATGAACCAGATATTTCACATCGCTTCGAAATGCCTTCCCTACCTGGATTTGCACAATCCCTCCCACTGTCCGACCTCCACAACCTCAACGGGCTCTCCGACTCCAACGCGCTGCGAGCCTGGACTGTTGCGCGTGCGGCCGAGTATCACCGACTCGCATCAACACTCCTCTCGCTGCACAACACCGTTGCCCCAATCCACCGTGCCCTTCCTACAGAGATACTCTCCGAGATCTTTACCTATTGCTGGGAAGATGGAGATAGCAGGAGCATTCGCGTCGCTCACGTCTCTCGCCCATGGCGCGAAATAGTTCTGAAAACTCCTCGGTTTTGGGAAGAGGTTGCCACAGCTCCTGGGCCGATGTTCGATTTCGAAAATTTCGACCTATGGACGACAGAGAAACGCGATGGTCGTGAAGCTTGCCTCGCGACGGTCCTCGCCCACAGCCATCCCAAGCCTATCCGCGTCACAGTATACGGCCTACCTTTACCGATCGCCACGGCCATCCGTCATCACATCACACGACTTGTCAAACTGGACGTCACTTTAGCATGCTTAGAGGGGCTGGCGTCGCTGAACAGGCTGCTTTCTGCGTAAGTGCCGAACCTCGAGTCGCTTATTATCGATCCGGCTAGGTCCCTCCCGCCCGGCGACGACTTTGATCTATCCTCTCAACAGCTGTCTGTAACATGGTCTGCATTTACCGACGAACCTGCCGCGGTCATGCCTCGTCTTCGGACCCTACGTGTACCCATGGACCTTTTCCCATTTCTAGCCCGTCCGACACTGCAGTCGGTTCACATCAGGCAACCGCTTTTTAACACCCGCGACTTCTCAATGAGCGATCTCCGCGGTGCGCTGAAGAATTTTCGCGAGCTCTGGGATCTCGAAATCTTCTTCGACAGCACCGTCGGTCGCAGGTCTGTGCGGTGGCCAGAGGATATAGTCGAACGGCGGGTCCGACCGAGCGGGTCCCCTATCCTACCCGCGCTGAAAACACTGAAGATCTTCCACACGATGCTACAAGCTCCCCTTTACCTCGACTACTTCACGTTCTCTCCGCAAGCATCTATCGATCTCCACTCATGCGGCTCCGATAAAATGGACCTCCAGTACGCACTGCCGTCCAACAGGGACTTCCTCGGCGCCCTCGTCTACCCAGTCGCCAGCGTTCACGTGGAGGAGGGCGCCAGAGCGAAGCGCAGCTGGATACAGGATCCCGCAGGCGATCCCACGCACGCGACCACCACCGAGCCCCACGACACCCGCGGGCACCGCGTCCTCCGCGCCGTCTTCACCCGCACCCACCCGCACATGCCCGTGATCGTTTGCGTCGACTCCTTCGTCGAGCGGTTCCGCACCGTCGCCAGCGTGACCCGGCTCACTCTGCGCCTGGACCGCCTGTTGACGAGCGGCCTGTGCCACGGGATCTTCCGCGCCTTCCCGTACCTCACCACGCTCGAGCTCGGTGGCCGTAGTATGTTCTACAACATGCTCTCCGGTCTCGCCAGCCCTGACGATGACGCGGTGCACGGCCCCACGTGCCCACGACTGGAAACGCTCGTCGTCGGCGTCCCGGCGCTACACCCGGCAGATCTTCAAGTACTACGCCCTCCTTTCAAGCTCCCGGCGACGCTTCCTCCAGAACGGGAACTGGCATGGGATACCGAGGCGCGATGGGAGGTGGAGGCGGTCCGTGCGCTGAAAGGGACGTTGGCCGTGCGCGCTGCCCGCGGAGCCCGACTCCTTCGTCGTGTGGTGTGGGAAGTCCGTGGGTCCGAAGCGGCGGAGAGCAGCGACGTGGAGGATGCGATGGTGGGAGTTGATTGGAACGGCCTGTAGGAGTTCATCGATGGGCCGGTAGAGTTTGGTGACGTCGGGCATGGCATGGATTAAATGTCGAACTTGGCACCCTTCGCCTGACAGCATTTGTGCGTTTATCTTCATGCGGAATGTCTTAGACGATGTGTATCCTGCAATTTCCGATAAAATCCTAGGTGAGAAGGTGGGGAGATTACACAAACGAGCATCCAACCATTATTTAGCGTCTCCTTCATGCCAATCGTCACCGCACACGCTCTAGTCCCTGCGCTCGACCGAGCCATCCACCAGCCGATCCAGCCAGCCCAACTCAACCCCATCGACCATGCGGCATGCCCTCCTCAAAGTCCTTCATTTTCCGGACGTAGGACACCCGCGCATTAAGCTGGTCCACGAATTCTGGATCCGTCCCATCCCTATCCACTTCTTCGGCCGTCAACGTGCGCACGCCCCAGACCAGCCGGGAAAGGCGGGTTCCGTGCTTGGCGCGTTTGGAGACCATCGCGCCCAGCGCGCGCGCCGCGGTCCGTGCGTCCCACCCTGCTGCATCGCGGGTCCGACCATCGAGCAAACGAGCGTCCATGCGAGAAAAGGTGGCGACAAGCGTCTTGAGGAAGGGACACAGAAGGAAAGTACGATAGGCGTTTCGTTCGAAGTCCTCCGGTCTGAGGTGGAGGATCGTCGAGCCAATCGCGGGGCCACTGATTTCGAGATACGCGAGGTTGGGGAGGGCCTCGAGCACGCCTCGCTTGGTGGCGTAGCGCGTCAGGGAGCGCATAGTGAGTCGGGTGAGGCGTCTGAAGATGGAGGGGGCGAAGAGGCGTTCGTAATCGACGTATTTGTTCGCGAGCCTGTCGGCGCAAAAGATGCGATGTCCGTCGATATCGTAGAGCCTGACGGAGGCTTCCAGATGATCGGTCTCCCATTATTCGGCTATACGGATCTCGACTACAGGGAGATCACAGTGGTAAAAGCTGGGTACGGGTCCATACCACTGGTCCGAGTCGTGCATTGAAGGCGGGTCAGAAATGAATACCTCGATAGACCTCCGAGGATTGAACGTGAGGACATTGAGATAGGGGGCTGTGCTTCTGAACGGACCGTGAAGACTGATATCCTCCAAGGACGGAAGCAGGGGCTCTGGTTCGAGTGCTGGAGGGGTGTACGCAAGACGTGGCCAATCCAGGTTCTGAACGAGGAATGTCCCTTGTCGACAAAAGCGATTGTGAGATGGAGGAGGTTTGGACACTTCTTCAACGAATCCTTGAGTACTTGAGGATGAGGGACTCTGGTGTTGAATGGTGGTTGTGTAACGTGGACGGAGTGCAATGTTGGACAAACCAAGAACGGGAGAAGGTCAAAAGGAACGCGGTGTAAGGTCCGGAGACGTGGCATAATCGAACGGGCGTCGACTGTGGACCACATTGCAGATAGCTGTTCCTCTGAGACGCGGGAATTCCGTCGACAGTCGGGAGTGTCGGGTGATTCGATGTTCAATGTTTCCAGCCCGCTCACACCTTCTGTATGGCACAGCAAAGTACGCAGAGTGGAGAGCTGATCGACACCTGCCATGATGGTGATGCGGAGCTCCACAAGCCGTGCAGCGTGTGGTACCAGAGCAGATGCAATGGGAAGAGGAAATCCACGTGTCGTGACACCAAGGGATGCAGGTTTCGTGTGAGCGAAAACCCACGCCGCGCAAGCCACACGGCTTTCGTGCTTCGCAGTCGTCCACGTGTCCCATTCTTCGAAGTCGAACATAGTTCCCGGAGCCGTGGCAGCGGCGACCCAGAACCGAGGGGTCTTCAACGCGGTCGCGCGCCATCGGCGACAGACGTGCGCGACGCGGATGCTGCGGCTGTCTCCGGCGCTCCAGGAGTGAGCAAAGATCTCGGAGATCATCTCGACGGGGAGCGTGCGGTTGATGAGAGATGCGTTGTTGTGAACGCTGAGGAGGTCGATAGCAAGGCGGCGATACTCTTCGGCGCGGCCGAGAGCCCAGGATTGGATGGCGTCGGGAGAGAGGGCTGGATGCGAGTCGGAAAGGGCCCCGCCAGTGAGGTCTTGCCCCGCCATCTTCACTCTCAGCTGGATACAAGGCGAGGTTCAGCAAGAAAATGCGGCGCACATATACGTGAGACGGACCGGTAGACAGTAGCAAGGCTTGACAGGGACCACTTGAAGGCCGGCGAGCGAATACGGAGCCAAGGACAGAGAATTTGTGATCACGTCGATGGAGGGAACGATCGTGAGCGTAGGGCGACAGATGAAAGAGAAAAGATGTGGTATATCAGCCTATACTGGATCCACACGCTGGGAATGAGAATGTGCTGGGCCGGTTGGTCGCCTGTGAAGATAATTGGTTGGGGGGTCAGGGAGATGACAAATCCCACGTGACAAACACGTGCCTCTCCAATCCATGGAGAAACACATGAATTCTGATTCCTGAACGTTGAACGTCCCTAGTACGGATACGCCACGACTAAGCGACTCTCGAGATCAGCAGGATGGCTACACAGTCTCCCCAAACTAAACCAGGCCATCAACGAGCTCGTGTACGCAGCGCCAGGAATCGCTAGACAATATGGCTTCCTCCATGCAGGCACCCGCGTCCCACCCCCGGTTCCCTAACACATGTTGTGCTGAACACGCCAGCCGACGGAGACGTGTGCCACAGTTTAAACGAGGGGAAAGCACCCCCATGAGCGACTGGATGGGCCACGTTGCCGCCGGTCGCCGGCCCCATCTGAGGACATGGTTCTAAATCGTCAGCACAGCAGACAGCGGGCAGTGGGGCCAAGGGAGAAGGCGTCATAGCCGTCCGGTTGTTGCAGCTATACAGGAGGTCCGGCTGCGACGGACAAGCAGAGCGCGATATTTGGAACTCCCGCAAGCGGCAAGACACCGTATATGTGGTTTGTGCATCAAAAGTGTCGGACCAGTGACGATGAGCATCGAGACGGAAAATCTCCCCCAGGGCCGGCGGTGCATAACTTGGACATGCCATAGGTACATAGGCAAAATAGAGACGGGCAGAAGGAAAGGCGAGACTGAGGCAAGCAAGCGGCGGACGAGCGCGAAAATTGTGCCCAGCGCTATGATGCTCGGGCCGGGATATGCCGTGCTGTGGTCGGATACAGCGGCTCGTGGCCTCGAGGTTTTTGAACCTGGCGCCCATCCACCCAGCCCGTCTCCGCGCGGATGCGGGCGTAAAGCAGCGTGGTTAGACCCAGCGCTATACTCCGTCCAGTTATCTCGCATCGGTCCAATGTGTGGGACGGATACGTGCGCTTCCCTTCTTGTTTGACGTATGCACTGATCATCACCTCCGATTCGTGCTGGTACAGCTGGTGTCTTCGGAATGGAAGATGCTCATTTCCGCAAGACATGCGCATGAACGCACAATACCCGGATGCATGGGGCGTATTTATACCGGTTGCGTTCATATGCTCATCGGAGACTCACAGGGCTGTAGCTTCTGTGGTCGGCGTGTCGTAGGGATCGACCCGAATGCCCGTTCTGTGGAAGGTTTATGCTTATGCGATCTCCCGTGCTCACCTCAAGCCATCTGCTCATATAGTCCGCTCGCGCTTGCGTGCGGGATCCTGCCTTCCCCAGTACACTCTCCGTATTCTGCCATCGCCACTGTTTGTAGCAGACGTCGCCCACGTTGCCCACTGCAGCTGCCAACTATGTCGTCGTCGCCCCCCGATAACATCCATTCACACAATCCCACTCAGGTTGGTGCGCGCACGGTGCCTTCCCGCTCGGAGCTGACCAGGACCTCATAGGATCCGTCCCCTCTCCCACATGCATCGATCGTATCGTCGGACGACATAAGCCCTGTGTCCCCTTTGCAACAAGTGTGTACGACGTCTTTCTCGAGTTCTCTGCTGCGTTTCTTACATGCACCCACTAGAAAAAACTTCCTCGGGACGATTCCACCGTACACGATACAACAGTCCAGGCCTCTGAGCCGGCCTCTGCGACTACAAATCCCTCCCTTGTATGTGATTTCACTAGTCACCGTCGTTTCTCGAACGCTCAACTGCGTACCTGCCTTCAGGGCCAATGTAATCAGACTTGCGATTTGTTGAAGGCGATACTGGCGCAGCTTCAAAAGGTTTGAGCGTTTCCTCACTATGTTGCAGCATACTTACGGCACCTTAGAACGCGTCTCCCGGGAGCGCAAGTGAACGTGCGCCCGACCAAGTAGTGAACGAGAAGGAAATTGAGAACGCGGCACAGGTAAGCCTCGTTCCATTGTCCGTACACGTCTGAACATGACTGGATTCATGTTTGTTTCTACGCAGAAGCTTCTGTCCGCGCATGCGCAAACAGAGACGGCCGATGCAGGTACAACGCTAGACAATTTGCGCGTGAGCTCTCATTCTCTTTGCTGTATTGAGTACCGCATAACCGTTCTGGTCAGAACGTACTCCCAAAGCTCAAGACGTATTCAAGTGCAGAAATTCAAGATGCATGGGATTCGAGTAGAAAGATGGTAGAACAGGGGAGTGATGAGCTTGTGCGGGGATGGAACAAAGAGATCGATGCTCTTTTGACATTTGTGAGCATTTCTCGAGCTGGATGTCGATATTTTCTCATACAGATTAACACAGGACGGTCTGTTCTCGGCCGCGCTCACCGCTTTCAATACCATCTCTTTCGCCTTCATTCAGCCGCAGACCAACAGTACATTAAATGCTACGGTTCTACAGGCGATCTCGCACCTAAGAAGCGTCATCCTCGACTCGTCCCTCGCCAGCTCCTCGCCGGCGATCGACGCCGCTCTGCAGTCCCCCACGCACCCGCCGAGCTGGACCGTATGGTTGAATGCGCTCTGGTTCACTAGCCTTACGTTCAGCTTATCCTCGGCCACCATCGGAATCATGGCCAAGCAGTGGCTGAAGGAACACAGAATCGGGGTACGAGGGACTCATTCCACCGACGTCGCAAGACTACGTATGTACCGGCTCAAAAACCTCGAGGCATCGCATGTCCCCATCATCATCGCTCTCTTGCCCCTGCTCCTTATCATCGCCCTTGTGCTGTTCTTCGCTGGCCTACTTATTCTCCTCTATCATGCACACAAGGTCGTCTTCACAGTCACCTCCTTATTCGTGGGCATCTTGCTGCTCTTCATCATCGGCACAACCGTCCTTCCCATCATCGACTCTACACGCTGCTACTTCTCGCCACAAGCTCAGATTGTTTTCAATCTGCGGTGCTGCATCATACATGGGTGGAACTTACTGAGCCGCTGGGCTGACCTCGCCTTGTATCGGCTGTTCAATCGCATGACGGGCAGCCGTCGTATCTCAGCACTCTTTCCCGGCCAAATTATCTGGAGCGCCTATGTATACTTCGTAGGAAAGTCCCCCCACGGCGTTGGTATGACCCCTTACCCCTTCTTGGGCCTCCCCGCGTGGAAGGGAGACGAAATGTCGGTCGTATCCAAGCACGACACGGATCTCGACGCCCAAACCGTACTCTGGTCAACCATCAACTTTGTCCGCAACGACAAAGCGAGCGTCTGTCTGTCCAGCAACGACAACATCGCGAGGGCTTACATGATGTGTGCAGCCCGGCTTTTCGGGAGTACAAGGAGTATTGCGCCCACGACCACCCTCCTGCGACAAACTATCCTCGAGGCTGTCCAGGCACACTTCTATCGCACTTTTAGAAACGGAGACCTCTTGAAGGAGGACTGGGATCACCTGTATTGCTTCGTCGAGACAGGAAACACTTCTGCGAACAGCAGCGACGAGCTCAGAGCGCGTGTCATTTACACCACCGGACGAGTCTTGGACGGCCCCGCGGTGGACGCTTCCGACATCCAATGGGAACATTTATGGCGCGAAGATTGCTGAGCCCGCACCATCGGCGAGGTGACCACGCTGCAGATTGGTGCGTTTGATTATGGCACTAGCTCGTCATGGGCGATCATTCACCTCGTCTCAAGCCGCGTACGCGGCTGCGCACAGACTTGACAGCCACACCCACAACCCTTCTCTCGGTCGTCCCGACGCACCCGAACAAGTTGTAGCGTGGGAAATACAGTTCATATACTACCACATCAACGTGCTTCGGGAGCTTCTCGAATACTCGACGCCCTTGGTCTCCGACTCCGAGGCCATTTCGAAGATCCTACCGTTCCTAACGCATGCTTTCTCCTCCATCAAAAAATTACTTGACAGCGTCTCGTGGTCGTCCTACTCATCGTATCAGCTCAGACTCGCCTGCAAAGGGTACTGCGAGATCACCGCAGACCTCCTGTACTTTTCTCGCCATCAGTCTCCGGACGTCAGAAGGCTGGTCACGCCGCGGCTCAGGAGTCAGCGCGTCCCTCACGAATGTGTTTGTCAGGCTCCTCGACACGGAGGATCCACCCAGGGTGGGTCTAGAAGTGTTCGGATCCAAATTCGTCTTGGACAGCGAAACGAACCTTTCCGCCCTGCTGGAAACGGTCTCGATTCCTCCGTATGCGACGACGGACCACGAGTGTTTGCGTCGTACGGCTCTCAGCTCCGAGGGGCCCATCTTCGCCATCATCCGCTCCATAATGCATCAGTACGTATCGCGCGCTGGTTCACCTCGTGTGAACGCTGCTGACCAGTTTTGTTGAACAGCTTCGGAGATGCGGCTCTCTCAGCCATACCGAACGATCCAGGGAGCGCAGCAGCTGCAGACAGCAGCATGGGCTCCACCACTCACCTGGGCTTGTGCGCACAATTTCTGGCAACTCGCTACCACAGCTGACGTTCTTACATTTCGAACAGATGAACGAAGCTATGGAGATGTAGGCGGAGCACCGACACTAGACGCGGAGCCACGTCACCGAACCCACTGTCACTTATGCCCGTACGAGGACCTCTCTTGTTATCCGTGTGTTTCGCCCCTGTTACGATCTGTCCGCAATCCTATGCCCCATGTTCGTCTTCCCTCCGCAAATCTTGGGTGCGAGCGAGCGACGAGCGGGAGCGGCGATGTGCAGCATTGCAGAGCTCTCGGCGGCGCCGCGCGTTGTCGCCAGTGTTCAGAACAGCCCGTCCAAATACGATCCCCAGGCCTGAGCCACGACTAGTGGTATCAGCGAGCCCCCGAACGACACGCCCACCTCAGAGCCTTCGTAGATGAGCAAAGCCCGTACTTGTGTCTTCGTTCGATCTAGGGAGCTATGAGCCCGTCGCGACAAACTTGCATCTCTACGACGTGCAGTGACATTGGAAATAGGAGAGATGACGGTTCGTGCAACCTTGAGACATGGCGGGCCCGTGGGCCTGCCTCAAACTTCTCTGCGGGCATCGCACGGGAGCGTCGATAAGAGCCTCCGGAGGGGTCTTCTGGATCGCGGTTCGGTACGACGCCACTGTCGGACCAGGTCGGACCCATATGGATTCTCCTCGGATCGGAAGCCGGTGAGTGTTGAATAGCGAGCAACATTGGCCCCGAAGATGTCTTCCACGCTGCAGAAAGCATGAGAGAGCAGATCGCACGAGAGGGGAGGACACGGTTTACGGAGCCGACGCCATTGTCGACGTTGAAGAGGTCAAGGGCAAGGCGGCAGTACTCTTCTGTGCCAAAGGCTGTCCAGGCTTGCACTGGGGTGGGAGACCTATGAGTTGGGCGTAGTCAGAGGTGAGAACCGTGTCGGAGAAGTTGGGGAAGAGAGGGTCCGCGGCGGCTGCCATATTGTGCCGCAGGGCAACGAGAGTGCTGATTAAGCGATATATCTGGGGATTCGGTAAGAGATCATAGTTGATAAACATAGACAGTGCTGAGAGCGCCAACAGGTCCCAGACGACACGACGGCGTCCCCGGACTACAAGGTCATCCCGTTGTGACTTTGTCGCGTTGACCGTACACGCCTCGGCTTTGAGGTTTTCGGGGATTCTTGCGTCTATGGGTATTGGCGCACCCACTTCAGTCACGTATTGTCCTCAGGGCCATTGTAACAATATCCGCCTGCTTCAATGTTTGTGATCAAATTGGGAGAAGCAAGAAAAATGGCATAACGACAGGCAAATATATGATCAAGACATGCAGCGTACAGACTCAATCATCCATGCTCCTTGTCGGCAGCAGACGTGTGTCTACTTTGACGCCTCAACGAAGCGACGCTCGGCCTCCTTGAAGTTGACAACGTTCCAGATGGCGGTGAGGTACTGAAAACACCGTCAGCTGGGGGTGGCCACGTCGCTATATGCGCATAGAAACTCACATCCGCCTTGACGTTATGGTACTGGAGGTAGAACGCATGCTCCCAGATGTCAATGCCGATGATAGGGACGTGGGTGAGGAGCGGGTCCTGGTTCGCGGTGGTGACGATCTCGAGCTTCTTCGTCTCGGGGTTGTAGCCGAGCCAGCCCCAGCCGGAGCCCTGGATGCCGGCGGTGACGGTGTTCATCTTCTTCTTGAACGCTGGAACCGTGAACGTCAGTATATCGTCAACGCTGCAGAGACATAGACACAGGGCGACACGAATGCCATGCTTCCAAGCACTCGCTCCACATTCCGAGCTCAAGGATAGCCCACGCATAGACCTCCGACAACGTGCCTGCAAGGGGGGACAAGACACGCGAAAGAAAACCCACGATACACTCACCCTCGACGCTCCCAAAGTCCGCCTCGAGCGCCGCCTTGAGCGGGCCGTCCGCGAGCTGGCCCCCGCCCATGCCCGCGGGCGCGAGGTTCTTCCAGAAGAGCGAGTGGTTGATGTGCCCGCCGCCGTTGAACTTGAGCGCGGCCTGGAGCCGGATCTGCTCCTTCGGCGATGGCGCCGTCGCGTACGACTCCTCGGCCGCGTTCAGCCCGCTGACGTACGCCTGGTGGTGCTTCGAGTGGTGGAGCTCCATGATCTTCGCCGCGATGTGCGGCTCGAGGGCCTGCGCGGCGCGGGACGGGTGAGCGGGGGCGTGCGGGATGAGAGCGAGAGCGAGGGACCCACGTCATAGGAGTAGTCGAGCTGGGGGAGGGTGTGCACACTGCGCGCGGCGAGAGAGAGGGCCGCAGCGGGGGCGCGCGTGGCGGGGCGAGCGGTGCGGGCAGCGGTGCGGGCGAGGGCGGTGAGGACGGACATGGTGGTGAGGAGGCAAGCGGGAAACAGGCTGAGTGAGCGCAAGGATATATGCGACGTCATCTCGCCGCGCACGTGGCCGCGTTGGCTTTTCGGCGACCGTCGGCTTGCGATCGTCGCTGGGCGCCTCGTTCACGTTGTGCTGCTCTGGATGCGCAATGTATTCGAACACTGAAGTACTGAAGTCCTGACCACCGCCGGCTCTCGGTTTAGATTTCGCGCAGTTACCGCAGCCTTTCTCAGCTGTAGGCCTCTTCCAAGAGCTATGCGAATACGTCATCTCCCAAGTTCATTGGTGCATGCTCCACATTTTCTAAGTGCCGCCTTCTTTCGCCACATGAGGCTTCACAACCTGCCACGGAAAAGCTCGACGACAGTGATGCCGACGTAGCAGGAAGACTATGCTCGCGGAGAGTCTATGATAGCAAGCGGCCGGTATGATACAGTCTACAAGTCTATTAACCGATCCAAAGTCATCATAGCAAATAGCAAGCACTGTTCCCCGACGCAAGAGCGAGGGGACGTCTCAAACAGCCTTGGCTATCGCGACCTCGTGCTCGTGCTCGTGTGCGGCCGTCTCTTCCCGCTCCTTGGCGGCGTTCACCGAGCTCAGGTACGCGTCTGTGCGTGCGAGGACGTCGTCAGCGACCGGGTATCTGAAGGACGGGAGAACGGACGTACTCCAGAAGAGGGCGACGACACCGATGGTGACGAATCGCAGGTGCGGAGGAACGTACTTGAAGTTCACGATCTGCGTCGGGATGAAGACGCCCCTGCACAGTCGAACAGGGATGAGCGACCCCAAGAAGCACGCGAGACGACGGATGGCGAGGGCGGCGCTGCTTCGCCAAGAAGAACACGTACCAGTTGCGGATGATCGTGGGGACGTAGGCATCAGCTATCCGCTCCTGCGCGTCCGCGACGCTCTTGCCCTCGAGCAGGGTGTTCGCACCGAAGAACAGCGCAATGACACCTATAACACGTTAGATGACGGGGTCCACAGCACGAACGAAAGAAGGCGCTCACCAGGCGTGAACATGAACTGGTCGAGATACACCTACGGGCAGGGCAAACGTGTGAGCGACGGGGAACGCGAAAAAGGCGACGGACGGACGGACCTTGTACATCACCGCCTTGTTCGGCGTCGAGAACTGGAGGCGGTTGAGGAGCCCCAGCCACTTCGTGAGGAGCGGGCCGAAGATGGCTCCTGCATGGGCGAACGAAAGCTCATCAGCGACTGAGTGGCGATGCGGGGTGCGGGGTATGGAGTGCGGGGTAGTGGGCGTATCGATCGGCACGGCACGGGGAACACGTACCTCCGTAGAACGAGAGCCGGGCGGTGCGCATCCACTGCAGCGCACGATAGCACATACGCCTTGTCAACGCGCATACAAGAGGGGGGGAAAACGAGGACACGCACATCGTGGTTCATGCCCTTCTTCTCAAACGCCTGCTGCGCGAGGATGTCGCCCGTGCCGAAAAGCACGGCAGATGTCGCGCACTGCGTGATCATGGGCTTGCGTGCCGCCGCAGAGCTGTGGAAAGGACGAAAAACACGCAATCAGCATGGCGCACTATCAGGGAGTCAAACGCGAACGAAGCTCATTGACGCTCACTTGAACGCGTGGAGGAAACGAGACATGGCGCTTTTTTGGCTGCTGGCTCAGCGAGATGGGGCTAGAGAGGGCCCGGGTCGACGGGGTGGGTGAGGTGGCAGCGGTGGGAGTGGGAGGAAGGCAAGGGCGGGCACATCCTGGCGGGAAGTGGAGTCGCTTGGGGACGGGCGCACGACGCGACCCACGCGCGCCCGGGGTACGGACCGTCCCCCGGCGGGTGCGGCCAGGATTTTGCCGCCACTGCCGTCCCGGCAGGTCGTATGTAGCGGCAGCTGACAGGGGCAATACGCATGGGCGAAACTGCTCCATCACAAGGATGTCGGTCACTTGCTCTGGAGAATGCTCAATGTTGGCCGCGCAGACACGCTGCACATACCGCACCAGGTAGTAGGCACTCAGATCGGGCTTTCAAGCCAGCGAGGGCTCGTCAGTCGGTATGGTATAAGCAAGAACAACAAATGAAGAGTGGTTCCAAGGTATTATGCACGAAGCCGAGGCGCTACTGAAAGAAAGTCACGGAGAGCATGGAAAGACATACGCATAACTTACAACTGTAAAAGTCCAAAACCGACACCAACCAGCTCAACTTCACCGTATAAAAAGGCGAAAGTCACGCCCAATCTCAACACTACGATCGAGTCCACCGAGGCATCTACCGCACGAGCTTGAAGTAAAGAATGACGAGGATGAGGATGACAAGGACCGCGATGATGGCCGCGGTGACGACGCGTTGCTGGTACATCCTGCATTCGCCCGAAAATCAGATCCATCTGTCGACGCCCATGAAGGCAGCAGGAGCAGCAGTGCCAGCAAAAGACACACATACCTCCGGATCATCTTCTTCAGCGTCACCGACGCACGGTCGATGGACGTGTCCGCCCGGTTCAGCTGCAAAGCGCAAACGCCAAACGCGGCCTCAGCTCACCCGTCCTTTCGAATACAAACCGGAGCGGAAGCGGGACTCACCGTGTCCCTCGAGTTCTGGATCTGCTCGCGCTGCCCGCGCAGGCTGCGGAGGATGCCGGCGCCCTGCTCCTCCGTCTCGAGCGCAATCCGCTGGCTCTCCTGCAGCCGCCGCGAGCCGTCCTCGAGCAGCGTGGTGCCCTGGAGGAGCCGCGTGCGGTCGCTCGCCGAGCCGCCGTACGGCTCGTCGCTGCTCGGGGACGCCATCCCAGGGCGAGTGAGAAGCTCGGAGCGGGAGAGCTGCGTGTGGGCCTCTTTGGAGAGCTTCTTGTACCGCTGGAGGTCGGCCTTGGAGGCCTTGATGCGGGTCTGGTAGGACGGGCGGAGGGACTGGGGGATCCCTTGTATTTCTATCTCCATTTGAGATACCTGAGAGGAGAAGAGAGAGGAGTCAGCGATGAGGCAAGACGGAAGTCTGGGTTAGCTGTGGCGGGTTGAGAGGACAAAGCTGCTCTGCAACACAGTATAGACAGAGATCATACACCCCGCTAGCAGCGCGGTGCGTCCGTCGACTGATCTGGCTGCGCCTACGAACCCAACAATGTGAGAAAGGAGAGCTAGACACGCACCATCTCGTCCGCCTCGTCGAGCTCCATCTCGACGCGCCGGAGCGCCGCCTTGCGCTGCTCGCCCTGCACATCCTGTCCGCCGCCCTCAAGCTTCTCGCGGATGCTGTTCACGATCTGCTTGAAGTCGGACTCGTACGAGTCGAAGAGCGCCGTTGGGGAGTCCATTGTCGTTTCTCAGTGCTTCTAGGGTGGGCGAGTCGGCCTGCGAGCGAGGGGAGTGGAGATGGAGATAGAGATAGACGTGGAGGAGAGGAAAGGAAAGAGAGTCTTGTGGGCGCAGCACCTGCGCACCCTGGGCTTTGGCAGTGGCGGACAGCGCTCGCACTGGGCAGGCGTTGACGTCGCCCGGCACGGCGCAGCTGTGTGCACGTGTTTGCCCCGCTGCCTTTCTGGGAATTTCTCTGCGACTCCGAGCGCGCGTGCCAGGTGCAGGCCCCTCCCAGACTCAGAGACCACACGGTGAGCAAGTGCTCAGTGCTGCTGCAGGTGGATGCAGAACTGACGCGCATACACACAGGATCCATATTCATGGACGCCGCCGCAGCCGCCGCGCTCCAGGAGCGCCTTCAGACGGCGTCGGTCGAGTACCAGAAGCTGCAGTCCGACCTCTCGATCGCGGTCGATGCCCGCCAGAAGCTCGACGCGCAGCTGTCCGAGAACGAGCTCGTGAAGAAGGTCCCGCACTTCGTCTCCTCCACGTCTTTCTCGTCAGCTGATGGGCGCTGCGAGTGCAGGAGTTCGCGACGCTGAAGCCAGAGAACACGGTTTACAAGCTCGTGGGGCCCGTGCTCGTGCCGCAGGACCAGATAGAAGCGAAGCAGAACGTGGACACGCGGCTGGACTTTATCAGGGGAGAGATGTGAGTCCTTCGCGTTCGTTCGTCGGAATGGGAGCAAGGTCTGAAGGAACCGGGCGGGTGTAGCAAACGCCTCGAGGGGCAGCTCAAGGACTACAACGACAAGTCGGAAAAGAAGAAGATGGAGGTTCGTTAGATGATTTCCCCTGTGATAGGTCATGTTCATGCTGATGGGCGCGCGCAGCTCGTGGAGATACAGGCTGCACTGCAGCAGCCAGCGGGGACTGCGCCCACGCAATAGTGGTCGAAACGCTCAACGCTGGATGCTCGATAGTCCTGGGGTGTCGCTCGTAATGAGGAGAGAATGTATGTATCATTTTGTAGCCATAGCCAGGTTCCAACGTACAGAAGGGTGTTGCTACCTGTTGGAGGCCGATGGGGGAGGGTGTGGAAGCCAGCTTGTGGATAGGTGGAATACCTCCCGGACAAATGCATTGAGCCCGACGAAAGAGACAACATACGTCCTGAGCACCCATTTCTTTCATCCCACGCGTACACACTAGCCACTTCTCCCCGACGCCGTCTAGTCGATTACCGCGTTGCGGGCATTAGGTAGAGTGTGAGGTGAGGATGCAGGTCGAGTCGAAGAGTGGGCGATGGGTTAATGGTGTTATGACGGAGAGGTCGCCTGATTGCCAGCTTGAGTTACTCCTGCTGCTGTCGCAGCCGCCTCGGCCGCCTGCCTCGCGTGGAGGGCCTCACGGTCCGCGACGGGGCTCTTGATGATGCGCTCGAGGGTGAACCGCTTGCGCGCGGAGATGGGCGGGCAGTTGCGGATGAGCACGGTGTCTCGTATGTGCAGCTCTATGGACAACGTCAGTTGCGCGTTCACATCCAGAAGGACGGTGGACAGGCACCAAAACGCACCGTTTTTCTCGTCATGTGCGAGGATCTTCGTCGAACGGTTGAGCATCTGCAAACAAGGCATCAAGGCGAGCTCCCGGTCATGTGAGAGTCATAGAACGTACCTTCCCTGTTCTCTTGTGCGCGACGAGCCGCGACACGACCACCGTCGCGGTCTTGTTCATCACTCCGACTTTCGCCACTTCTCCGATAAAAGCCATGGGAGGCATGGTGGGCGCGAGACAGGGTTGGAGTGAGGAGGAGGAGGAGGAGGGCGTCGTCGTCGTCGTCGACCAACTGGTGCGTTGACGTCGTGCGCACTGCGCTAGCGGGTCTGTTCAGACCACGTGACAAGAGGACCTCCATCTCCAGGCGCCCAACGCCTTCAATGTCTCTCTGCCATTTGTTCCGTTCCATCCTCAATCTGTACGTACTTTGGGTCCCCCAGTCACAAAACCTCACACATTTCTAACAGCTATAGTACCCTCTTGCTGGATCCACAGATATATCGCTTGATCAGCACTCTCATCGACCAGCGGCCAAACATGGCAGCCTCCGCCGCGGACCCTCTCCCCTTCCCCAATTTCTCCGACGTGGTCCTCCCCTCCGATCGCGCGCGGCTTGCAGGCCTCTCGCCCACCGCGGTGCAAGCCTGGACAGCTTCCCGCGCCGCAGAGTACCGACGTCTCGCTCTTGGCCTCTTCAGCATCTACAATGCCGTCACCCCTATAAACCGCGCCCTCCCCACCGAGATGCTCTCTGAGATCTTCGCCCATTGCTGGCAGGAAGACAACAGCCGTAGTATCCGCGTCACGCATGTTTGTCGCCTGTGGCGCGCGATCGCACATAAGACGCCGCGCTTCTGGGCGGCCGCTGCTTCAGCTCCAGGCCCGATGCTCGACTTCGAAGGATGGGACGACTGGCCCTCAGAAACGCGCGAAACACGCTTGGCCTGTCTCACGACAGTTCTCGCGCGTACGAAACCCGAGCCCGTTATCGTCGCGGTGCGAGGTTTCCAGTCCCCTATTCCCTCGGTCCTGCTGCCGTGTGCTTCGCGGCTCGCGGCCTTGCACGTCACCCTCACAGGTCTCGACCAGATTTCCGCCTTGCGCGATCTGCTTTGCTCTTACTTGCCGAATGTTACCTCGATAAGCGTGGAGCCCCCCGTTTCCACCAATCCTTTACATCGCTTTCAGATCTCAAGTGATCAACTCGCATCGTGGTGGTTTCCCCGCCACGGACAGTCCCTCTCGGCCTTGCCTCGCCTTCGAACCCTACGCCGCGTCCCCATGGACCTCCTTCCTTCCCTCGTCCGTCCGACCCTCAGGTATGTTTACGTCACGGAAGCAATGTTCATCTACGAAGACCTCGACCTCAACCAACTCAGGGACGTGTTATCGATTTGCCCGGGCCTCTTACGCCTCACGATTTCTATGCCGGTGAGCAAAGAATATTTGAGTCCGGTAAATCCGTCAGTACCGTTCCCCGCCGAACCTGTCCTCCCCTCCCTCCAAAAACTCGTCATCCACGGGTCACTCCAAAGGACGGCCGCCTACCTCAATGCACTCACCACTACTTCTCATGCGTCCATCGAACTATGCCTTCCTACTAGAGACTTCAACAACTTCGGCTTGCGCTTTAATCGAGACATTCTCGGCAATTTTTCCACGCCAGTCGCTAGCGTCCGCCTCGACGAGCAGTGGAAGCAGAGGCGCTTTGAGAGCTCCGCAGCGCTTTACGACGCGAACCGCAACTGCCTGCTTCGGATTACCTTCAAAGAGGACATGTACCACAACTACCCGACGTACAGCGGCCTTTTCATCAGCACAAACACCGTCCGCGACATCACCCGGCTCACCATGCGCACCGTCAAAGCCCCGCAGAGCGCCCTCTTCCTCTGCCTCCCGCAGCTGACCTTCATCGACGTCGCCGGCCCCAGCGCCGGCGGCATCCTCGCCGCCCTCAGCGAGCAGCCGCACGGCCAATCTGCCCCCGGCTCCCCGCCACCCCTCCTCTGTCCCCACCTACAGACGCTGTTCGTCAGCTTCGACCGCACGCCGGAGGGCCTGCGTCCCGCGCTCTCGAGGCGCGTCGCGATGCGGGTGTGGGACGCGCGGACGGCCGCGCGCGCGCTGGCCGACGCGCTCGCGAGGCGCGCCGAGGGCGGGTCCCGGCTCTCCCGGCTCGTGTGGGGCGTGCGGACGCGGAGGGAGACGGGGCAGTGGTGGGGGCTCGACGCGGCGCTCTTGGGCGTCATCGACAGAGACGTGCGCAGCTGGGATCGGCCGGGGGATGCGGATGTCGGCGAGGGCGTGGTCAGTGAGGCAGAGGTGAGCCGCCTGCGTGGGTTGGTGGATGGTACGGTTGAGCGTAGGGACTATCAGAGTGACGACGGTGAAGTTTGAACGTTGGTAGCCGAGCCTACAAGGATCGTACTTGACATGTGACAGTGGAAGGGGACGAGGCTCATTATGACAACATTATGACACTTTCTAGGCCGTCTTACCCTGCTATATTGTCCAATATATATCATCATGTGCTACTAGTCAAGTTGTTGCTATTCCAGTCGGAGTGGCTACAGTGGGCCGGGCCGGAGCAGACAAGCGCGTCACGCCAAGATTTGGCGCTTATTTAGCATCAGTCGCACCTTGACCCAGAACCACTATCAAGCAGGACATTGAGTCGGTTGGCGTTTTCGGTACAACGTGCGTTGGGGAACAAGGAGTGGGATGCGGGTGGCGTGGAGGATGCCATATTCCTGGCGCCGCGTGCAGGAGCTCGTTTCATGATGGACCGGTCGAGTTTGGGGAGACTGCGTGTAGCCAGCTGATCTCGAGAGCCGCGTAGTCGTGACGTATCCGTACTAAGTAGGGGCGTTCAGAATTCTTGTGTTTCTCCGTGGATCGTAGAGGCACGTGTTTTCCACGTGAAATTTGTCATCTCTCTCCGTGCGCTGACCATCGCACGCAAAACAAATTCAGCCCCTTATCTTCACAGGCGACCAACCAGCCTCGCGCATTCTCACTCCCAGCGTGTGTATCCAGCTGATATACCGCATATTTTCCCTTTCATCCGTTGCCCTACGCTCACGAGCATTCCCTCCATCGTCGTAAATTCTCTCTACCCTAGACTCCGCATCCGCCCGGCCTCCAAGTGGCCCCTGTCACGCCTTGCTACTGTGTAGGTCCGTCTCACGTATACGCGAGCCATATTTTATTGCTAAATCTTGCCTTGTATCCAGCTGAGAGTGGAGATGGCGGGGCAAGACGTCACTGGCGGCGCCCTTTCCTACGGCTCCGACTTCCATGCAGCCCTCTCTCCCGACGTCATCCAATCCTGGGCTCTCGTCCGCGCCGAAGAGCATCGTCGCCTCGCTATCGACCTACTCAGCGTTCACAATGCCGCCGCTCGAATCAACCGCATGCTCCAGGCTGTCGAGATGATCTCCGAGATCGTCGCTCACTCCTGGAGCGACGGAGACAGCCGCAGCATCCGCGTCACGCACATCTGCCGCCGATGGCGCGCAATCGCGTTGAAGACCCCTCACTTCTGGGTCGCCGCTGCCACGGCTCCGGGAACTATGTTCGACTTCGAAGAATGGGACATGTGGACGACTGCGAAGCGCGAAAGCCGTGTGGCTTGCGCGGCGTGGGTTTTCGCTCATACGAAACCCGCATCCCTTCGTGTCATGGCACGTGGATTTCCTCTTCCCATTGCATCTGCTCTGGTACCACACGCTGCACGGCTTGCGGAGCTCCACATCACCATCGCAGGCCTCGATCAGCTCTCCGCTCTGCGTGCTCTGCTGTGTACAGAAGGTGTGAGCGGGCTGGAAACATTGAGCGTCGAACCACCTAACACTCCCGACCATCGACGAGATTTCCGTGTCCCTGAGGAACAGCTATCTGCAACGTGGTCCACAGTTGATGCACAATCAGGTTCTATTCTGCCACGTCTCCGAACCTTACACCGCGTGCCCCTGGACCTCCTCCCATTTTTGGTTTGTCCAACATTGCACTCCGTCCACGTTACACAACCACTATTCAACACCAGAGTCTCTCATCCTCAAGTACTCAAGGATTCGTTGAAGAAGTGTCCAGACCTCCTCCATCTCACAATCGCTTTTGTCGACAAGGGGACATTCCTCGTTCAGAATCTAGATTGGCCACCTCTTGCGTACACCCCTCCAGCACTCGAACCAGAGCCCCTGCTTCCGTCCTTGGAGGATATAAGTCTTCACGGCCCGTTCAGAAGCGCAGCCCCCTATCTCAATGTCCTCACGTTCAATCCTCATACGTCTATCGAGGTATTCATTTCTGACCCGCCTTCAATGCACGACTCGGACCAGTGGTATGGACCCGTACCCAGCTTTTACTACCACTGTGATCTCCCTGTAGTCGAGATCCATATAGCCGAAGAATGGGAGACCGATCATCTGGAAGCCTCCGTCAGGCTCTACGATATCGACGGACATCGCATCTTTTGCGCCGACAGGCTCGCAAATAAATACGTCGATTACGAACGCCTCTTCGCCCCCTCCATCTTCAGGCGCCTCACCCGACTCACTATGCGCTCCCTGACGCGCTACGCCACCAAGCGAGGCGTGCTCGAGGCCCTACCCAACCTTAAGTATCTCGAAATCAGCGGCCATGCGACCTGCTCGACGATCCTCGACCTCTCTCCGGATGACTTCACACGAAACGCCTATCGTACTTTCCTTCTGTGTCCCTTGCTCAAGACGCTCGTTGCCACTTTTTCTCGCATGGACGCTCGTTTGCTCGACGGTCGGACCCGTGATGCAGCAGGGTGGGACGCGCGGTCCGCGGTCCGCGCGCTGGGCGCGATGCTCGCCCAACGAGCCGAGAACGGATCGCGCCTTTCCCGGCTGGTCTGGGGCGTGCGCACGCTGACGGCCGCAGAAGTGGATAGGGATGGGGCAAATCCGGAATTCGTGAACGTGCTTAATGCGCGGGTGTCCTACGTCCGGAAAATGAAGGACTTTGAGGAGGGCATGGTCGATGGGGTTGAGTTGGGCTGGCTGGATCGGCTTGTGGATGGCTCGGTCGAGCGCAGGGACTAGAGCGCGTGCGGTGACGATGGGTATGCAAGAGACGCTAGAAAACACTTGGATGCTCATATAAATATGTATACTCCAATTAGATTCGGTCATCCCCTAGGAATTAATCAGTAGTGACAGGTAGAACGCCGTGAGTCGAACGGTGCCTTTGACATCGCCTCTTCCATAACCTTTCCGTTCTCGCCCCGCGGGCAGCGGGTATTGAGTGCACGGACCGCCTCCACCGTCTCCCATCGCCCCTTGCTGTCTTAGGCAGGATCCCGTTCAAACGTTGCTGGGAGGCTTACACCTCAACCTCAAAACTGAGGCATGTACGCCCCCCGCGCCGAAGTCGCAACACTAGGGCGATAGCTCGTCGGGCTGCCAACCATCGCCCCGCTCCCGATCGAGTCTGGGTGGCTCTGGTAGCCCGGGAACGTCGTCGGGTCGTCCGGGTTCTGTTGACGCGCTCAGCATTGTCTAGTCCACAAACCAATTCACGCTCACATAGGGCCTGAACGGCTTTGCGGCCATGGGAGACGGCGGGAGCTCCGCCATGAACGGCACACTCGCCGAACCTGGCCCCGGGGAGAACATCGCGCTTGGGACGCGGTCGGCGTTCGTCCGGCGGCGCCGCACCACCCATGCAGCCACGGCGGCGGCGGCGAGCGCGAGCACTGCGAGCCCGCCAACAACGCCGCCGACGATTGCGCCGACGTTCGTCTTCTGCTGGCCATTCGTGCCGCCGTCCCCAGCGCCATTTGGGGCTCCGGAGGGGCCTGAGTCGGGGGAGGTCGTGCTGGCGGAATTGGGGGCACTGTTGGACGCGGAGGAAGTGGGGAGCATAATGGCGGAGGAAGCTGACGAGTCGGGCTTATCTTGCTCTGCGAGGGCGAGGGCGGCCGTGGCGTTGAACGTGCCGCTAGTCTGAACAGAGGATCTCGCGCTGTGAGTTACAGGGCGCCACTGGACGTGGTTGAGGGAAAGACGTACGGTGATATCGAGATACGCCCAGGAAGGAATGGAGGTGCCCGGAGGAATGTTGAGCGAGTACCTATATACGGCGGGCAGCGTCAGGGCGAGTAGGAGCGCGCGGTGGAGAGCATGTGGGAGGGAGGCTCTGCTTACTGTCCGATGACCGCCTCCGCGTACGGGTCTGTGCAGTTCATAGACCATGTCGGCCATCTGCGGATCGCGAACTTTCAGTCAGAGTTGAAGCTTGATATGGAACGGGTCGGGAACCCACGGTTGGGAGAAGGTAGAGAGGCCCTGGCACGCCGCGCATGCTTGGATCATGGAGTAGTACACCGTGTTGCATTTGCACGGTGTGGCGGACGTGCTGGTCGCGATCGGGCCGACGTAGTGCTCTTCGGGGCCAAGAGGCCCAACCACAGAGTCTGCTCCGCGCCTCACGTCTGATATTGCACGCAAAAGAAGGCCTCAGAGATGTACGCACCAGCTGGAGAATTGCATGGCGTAAGGAGCCAGGAGACCACAAGGCACGGGTTCTGCCCCTTAGAGTTGCTCATCTAGTCAACGAGCCTGCGTCAGGTGCATGCTGCAAGTCACGTCACCGCCGATGAAGTTGAACGCACCCACATATAGTTAGCTTCGCAGGTCACCGTCGTATTCTGCGTGCGCGCCACCTTCAAGACGAAAGAGAGAACCACAAAAACAGAAGCAGAACGCATAGCTAGAAGGAAAGTAGGATAAGGTGGGAAAGAAGGGAGAAGAAGTCCCGCCAGGCCTCGCACGGTTTGCATACTTATATCCAGCGGCTCGCTTGGGCAGACGCCTCGCACAAACCCCACTCAGATTCCTCCGACCGCATTTCAGTCGTCTTGTTGGCGTGAAGTTCCGCTTCTGGGCTCGAGGCGATACCTGCATCGTGTGTCCTAGAGGCACGATTTGGACCAGAGGAGTGTGCGGTTGTGCTTCTGTGTCCTCCAACATTCTGCTGAGCCCCGAGATTGCGCAGGCGGAAGCCACATGCGACGGATGGGATCATTGGAAATGAAGAGCCATGAGGTTCGTGCTCTGGCAGCTGTCAGAGGATCACGTACTGCGCGGTAGACTGTGGTCACGATCATCGATGGTCAAAAGCGCCTCTCCTCGAAGAGTCTGGTACGGTGTCGGGCTGTGCGGGAGACGGTTCGCGCCTCGCAGATCTGACTGTGAGCCTGATATGACTGTTGCGCGGGGTGGACAAGGGCGGACAACTCAAGATGATGGTCACGTTCTCAAACGACACATTGACATTGGCAATATTTGTCATCCCACGTGACAAGCGAAACCTTCGGGCGAGAAATGGGCGCCAAAGTGGCAGTGGGACCGTTCTATCTCGCGCGCGTTTCGTGATGCGGTCCTCTCCTTCTCAGACCTCACTCCGTTTGTGTTCCTCCTCGTCGCCTCATATCTCCCAGGATGCTCTCTTGAATGGCGTATCTGTGGTGTTTCCCTGCGACGCAAGATTGATGTTGAGGCCCAAAGGCAAGTTTCTACTTCCGCACACCCATCATCCTCCCAGATGACACGGGCTCAGCAAGACGCAGATCTGGGGCACGTTGACTTTGCAACGCTTCCCCTCAACTCCGCTCCCTCACAGTCGCGGTCCATTACTAATCTCGCCACCCCACCTGTCACGAGTCCTATATAGGATCTGTCGCGCTGAGATGCGCGCCGTCGCTCGTCCACCTCTCTCTGCACCCCTGCCTCTCTAACAACAGTAATGCGCATCAAAGGTCTCCCAGGCCGTCATATCGCTCCCGGCGTCCCCGCGCCTTCCTCCTGCTGACACGGTTCCGGGTTCGACGCCAAGCGGGCGCAAGCGTGGCCCCTTGTGCAATTTGATACGGACCGGGCCGAGTCACTCGCCACCGAGTTCGCGCACGAGAACGACCTGGATGAGGGGTGGGGACCGAAGAGCGAATTCGTCGACCCGCGAGTGCCGCGGCGGATAACCGTGCTCAGGAAATCCCGCGAGACGAGCGGCGATACCTGGTGGATCAACGCAGGGACATCGACCCGACGAGGAGCCTCGATGGTGAGAACTTCACGTTGCTCACCCTATTAGCAGTTACAGGTAGAACGCCGTGAGTTGAAGGGTGCCTTTGACATCGCCTCTTTCACGACCTTTCTCTCCTCGCCCCGCGGGCAGCGGGCAGCGGGCGTTGAGCGCACGGACCGCCTCCGCCTCCCATCGCACCTTGCCGTTCCGTGCAGATTATCGTTCAAACGCCGTCGGGGGCTTGAAAGGGCTGAGCTTCAAAGCTGAGGCATGTACACCCCCCGCGCCGAAGTCGCAACACTAGGGCGATAGCTCGTCGGGCTGCCAACCACCATCCCGCTCCCGATCGAGTCTGGGTGGCTCCGGTAGCCCGGGAACGTCGTCGGATCGTCCGGGTTCTGTTGGTGGGTTCAGCACTGTTTAGACCACGAGCAATTTAGCACCAGTGCTCACGTAGGGCCTGAATGGCTTTGCGGCTACAGGAGACGGCGGGAGCTCCGTCATGGACGGCACATTCGCCGAACCCGGCCCCGGGGAGAACATCGCGCTTGGGACGCGGTTCGCGTTCGTCCGGCGGCGCCGCACCACCCATACGGCCACGGCGGCGGCGGCGAGCGCGAGCACTGCAAGCCCGCCGACAACGCCGCCGACGATTGCGCCGACGTTCGTCTTCTGCTGGTCTTTCGTGCCGCCATCCCCAGCGCCATTGGGGGCTCCGGAGGGACCGGAGTCGGTGGAGGTCATGCTGGCGGAACTGGAGGCCGTGTTGAACGCGGAGAGGGAGGAGGAGGTGGAGGTGGAGGTGGAGGTGGTGGAGGTGGTGGAGGTAGAGGTCATAACGGCGGAGGAAGCTGACGAATCGGGATTATCTTGCTCTGCGAGGGCGAGGGCGGCCGTGGCGTTGAAAATACCGCTAGTCTGAACGGAGGGTCGCGCGCTGTGAGTTACAGGGCGCCGCTGGACGTGGTTGAGAAAGGCGTACGGTGATATCGAGATACGCCCAGGAAGGAATGGAGGTGCCCGGAGGGATTTTGAGCGAGTATCTATGCGGTGCGGCGGGCAGCGTCAGGACGAGTAGGAGCGCGAGACGGAGAGTATGTGGGAGGGAGGCCCCACGTACTGTCCAATGACCGCTTTCGCGTACGGGTCGGTGCAGTTCATAGACCATGTCGGCCACCTTTGGATAACAAAATATCAGTCAGAGAGGGGATGAAGGCTTGAAGCTCGAGAGATGACGAATCAGGAACCCACGGTTGAGAGAAGGCAGAGAGGCCCTGGCACGCCGCACATGCTTGGATCATGGAGTAGTACACCGTGTTGCACTTGCACGGTGTGGCGGACGTGCTGGTCGCGATCGGGCCGACGTAGTGCTCTTCGGGGCCAAGAGGCCCGACCACAGAGTCTACTCCATGCCACACGTCTGAAATTGCACGCAAAAGAAGGTCACAGAGATGTACGCACCAGCTGGAGAATTGCATGGCGTGAGGAGCCAGGAGACCACAAGGCACGGGTTCTGCCCCTTAGAGTTGCTCATCTAGTCAACGAGCCTGCGTCAGGTGCATGCTGCAAGTCACTGCTGCTGACTCTAGAGTTGGACGCACCCACTTATAGTTAGCTTCACAGGTCACCGTCGTATTCTGCGTGCGCGCCACCTTCAAGACGAAAGAGAGAACCGCAAAAACAGAAGCAGAACGCATAGCTAGGAGGAAAGCAGGATAGGGTGGGAAGAAGCCCCGCCAGGCCTCGCACGTCCGCTTGTGTACTTATCTCCAACGGCCCACTTGCGCAGACGCCTCGCACAAACACCGATCCGGTTCCAGTTCGGTCTTCTTGTTGACTTGGGGATCCGCTTCCGGAGGCAATGCCTGCGTCGTGTGTCCTAGAGGCACGATTTGGGCCGGAGGAGTGAATTTTGGTGCTGCTTCTGTGTCCTCCAACATTCTGCTGAGCCCTGCGATTGTGCGGGCGGAAGCTACAGGCGACGGATGGGATCAGTGGAAATGAAAGCTATCAGGTTCATGCTCTGGCAGCTGTCAGAGACGATCACGTACTCGTGGTGGATTGTGGTCAATCACGATCATCAATGGCCCTCAGAAGCACCGTTCTCCTGGTCGGAGAGTCTGGGTATATACGGTGTCGGGCTGTGCGGGAGACGGTTCGTGTCTCGCGCCGATCTAACTCTCGGCCTGTAAGAATGACATGACCAGTTGACTGTTGGGCGGGGTCACGACTTATGATGATCAATGATGACTTTCTCGAGCTAAACGTTTTCGAAGTTGACCTGCAATTGGCAATATTTGTCATCTCACGTGACAAGCGGAAAGCCTTCGTCATAGGCGCCAAACGAGGGTCGGTCCTCGACTCCGAATCGACCGCGCACTATAGCTCGCAGGCCTTTCACTCCTCCTTGTATCCCTCCTCGTCGCGTTTTATATTCTGCCAACTGCCCAGGATTTTCGATTGAATGGCGTATCTGCGACACAAGATTGGCTTTCGTTGAACCTCCACCGCATACCTGCCGTCCTCCAGGCTCCTAATCTCGCCGCCCCGCCCGTCGCCCCTACGCAGGAGCTGTTGCTCGTCGCGCATCTCAGAACGACGACGCTCTTCCACTTCTCTCTGCAAGCCAGTCTCTCACTGCACCTCGAATGTTGTCTATCACTTCGCGGCCTCGCGCTCTCCTCCTGCCAACTCGGGTCCGGGTCCGACACCAAGCAGGTGCAAGCGCGGCCCCTTGTGCAAAGTAACGTGGACCTGCCGCCGGACCTCCCCGCCGAGCGAGCGCGCGAGGACGACCTGGAGGAGGGACGTGGGGGCCGACAAGCGAATTCGTCGACCCGGGAGTGCGGCGGATGACTTCGAAATCCCGCGACGTGAGCGGTAGCACCTGGTGGACCAACGCGGGGACTTCAACCTGGTGAGCAGCATCGATGGCGAGAACTTGGCGTTGCTCGCCCTAGATTTCTCCGGTGAAGTGTCGATACGAGCGATAGCTGAGCGGTTCCTGAAGATGAACTGAAAGCAGAGTAGGAAGGACCAGGAGTAGGATGACATCCATAGGGGCTCGAAGGGTTCGAAGACGGGGTATTTCCGCGGTAACTGGTTCTACGAAGTCAGACTGCGTCCGTCCGCCGGAGAAGGTAATGGTGTTTGAGCAGGATGGATCAACTCTCGGCGTCCCGAGATTCGGCGCATCTTCATCGAACATCTTCCGTAACGACCTCAAGTTCTCCAAGCCCCTGATAGTGAGGCTCAGCTCCACGATACGGTCTATGTGGATTTGGAGGGCCAAGGAAATCGGAGGAATAAAGCCGCAGACAGTCAGGCGGATGGGCTGTGGAGCGGTGAGCGCGAGAACCATCTTGGCCCAACCCTTGCGTGCGTCGCGTTTCGTTGTCGTCCACCGGTCCCATCGGTCGAAGTCGAACATCTTACTAGACGCTGCAAGAGCAGACATCCAGAGACGCGGAGTCTTGTGCACACCGCGCGCCATCGGCGACATACGTGCGCGATGCCTATGCTGTCCTGGTCCTGCCAGCAATGCGTGAAGACCTCCGAGAGCGTTTCGGTGGGGAGTGTCCGGTGAATAGGGGTGACAGCGTTGTGCAGTGAGAGAAGAACGAGCGCGAACTGTCAATATTGCTCCGCGCGAGAAAGGGTCCATGTCCGCACCGCGCTGTCAGAGAGACTGGCGAGGTCGTCAAGATCGGATGCGGGGAGGGATTGTGCGCATCCGGACAGCAGATCAGGCGTATCGAGGGGTGTTGTGGCCATGGCAATGCCTGAAGTAACAACACAATTATATATCAGGAATCACAAAAAATTGGCGAACCAAACTCACCTGGGAAGTGGTAGTTCGTGGTCAAGGTGTAAAAGCGCCCCTAACAACTAACACGACGATACCCACGCGCCTCCTCGCACGTGACATGCTCAATGATAATGATAGGCGCCAAATCCGCTGTCCATCGTTACTCCGATCCAGTATCCATCTGTTGGCGAAGCTGTCTCAAGGACCATCCACACCCTCTTGGTAGGCCTGCATAGTATCAAGACGGCTCACCCAAGTCTTGACTTTCTTCTGCAGAAAAGTATAATGGCAGCTGCTGTAGCCTACACCCTCCCGTTCCCCAATTTCTCCGACGTGGTCCTCCCCTCCGATCGCGCGCAGCTCGCGGGCCTCTCGCACACCGCCGTGCAGGCTTGGACAGCTTCCCGTGCCGAAGAGTACAGACGTCTTGCTCTTGGCCTCCTCAGTGTCTACAACGCCGTCACCCCCATAAACCGTCTCCTCCCCACCGAGATCCTCTCAGAGGTCTTCGCCCATTGCTGGAAAAACAAAGACAGCCGCAGCATTCGTGTTACACACGTCTGTCGCCTATGGCGCGCAATCCTGCACACAACAACGCGCTTCTGGGCTGCCGCTGCCTCAGCTCCGGGGGCCATGTTCGACTTCGAACTATAGTAGTGAATGACCGGGTGCATCTGTTCCCATGGCCTATCAGCAGGTGCAGATGCATCTGTTGCCCCACCGGCCCGGTTGCACTGCCTTCCCCGAGCGTGCTCACGCACCCACGGGCCATGCGCCACACTGCCCCGAGATGTCCGGGCACCGGCGCCTTGTGCCCTGCCACCTGAGCTCACCGTTCCCGACAGTGAGCTCACCTCTTTCATTATTTCACACCCCACCTTTTGTAGATGATCAATAAACAAAATATATTTGTCACCAAGCCACTACATGGTCCGCGACAACGCGGAGGTAGAGGTGGAAGGGGCGATGCGGAGCGCTGTGACGTGGTGGAGGACGCGCAGGGCGACACGGGCGGAGGTGGGTGACGCCAAGGAGGACAAGGCGGAGGAGGTGGGTGACATGGAGCGCCAGGAGGAGGTAGAGGGCCCGGGAGGAGAGGGCGATGCGGGCGACGTGGACGTGCGTGAACGCAGGCGATGCGTACGCAAAGGCGGGCAACGTGGAGGTGGAGGACGTGAAGGCGGAGGAGGGCGACGCGGAGGTAGGCGGTTCGAAGGAGACGGCAGGCGCGGGCGAGGAGGAGGGCGGTATGAGCGGGCGGCGCAAGGCAGCGCGGGCGGAGGGCAGTACGAAGGAGGGCCGCATGGAGGGCCACGTGAAGTCAGCCGAGGCTGAGGCGGGCGACATGAGCGGGCGGTGCGACGGAGGCGGCGGGCGTGGGCGGAGCAGGGCGAGAGGGAAGAGCGGGCGACACGGGCGGAGAGCAGCGCGGGGGTGGAGGAGGGTGACACGGAGGAGCGCGGGACTAAGGAGCGCGGTGCCAGCGAGGACGGTGACGCGGGCGGAGGAACGCGGCGCGGAGGAGGGTGCTGCGGAGGGTGCGGGAGATGAGGGCAGTGCAGAAGAGGAGGGCGGCACAAAGGAGGCAGCGGGTGTGGGCGGAGGAGGGCGAGGAGGGGCAAGGAGGGCGACGCAGAGGCGGGCGACGCAGAGGTGGGTGGTGCAGGTGGGCGACATGGGCGGAGGAGGGCAGCGCGGAGGAAGGGGGCGATGTGAAGGGCCGGGAGGAGGGTGTCCGGGCGGACGTCGTTGGCCTGTTGTAGTTGTCGACGGAGCGACAGGGAGTATGTGTGGGTGGGCGTCGGGAATGCAGGAAGGCGGAGGAGAGGACTCACCAAAACAAGGGCCGCGGCACGTCGCCGCGACCCCCATATCCTCATCTCCATACTGAGGTCGTCCGGATGGACGTCCTCGTGCAGTGTTTGTTGTGGGAGTGGCCGGGAGGGTGAATGAAGGGCGGGATGGAGGTCGAGGTTGAGGAAGGGAGGGGGACGGAAGATCGGGGTCACCTGGTGACGCCGGGGTCCAATAGCGGGCGACAGTCGACCGTATGGTCGCTATCGTCTGCCTGGGCAGAGCGGGGAAGAGGACGAGGAGGAGGAGGAGGAGGAGAGGAAGGACGGCGAAGGGGAAGGACGCGTGGCGTGCATCACAGCCACGCGTTGATGCGCGCCACGCGTCGTTGCCACACACTGATGCGCGTCTACATGGGCGCGCATCACGGATCAATAGGTGCATCTGTAGCTGCCGATAGGCTATGGCAACAGATGCACCAAGCGATTCACTGCTGCTCCTTCGAAGAGTGTGGGCGGGCATCGAAGAAGCGCGACGCTGCCTGCATGACGACTAAGGCTCGAACCTTTTAAACTAATTACTGATTATACACAGTAACAACGGTGTAAACTACTCACTATTTACGGTGTGGTCAGTACAAAGTTGTAATCAAGTAGTATACAGTTTATGGAACAGTATATGCACGTGCTAGCACTTCGCTGCGCATGAGCAGCGAGATGGTGGCGCGCATATATATTATTGCTACATCAGCCACTGCGCGCGTGCTTGATAGTGAGTGATCGGAGGACGACAAAAATCCAACTTGAGTGTTGAGTGTCGAGCTCTTCCCAACTTGCCCCACTACCCACTAAACTGTCTGGATTCCTCTCGCCATCGTCCTCCATGGCTGCCGCCACAGTCCCTCTATCTTCTCCTCTGCTTGAGATGGCTACTATCGTCAATTCCATTGCAACTGCCGCCAAATCTTTGCCCTCAAGTGTTCCGATCGGCAACGAGAACGACAAAATCTACATCATCATGACCAAAACCCATGGCGACACTGCTTGGGAAACCTTCAATCGGCGGTTCGACATCCTCTTTGGAGAGGATTGTCGTGACCCAGTGACCGGGCGTCTTCATCACCTCCGTCGTGGGGCGTGCGGGCTCGATATGGTCATCAAGGACATTCGCGTGCTCCTTGCTCGATATGAAGCCGAGCTTCAGTACGATGTGATGCGCATCAAGCTGAAGAGACTACTCACCGAGGTCGCCCACCTGAGGTACGTCGTTCTGCACATCCGGATTCCGATTGTATTGCCAATTGAAACTCTTCGAAGTGGAGTTCCGGTCGAGTCGCTGGCTGGCACTACTATTCCGGGGTCTCTGGGTGAAAGGACATTGGGCCACGAGGCTGGTGCGGGCAGCTCCACTGCTACGACTGAGAATGCGCTCGCTGCACTGGCAGAAAAGATCCTGGACCCGAACTATAAGAAGCCAGGCACCAAGAAGAAGAAGCGGGCACGCACCGGTGCCGCCACTAAGGCTGGACCTGTCCCGAAGGGAGCACACAAGAATGTGAAAGGTGAGCAATAGTGCATTCTCTCGGGTAGTCGAAGGCCCACCTGTACCCCTACCCTCGATACCATGAGGGTATGAGTTGGATTGCGCACTTGCATTGAGGGCCCCGTGTTGAGTGCGGCGCCGACTGTCTGCACGCATTGTCACGCATGCGACAATGAGCTGCCTGGTGCGTTGCGTCGTGCGGTGAGCTGCCCACGTCGCGGCAAGCCTCATGCGTGCGGCATCACGCACTTCCAGCAACGTGCGATGCACGTCGAGCATCGAGCGTTGAGCGTTGAGCGATGTCCATCGCGCGCGTTGAGCGACGTGCGTTGAGCGACGTGCATCGAGCGATGTGCGTTGAGCAATGTCCGTCGAGTGATGTGTGATGTGCGTCACGCACGTTGAGCGATGTGCGTCGCGTTCGTCGAGCGATGTGCGTCACGTTCGTCGAGCGATGTGCGTCGTGCGCGTCGAGCGAGGTCCGCCGCGTTCGTCGAGCGGTGTGCGTCGTGTTCATCGAGCGGTGTGCGTCGCGTTCGTCGAGCGGTGTGCGTCGCGCGCGTTGAGCGAGGTCCGCCACACGCGTTGAGCGAGGTCCGCCACACGCGTTGAGCGAGGTCCGCCACACGCGTTGAGCGAGGTCCGCCACACGCGTTGAGTGACGTGTGTCGGGCGCGTTGAGCGACGTGCGTCGGGCGCGTTGAGTGACGTGCATTGAGCGCGTTGAGTGACATGCGTCGTGCACGTTGCACATTTTGACCTATATTGACCATGGCGGGCGTGGCGAGCTGTATGCGTCGAGCGCGGCAGGCTGCAGTGTGTACAATGTACACGTCGATGCGATGAGCTACATTGTTCACTGCCCAGGAAGAATGTGCACTTACAAGGAACTTTATCACATCCTACTAGCAACGACAGCTAGTCTACTCACAGAAATTAGTGAGGCAAACGACATCAGGAAAACCCCAAAATCCTAATTAGTACTATCAAGTATAATATTAGTGCTATTGCTTCACTAATGGGACTACTGAGTTTTGACCCTTCTAACAGGTACTAAAGGGATACTAGTGCTTGAGCTTCTCATATAATATATCTATCTGCAACTATTACTTCACCTATCACTGGACACTGCTGTCTAGTCGGAATACACACACCTAGCACAGGGTCTAACCAGTGACTAACTACTGCATCTCCGGAGACCCGCAGAACTACCAACACAATCAATAGATCACAAAAACGTGAAGGAGAAGCAAATATATGTGTTCATTACACTACAAGGTAAACAGTAGACTACGAACAAAGACACTAAACACATCCACTCGGGCGAGACGGGTGACACAGGCAAGAGCGAGGTTGGTGAGGTAAGCGTCATGGATGATGCAGACGTGGGCGAGGCGGGTCGTGGACGCGGGCGCAGACGCGGGCAAGGGAGGCGACACAGACAAGGTGGGCGGCACGGACACACACAACACGACGTGGGTGGGGGCGAGGGCGACGTGGCAGTCACACAGGAACGAGACGTGGGTGACATGTCGACGCAGGGGTGAGACGCAGGCGACGAGGATGAAGTGGGTGAAATAGATGACGCGAGACGGGAGTGCGACGCGGGCGAGATGGGCGAGGCGGATGGGACAGGCAAGGAGAGCGGGACGAGCAACGAGCGAGAGGCGGGATTGACAAACGCAGGTAAGCGCGATGTGAGTAGGGCAGGCGAGGGCGAAGGGGCAACACGGCGGGGTGTGGGCGACGTGGGCGAGGGCAAGACGAGCGAGGTGGGCAAGATGGGCCAGATGCACAAAACGGGCGAGGCGAGCGACACGGGCGAGGCGGGCAAGGTGGGTGACACAGGGGATGCAATCGCGCGGTCAACGCAGGGGACGCGGTCGAGGTGCGAGACGTAGGCTCAGAGGGGCAAGATGCGGGCGTTGCGGAGGTGGCGACGGACGTGGGTGGCATGAGCGAGATCGCGGGTGCAAGACAGTGCAAGACAGGCGAGATCCGGGGTAACGCGAGCGAGGTGGGCGACACAGACGAGACGGACGAGGCGGGTGAGACGGGCCAGGCAGGCGAGACGGACGAGGCGGAGGTGAGAACAGAGATATAGGCGAGGTGCGGCGCGCAGGCGAGACGGGCGAAGTGGGCGACATGGCGGTGCGGGCAGTTCGAGAAGAGGGGTCAGTGCACGTCGTGCTCCCTGCAGTTGGGCTCGGTACGCGGCATTGGAGAAGACGGGGCGAGGCTTGGCGTCGGGGCGGCGAGGACGGGAGTCAGGCGGAGGGGATCGAGGGCAACGTCAAGGGGACGACGAGGACGCTGCTGGCAGTGCCAAGGGCGGGAGCGACACGCGTTGATTCCCACGCCTCCAGAGGCAGCGCCTGCTGTGCTGGCACCCTCTCTGTCCTCCGCGTCCTCCGCGTCCTCCCCGTTCTCCCCGTCCTCCCTGTCCTCCGCGTCTTTTCGTCCTGGTGCAACATCTTCGAGGAGCACGCGAGCACGCCCCTTGCCCGCCGCGACGAGCTGTCTTGGTGAGTCCCTCGTTCTGCCCTCTTGCGCTCCCCATCTTGCCCACCACCTTGCCAGGCCCTGGCCGCACCATGAACCCTGTCCCCACCACGAGCACGTCCCAACGAAGCTCGTTCCACCGGTGCGGCCGTGTTGTGCAGCCGTTGTCGCTGTCTCGTATATCGCCCGCTTGCCCACTACGACTCGGGCTCCTGCGTTGTCGATACACCCACCTGTAATCCCAGCCAGGCGACGGCGCGACTCGGTGCGAGGATTGCCCTGCGGGGCAGTTCTCGTTGGAGGGTGCGTCCGCCTGCTGCTCTTGGTACGTTCTTTTCGATGGACCGTGCTCTGTGCGTGTGTGCTCACAGCTGCTCCGGCTTTTACTCCGACCACGTAAGCGCGGGCAGCTGCTCGCAGTGCTCGACACCTGGCGCGTACTTCGTCGTCGGCGCGACCTCCTCGTCCGCGTGCTCCTCCTACTCCGGCGGCCAGCTCTACTGTCCCCAGCTCCTGGCCCACCCGCTGTGCGTCCCTCCGCCATTCTAACTTTCTTTCCGCTTCTTCTACGTGCTGACTTCTCGTCCACTCACCCCAGTTCGGCTTCACTGTCCCATCTGCGAGCCACCCCGTCAGCCGCTTGTCCACCCCGACGCCCAGTGCCTGATTCGGCGGCATCTGGAAGCTTGCGAACGGCCGCGCGACGGGCTTCCCGTCGCCCTCCCTCTGCACTGGCGCGAGGACCTCGGGGCCCGCGCGCGGCATCACCGAGACGAAGCCGCCGCGGTCGCCGAGCGCGGCGTATGCGAGCCGCTGCGTGTCCTCCATCCTGATCGCGACGTACGCGAAGGACACCGGCGCGCTCGAAGCGGCGGCGGAGACCGCGGCGAGGAGCTCGGGGATGGGGAGTGCGTGGTCGACGATGTGCGTCGCGCCGAGGGACTGGAGGAACGCGGCGTGCGAGGCTTGCCTATTTCGTTCTTACCTCGCTCACGTCGTCTGCCTCGCCCACGTCACCCAAGTCCCCGATGTCATTCGTCTACCTTGCCCGCCTCACCCACTTGGCTCACGTCCCCGTCCTCTTCGTCCACCCACCTTGCCCACGTCCACGTCTTGTCGGCTGCCCAGTCGCTCACGTCGTTCCCATGTTGGCTGAATGTCTACCTAGCATGCGCCATTCACGCGTCACCCACGTTGTTCCCATCCTGCCCGTCTACCCCTCGCCCGCCTCGTCTGCCTTCCCCGTGCTCTGTAAATAGCTGGTTGTCGTGTACAATACTTTGTGTAGTCTAATCGTCATTGCCAATATATTTCGTTCTCATTACCTCTCTATCTGTGTGACTGTCCCTGATATTGGTCCGCTAATCTGAACTATTTCTGAGCTGCCCTACTATGTCTAGATGTATGAACTAATGCTTGCCTACACCTATGACTATCCCTGTCTATTTGACTAGATTAGTTTTTGGGACTTCTAAATAGACCTAATCAACTATTCCTGACTATTGGTCTAATTAGTGCTAAATAGTCCTAATTAGGAGTTGGGGGTTTCCCTGACGGATGACAACCCAAGGGACAAGACCTACGAGCTGCCGAAGACTCGGTTGAAACACAACTCCGGGAAGCATAAGGTCCACAACATCGATGGTGAGACTACTGACGACTGCACTTCAAGCCGGGATGGGAGCCAGTCCGATGCCACCTCATTGAACGACTCCACTGAAGAGGTTGTGAGCGGGAAAGGAAAGCAGCCTGCCGCCGCTTCAAAGAGCAAGCGGCGGCGGCGGTCCTCTTCTGGCAGATATAAACGACCAAAAGTGAGTAAACTGTTCTAATTGGCAGTGAGCTATGCTTACCTCAATGATGTAGCGATCGCGTGGAAACGTTTCTAGTGATGCCATTGAGATCTCGGATGGTGAGGGTGCGTTGCACAAGGTCGAGGTTGAAGAAGCGGAGAAGGCCGAGGCGCGCGGTCAGCAGCGGGGGCCGAAGAACCGTTCAATCGTGCATTGGAGTGTTGCAAGACCAACAAACGACCCTCACAAGGGTCTCAGATGGACGTTTACTTGTCGTCATTGCAATGCGTGAGCAGCACACCAGTTGCATGATATGTTGAGCTGTGGCTAACAGGTTAGATTATGATCAGTGTTCGCTCTTTCTCTCGGACTCTCAAGGGAGATGACGCACTCTGGGAAGATGAGCCTCGCAAGCCGTCGCTGGCGAATCTTGCTTCACATCTGAAGCAGGATCATCCGGCAGTGCTTCAGGGCGATGCGGAGATTGACTCGTACCTGGCTGGGAACGGCAAGTTGGAGTGGGCGAATCGGACCAAGACCACTGGAGGCTCAAAGGACGGCTCCTTCTACAACCGGGAGGATGTGGACGCCTTCGAGGGGTACATGCATGGCGGTCCATTTGACCCGAACGGCTCGGCTACACAGCAGGGATTCACAACTGTGATCGCAGGATGGTTGCTGTATGAAGACTTACCTTTCACCACCGCCGAAGCAACGTCCTTCAAGAGCTTGATGCATTACTGCCGAATCCGCTTCTTGCTTCCCTCTGACAAGACCGTCCGCACTGAGGTGAAGCGCATCTTCAAATACTTGCACACCGTCATTGTTCGAGAGCTCTCGGTGAGTGAACTTGCTTGTTGATAGCGCATTCCCGACACTGAGCTCTGCTTAGCGCGTTAAATCTCGTATTGCATTCTCAACAGACACGTGGACGAACAAGCAAATGATACATACCTTCGGCGCCGCCCTCGCTCACTTCATTGACGATGACTGGAAGCTGATAGAACGAGTTGTCAACTTCTACAATGTAGGAGAGGACGAACATGAGGGAAAGGCGAGTGCACGGGCGTTCGTTAGAGCGGTCGCGGCACGAGGCGGGCTGAGGAAGATAAGTTTTGTAGCAAGTCTTCACCAATCGTCCGTGGCTGACGACCCAACCGGCTTCATCCACCTCATAGCACTGACCGGAGATAACGTCGCAGCAAATGATGTTCTCGCTCGAGAGCTGATGCGCCTGCTCCTTGAACGCTACGATGGAGCAGTCCACTTCCATCCCGACAATGGCCGAATCCACTGCTTTGCGCATGTAGTCAATCTCGTCGTCCAGAAGGTGATACACGACCTTCTAAATGCATCTAGCCCACCAACCGAGAACGGAGAGCCCCAATTCGCTGATCCCGACAAGAAAGACTACTACAAGGAACTGCACAAGCACTTGCCTTTCCATTATGAACCTCCCGACGACGAGTTTGCAGACGATAGGGACTTGGAGGACGAGATAGACGCTGAGGTTCCGGAGTTTTCAGATGCCGAGATGAGGGTGTTGGAGGCTGAAGAGGCTGAGCTTGATAAGAAGGTTGAGGTGAAGGAGGTGAGCGAGATGTATAGGAAGGTGTCTGAGTTCAGTGCAAAGAATGCACTGGAGAAGGTGAGTGCACGACGCTGCGTGTCCGCCGTCAGATCACTGCGCAGTGCGCTTCGCCCTGGGAATGCTGACCAGCCTCGCCGACAGCTCCGATTCATCTGCACGAAGATCACTTCCTCCCCTCAACGCCGCGCTCTCTTCCGGCGCATCACCTGTGCCATCTATCCTGACAATACACCTGAACATGTCCGACTCCGCCGCCTTATGGTTATCCGGGATGTCAACACTCGATGGAACTCTACCCGTGGGATGACTCATCGTGCTAGGGAGCTTCGAGAGGTGAGCTACCTCCCTGCCACATACTACACACACTGACTGCAAATCTCAGGCTATCGACCAGTGGGTTGAGAAGGAGAAGGCCTTCAGAGTGCTGACTCTCCTGCCCGAGGAATGGGATCTCATCAAGGAGTTAGACGAGCTACTTTCGGTAAGTTACTCCTCTTGAATGACGATTTCCAGCGGCGAGCATACTATGTTTAACATGTTGGCACTGCGGCAGATCTTCACCACCGTCACCAAGGAGGTTTCATACAAAAATCGACCTACACTCCCTCTCGTCATCCCACTCTATCGCCAGATGAAAAAAGAGCTCACAGACTACATGAACAACCCCAACACCTCGCCCGCATTGCGCACCGGTGCCCGAGGAGGACTCGAGAAGCTGAACAAGTACTTCAGGCTCGCTCTAGAGTCACACTACACAGTTCTTGCATGCGGTGAGCACTCCCTGCATCTCAATCCCCCAAATCCTGTGAAAAGGCGGTGTTGTCTGGCCCGCACCGTGCATTATTTCGTGGGCCCGACGTGTGTGGTTTGTTGCGTGCGGCGTGTAAGGCTCGTAGCGCGCGATGCCTATGGCTCGTTGCGCGCCGCGATGCGTACACGGTACGTTTCGTTGCGCGCGATGCGTACAGCCTCTCGTGTCGCGCGATGTGCATGGCTCGTTTCGCGCGATGCGCATGGCCCGTTTCGCGCGATGCGCACGGCCCGTTTCGCGCGATGCGCACGGCCCGTTTCGCGCGGTGCGCACGGCTTGTTTCGCGCGGTGCGCACGGCTTGTTTTGCACGATGTGTGCAGCTCACGACACACGACGCATGCAGCCTGGAACCCCGCGACGTGCGTGGCTCACCTTAGGCGCGATGCTGGCTGCTGCCCATATCGCGCGATGCGTGCAGCTCATCCCATGCGCAACGCGCTGTGCAGCTTACTATCGTGCACCGTTCAGGCGTGTTCAGCTCGCTGCAGTGGCTCGGCATGACCAGGCTCGGAGCGAAGCCCAGGGCTAACTTTGTGATGCTTCTTTTCAGTTCTCCATCCCTCCCTCCGTCTCAGGTACCTGGAGTCAGCATTCAAAGGAGAAGATGTTGCGGAGAAAGCTCGCACCATGCTCGAGCATGTCTTCAAGGAGTATGCAAAGACCTACGAGCCACCTGTCGCCTCGTCTGCCCCTTCCAAGTCTCGCTCCGAGCAGCCCTCGAGCTTCCTGCACAAAGCACTGGCATTTGAAGAGCCTGATGACGAAAACGAGAACTTGGACAACCAACCTCCCCCGGAGGACAACGTCCTCTCGGAGCTCACTCGCTATCTCAAGAACGAGGGTGGCAAGGCCGACGGCGATGATGGAGTGTTGAGTTGGTGGAAGGTGAGCCAGCGAGGCCTCTCTTAATCGGGTTCATCTATCTGAGGTTTGATTGGTGTCTTAGGCCCATGAGGGATCCTTCCCAATTCTTTCACGCATTGCTCGGGATGTGCTTGCCATTCCCGCCACGAGTGTGGCCGCCGAGAGGTTGTTCTCATCATCTCGTCACCTCTGTACAGACCATCGAGCTTCCTTGTCACCAGAGACCATCACCGAGTCCATGTGTGCTAAACACTGGATTCGCGATGGTCTGTTTGACTTCCGCAATCCACCGAAGCTCCGGTAACATCGAGGCGGCCACCACAAGCGGCAAGGCGCAGTATACCGCGCAGTCAGGATTCCGCTTTGTCTCCCACTAGCCGCATAGCTACAGGGCTGTGGTTCATGTAATATGATATATTCATTCTGTATTCTGTGGTGCATGTGTATACTTTGCAAGGTTGAGGATCCAGCGGCGAGCCCAGATGTTATCGTCGGAGGACAGAGCCTCGCACCGGAATGCGCGCTAAAACCGGCGGGCGCACGTGCCTACAAACTGGCTATACAATGTGTATACACCGTGTATAGTCGGTACACTGTTTACTCATTATATAAACCTTGGTGTGTAAAGGTAATCTAAATAGTTCGAGCCTTAATGACGACGGTTTTGGAATGGACAGGGATCAGGCCGATCCACCTTGCACTGTGTGGATTCCCGCACGGTGTTGCCTTGGTTTTGGCCCCATACTCGGCGCGGCTCACGGCGCTTCATATCACCCTCCCAAATCTCAGCCCGCTGCTCACCTTGCGTAATCTGCTGTGCGTAGAAATGCCAAATCTTGTCGTCTTGAGCGTGGAACCCAAATCAAGAAGTCACCAACCCCTCTCTGAGGAACAGTTAGCTACCGAGCTATCCCCGGTGTCCGGACAGGCTTTCGCGGTCTTGCCTCGTCTCCGGACCCTACAAGGCGTCCCCATGGATTTCATCCCACTCCTCATCCGTCCGACGCTGAAGACCGTCTATGTCACGAAACCGGTGTTCCTCACCAGAAACGTCAATCCGCATCTGCTCAGGAATGCACTGTCTTCCTGTCCAGGCCTATTGCACCTCACTATCTCCGCAGAGAATGGCATCGAGAGCACGAATAGCCCAGCATCACTTTCTCCCCAGCTGCTCCTTCCATCTCTTCAAACACTAGCCATCCGTGCTACTGAAAAAAGCACGGCGTTCTACCTTAACTCCCTCACCTTCGGTCCACACACGTCGATCGAGCTCCGGGTTCCCAATCCATCCGAAATATTGAACGGCCGTGGTATGCTTCCCGATCGGGATCTCCTCAGCGACTTTGCTCGCCCAGTCGTCAGTGTCCGCATCGCCGACTACTGGCACAGGATGCATTCGGAGGCCTTCACCGAGCTGCGCGACGCCAATCAAAAACGCGTTCTCCGGGTCGTTCTAGAGTACAAGCTCCACCTCTTCCGCCCCCCGTACGACCGCCTCTTATCCGGCTCCGAATCCGTCCGCGGCATCACCCGTCTTACCGTGCGCACCGTCGAAGCCCCGAGGGCCGCCCTCTTCGACGCCCTCCCACACCTGACCTTCCTCGACGTCGGCGGCCCCGGCGTCGGCACGACCCTCTCCATCCTCAAAGCGACGCTGCCGCGGTCTGGGGCCCTCGCCGTCGAACAGCCGCTGCCGCAGCAGTCCACCCTGCGCTGCCCGCGCCTCGACACTCTGGTCGCCACCTTCGACCACCTGCCGGACGGTCTGCGTTCCCCACGCCTCGACAGCGTAATCTCCACCTTCGATCGCGGGCTGCATGCGTGGGACTTTCCCCGGGCGAACGAGTTAGCGCGCTTGCGGGGGTGGAACGCGCGGTGCGCGGTGCGCGCGCTGGTCGCGACGCTTGAGACGCGAGCGGCGAGCGGCGCGCGGCTCTCCCGGCTGGTGTGGGGCGTGCGCTCGCAGACGGTCGGTGAAGTGGAGAGGGAGACGGGGCTGTGGGGCGCCGTTTCCATGATCCCGCGCTCTTTCGACAGAGGGGCTCGCGCTTGGGTGCTACCGGGAGACGAGGATGCTGAAGAGGATGCGGTGGATGGGTTTGAGTTGGACCGCCTGCGTGGGTTGGTGAATGGTTCGGTCGAGCGCAGGAGCTAAAGCGACGAATGTATTTATATTGATGGGGGTTATCGCTGTTCATGTACGTACTCAATTGCACTGATACACTTTCAATTACATACGGTGGTTCCCTCAGACACTCTCTCGTTTCACACAATGTACACCACCGTACACGACCGGACCATCGACAAACTTCCGCAGACCACGCCAGTATTCAGTTGACAACGACCCCCACGCGACTGCCCTCTCCTCCTCCCCGAGTCCATGCAATGTCCATGTCAAACGGCTGAGACGTGTCCCACGTTCATCACGTACCGCGAGTGTTCTATTGAGCGCACGCGCTGCCTCCACCTCCCATCCCACCTGCGGATCCCATGCGAGATGCTGTGGTCCTCTGCGGACGGGGGCTCTCCTTCGAGATCTTTGGGGTGCACAGGAGGGAACGTGACCACTCAGCTGCGGGCATCGCAGTCTGCCCCATGTGTCCTCCCAACTCCGCGAGCCCGTCGAGGAGACGGGGCCACACGTGGTCGTAGGCAGGGGGGCGTTCCTCTCGGGGACGGTGTCACGGCTTCCCGGGTGGTCAACCCCGAGAGTCTCGAGGTTCGGCACTTGTCCCGAGAGAAGCTTCTTCAACGACCTCAGATCGTCAATGTTCGAGAGGGTAACTCTCAGTTCCACCAAGCGTTGCACGTGAAGTTGGAGGGCGGCAGAAATTGGGGAGGGTAGGCCGTCCACCACCACGCGCCGGATGGGCCGTCCGGCGGTGAGCGCCGCGAGAATCGTCTTGAACCAAGCCTCGTGTGCGTCGCGTTTTGCGGTCGTCCACTCTTCCCAGTCCTCGAAGTTGAACATTGTCCCGGGAGCTGCCACGGCGGCTGCCCAGAACCGCGGGGTCTTGTGTGCAATTGCGCGCCATCGGCGGCAGACGTGCGTGAGGCGGATGCTGCGGCTGTCGCCGTCTTGCCAGCAGTGGGCGAAGATCTCGGAAATCATCTCGGTGGGGAGCTTCCGGTGGATGGGTACGACGGCGTTGTGGAAAGAGTGGAGGGTGAGTGCAAGTTGACGGTACTCGGCCGCGCGAGCCAGAGTCCATGATTCAGCCTCTTCTTCCGAAAGGCCAGCGAGGTTGTCGAGATCGGTTGCCGGAAGAGATTGCATGCACTCGGGCAGCTGAGGCATGCTGGATGATCTGAAGCATAAGACATCCGTCTCATTGTGGTCAATGGATAAGGACAGCTCACTGGAAGGTGGTCGTGGTTCGCGGTCAAGGCGTGATGCGGCGAACCCAGTCACGTGACACTTGGCCGGGGCATCTACGTTTTCCGTGAAGTACGAGATAACATTTGCCTTGCGTAATTCAATACAATGGCCGTGTGCCGTGATGCAGACCGTCAGTGTCCTCTGTGGAACAGGCGATCCGTGAGCCACGAACACTGTCATTGGGATCCATCCAAGGTCAAACTACAACAGGAAGCCACGAGGAGCGACTCGCTGTACGCTGTAGGTAAGTCGGCGAGCGGCCGCATTCTGCGCGAAATATCTCTCCGACGCCTGTCTATCGCATGCGATTTCGACTGGACCGTCCACCAACTCCTGAAAGCTAGCAGCCCAGTCAACGCCGGCCACTTCCCTCTCCCTTCCAGCTCGCCGCGTCCCCTTCCTTGCCGTCCGCTCCACGCACGGTCCAGCGCAAAGAACGGAGGCGGACGCCGCGCGCGGCCAGCTCGGTGACCGCCCCCACGAGCGCATGCACCGCCGGCCGCGCCTCCCCTCCCGCGATCCGCGCGCGGAGCACGTCCGGCAGAGCGGCGAGCTCCGCCGGGTCGTCCGGTGGAGGGTAGAACGCGACGCCCTCCGGCGCTCCGGGAGGAAACCGGACGACGAGGTCCTCCAGGCGTTGGCAGAACGGGCCGCCGACGATGGCGTCGTACGCCGGCGTGGTCAGCGGGTAGAGCGTGTGGTACGCGTCCGGGCCGCCGAGCTCGAGGAAGGTCAGGTGCGGGAAAGCGGCGAGCATCTGGGCCGCGTGCACGATCCCTCTGCGCTCGACGGCGATGTGCATATGCAGGCGGGTGATGCTCGTGATGGCGCGGAACATGGAGCCATTGGCGTACGGCGAGAGCCCGTAGTCGCCAAAGTCCCCGCTGCGAGCGCGCAAAACGCAACGGCCGCGGACGTCGTGGAGCTCTGTCACAGCGCTAGCGCGGTACGGCATGTGGTGGCCAGATACGAAGTGGTCGTATACGCGCACGGTGGAGACTGGATCAGCAAGGGAGCTGAGGATATTCCGGTTGGACGGCAGCATGCAAGCAACCTCCAACGCCGATGAGTCAGGATCAATGAGATCGATGAATGTATACGGGGGAAAAGTGAGCAAGTTGAGGAAGAAGTGCCTTGATTCTTGGATTGCGTTGATCTTCAGTGTCCGGAGGGAATGGAGGAGAGGTATCGCGTCTTCAGGCACTGGGTCGAGTAGGTCTGTCGGCCATCCCAAGGTTTCAGGGCCACGAGCATAGGATATCTCTAGATCCAGAACACCTGCGCACACTTCCAATGCGTTCCTGAGGGTACCTGCGCTGTAGCCTTTGACGGTGAAGAGTGGTTTTGTGACGCGAAGGAATTGCAGCGTTGAGCAAACGAAGAGATGGAAGATGTCCATGGGGGCCCAGAGGGTCCGCAGACGGGGACTCAAGACCTGCCCATACTGGATCGGGATAGAACCCACTGACGCGAGGGGGTAATCCTTGGGAGGCTCCACTTTCAACGTCTCCAGGTTCGGCGCCTCTGTCCTTAGCAGCTGTCGCAACGAGAGGCAGTCGTTCACGCTCGGAATGGTGACCGTCAGCTCCACGACGCGTTCCACGTGAAGCCGAAGCGTGGCGGCGACCGGGCGAGGAAGGCCGTGCACCGCAACGCGGACGGGACGCGGACTGGCGAGCGCGAGGACCGTCGCAGCGCACGCTTGGTGTGCGTCGCGTGTTGCGGCCGTCCAATGCTCCCACCTTTCGAAGTCGAGCATCGACCCGGGGGCGGCGACCGCGGCCACCCAGAACCGCGGGGTCTTGTGCGCGATCGCGCGCCAGCGCCGGCAGACGTGCGCGACGCGGATGCTGCGGCTGTCGCCGTCTTGCCAGCAGTGGGCCAAGATCTCGGAGATAATCTCGGTGGGAAGCTTGCGGTGGACGGGGGCGACGGCGTTGTGCAGAGAGTGGAGGGTGAGCGCGAGGCGTTGATACTCTTCGGCGCGGGAAAGCGTCCATCTTCTCACCGCGTCGTCACCTGAAAGGGGGGCGAGGTTGTCGAGATCGCATGCTGGTAGTGGTAGAGACTGTGCGAACTCGGGCGGTTGGAGAATGATGCTGGATATCGACGATCTAATGCGCGAGACATCCGTTTCAGTGTGATGTATGGATAAGGACCAAGAGCTTACCAGTGGAAGGTGGTCGTGGTTCGCGGTCAAGGGGTTCAAGCGCCTGAGCTGCGGCGATACAGACATGACCCCTCTGACATAGGCCCTATTCTACATTCCTACCTAGCACGCAGGCACGGCCCATCTGTCTGTAGGACAGGGAACCTCCTTTGCACGTCCTCCGTGTGCCGACCGAAGTGCCCATAAATCAGAACTTCCCTGCGGTTCCGCACATACGCACCCAGAAGATTAACCCTCGTTCGTAGATAAAGATACGGATAGCAATACAGTAAGACTTCGCAGCGTCTTCGCGTCCCTTCGAGCTCCTAAGTACAACGCGCGCGCGCGCACTCACGCGCTCAGCCCGACCTGGACCCACTTCCACTGCCGCGCCTCGAGCTTCCACCCGCGCCGCATCCCGTCCACCGCCTCCACCCCGAGCACGTGCACCCCGTCGGCCAGGAACTCGAAGTTGTCCTCGCCCACGTCCCGGTGCAGGATCTCGATCGGGCCCATCCCGTCCTCCGACGCGTCCGGGGTCCCCTTCGTCTCCTTCTCGTCCTTCCCGCCCTCCCTGTCCCCCTTCTCCTTCTCATCTTTCGCCCCGACCAACCGCCCCCTCGTCCCGCCCGACGTCGTGAGCAGCGCGATCGTGTACCGCCGCCCGCCCTCCTCCGCCGCCGCGCCGTTCGCTAGGGGTGCGACCGCCGCGTTCTCCTTGTCGCCCTCGCCGCCGTCGCTCGCCGGGATCTGGCCCCGCTGGGAGATGAGGAAGCTCTCCCAGAGCGTCTCGACGACGACCGCGCGCGAGCCCTCGCCGCCGTCCTCGCTCGCCTCCGACGCCGCGCGGTCCTGCGTCGCGCCGAGCTTCCTGCGCTTCGCCGGGCGGCTCTCCGCCGTCGACTGAGGCCGGGGGAAGAGGACCGCCCTCAGGGCCTCGGGGTGGTACTTGAATCTGCGCGCCGCGGTGAGCATGCCGCAACGAACCGCGGAAAGAATGAGAGATAGAGAGAAAAGAGACGCACCCGATCTCGGGCCACGACCCGTCGGTGCCGAAGACCATGACGCGCGTCGCCGCGGTCTCGTCGTCGGCCCTGTTCGCGCGGAGCTGCACCGCGCTCTGACTGTCCGCGAACGCGGGCCCGTGGAACCGCCGCCGCTTGCGGCTCGTGCGCGGGGCGCACCCGAGCGCCGCGCGCCGCTCCGCGTACTCGAGCATGCGCTGCGGCCGATTCCGGAGCCCATACGAATGTGCGGTCCCAGCCTGCATGCATTCTCGTCAGCTCCACGCAACCGGGCGGTAAAAACGAGCGCACACTCACCGGAACGAACTCGGCCTTGACGATCTCCAGCCCCGCGCCGTCGTGGCCGTTGCCCCACCCCGAGCTCAACAGCGTGCTCCCGTCGTCGTCCGCGCCCAGGTGCTCCACCTCCGCGCCCTCCTGCCGGCGCAGCGGCGCGCCGAGCCCGCCGATGTACCGCGCCTCCCGCGTCAGCCTCACCTCCATCCTCAGGTCCCTGCCCTCCCGCCGCGCCTTGCGCGCCCCGCTCCAGGTGACCCACCCCGCGTGCAGAGCGCACAGGAACAGGTCCGAGTCGTCCGTGTACACCCGCCGGCCGTCGCGCACCTCGTCCGGCCACGGCTGCCCGTGGCGCGGGTTGCGCGCGCACAGCTGCGCCGTCGCCCCCCGCTGCTCGCCCGTCAGCGGCGGCACGGCGGGGATGAGCGCCCCGCCCCACACGCGCGGCTGCCGCGGGCGCGTGAGCGGGAGCGCCCGCGCGGGGAGGAAGAGCGTAGCGCGCACGTCGAGCGCGTCCGCGGGCGCGCCCGAAGGCGCGAGCGGCGACGGGAAGTCGAAGAAGGGGAAGGGCGTGCGTGGGAAGACGAAGACGCCGAGGTGCCGGATCGGGATCGGCGGTGAGGGGGTCGTGGCGCTCGTGCGGGGGAGTGTGAACGGTAGGATGGACTGGGCACCGGGGTGAAGGAAGGGAGGGGGCGAAGGTCGCCGTGACTGGTAGCCAGAGATCATGCCTGGAGCGAAGGCGTCTGGCGGGATTTGGCGGTTGTGCTGGCCCCCGGGCAGCTGAACTTGCTGGTGAGGGATGAGATGTGTTGTGTGGGGCGGAGGCATGGGTACGGAACCGGTACCCTTCGTAGGGCCTTGCTTCATGTCGCGTTCGTGCATGAAAGGAGGGGGCACATCGCCCGGCAACGGCTGACCCTGCTTGCCCTGCGACTTGCTATGCGGGGCTTGTGGTATGGGCGTCACAGACTGCGAGTGGGGGTGGAAATGGGACGGCGGACCGTGAGGCGGCGCCCCGTCGCGCGCCCGCGCTGCGCGGATGGCGTGCATCTCGTGCTCGCGCCGCTCGCGCTCGACGGCCTCGAACTGCGCCTCCTTGTGCCACGCGAGCTGGTGGTCGCGCAGCCGGTACTCCCGCTCCCGCTCCTCCATCTCGGCCTGGTTCGCGACCGCGGCGATCTTCTCGCGCTCGCGCTCCTTCTCTCGTGCGTTGGTGCGCGACCGGCGGCTTTGCGACTCCTCCTTGGGGGCGGGAGGGCCCTCCTTCGCGCGCTCGCGTTCCTCGCGGTCCTTCGCGCGTGACGACTTGCTGGGTGCGCGACTGGGCGGAGCTCGTCCCCGCTCGATCTCGACGCGTCCCGCCTCCCACTCGAACTCACGGGCGCGCATCTCCAACGTCCTTTGGAGCTCTTGGTCGCTCTGGATCCGCTCGTCCTCGCCAGTGGGGCCAGTCTGGGGGGTGACAAACCTTGACCAGCCGCCTTGACTCTGCGAAGGTGGTGGGCCCATCGGGGGCATGTTCGAGGGGCCATGCGGGTGCTGGTGATGATGGGGGTGGGGGAGGGGAGGAGCACGGAGGTTGGGGTGCACTTGCGCCATCTGGTCCTGCTGCTTCTTCAGCCACTCGCGCTCTTGCATCCGTTCGCGCTCAATGGCCTCCGCGTGCGAGAGGCCCATGCCGGCGCCGTGCCCGAGCCCGACGCCGCCCATGCCCATCATCTCGTGCGCGTGCTGGCGGAACCGGTCTTCCTCGCGTTCGCGCTCGCGCTGCCGCTCCCTCTCCCGGTCCCGCTCGCGCTCCCGTTCGCGTTCTCGTTCCCTCTCGCGTTCACGTTCTCGCTCCTCCCGCTCCCGCATCTCCCGCTGCTGCATCTCCTGCATCGCCATCTCTCGCGTATGTCGGTCCATCCGTTCCCGTTCCCGCTCCCTCGCCTGCTTGTCCGCCTGCCGCATCGCCCGCTCCCTATCCTCTCGCTCTCGCTCCCGCCGCAGTATATCTGGGGAGTCGTGGGGGCCCACCACGCTGTTCCGCCGCTCCCGTTCCATCACCGCCGCTCTATCGCGCTCCCGTTCCCTCTCACGATGGTGCGTCTTCTCGCCGAGCGCGGACGGGTGGAGGCCGGGGCCTGGCAGAGCGTGGCCCATCATGTCCGGGGGGCGTCCGCCGACGGGGGTCGGAGGCAGGGAAGTGGGCATGCCGTGCACGGACCCGGGGCCGCCGCCCATGCCTGGGGCGCCCGAGAGTCCGCGGGGCCTGCCGCCCGGGCCGGCGTCCCGTGGGTGGTCCCTGTCGCGCTCGCGCCCGTCCCGCTCGTCGAATGGCGCCGGCCGCTGCAGGCTGGCCATCACCGGGGACGCGGTGTTGGGCTTCGGGTCGAAGGCGCCGCCGGGACCTGGGGGCGCGCTGCTGGTGCTGCTGCCCCGTCCGCGCACACGGTCGTGGTGCGACAGGGAGTTGGAATGATGGTGCGAATGGTGGGGGGACGGGATCTGGGCTTGATGTGGGGGTGCGCCGTACATAGGCGAAGGCTCACCGATGTGCAGGGGTGCTGGGGGTGGGAGCCCATCAGAGGGCGAACGCAAAGAACCACCGGGTGGAACTCCAGGTCCGACGGGGGTCGGGAAAAGAGGGATGCTTCCCTGGCCGGGGCCGTGGATCATGTGGGTGGTTGGGGGCGAGCCGTGGTGGGACCTGCCTGTATTCGGCGGAGGCATGTACATCGGGGACGGTGTGCTTGGGTGGGTGTGGGCATGATGGTGTTGGTGGTGGTGGTGAGATTGACTTTTCGGAGGGTTTCGCTCGACGAAATAAACCTGCGCGATTTGCGCGGATGGCGGGCCTAGGTTACAAGCCAGTCAATCGACCGTTCAAGAGGACGGCAGACAACGAACAACCGCGGGGGAGAGCAACATCGCAGGCTGGGGTGGCTGCGGCGCAAAAAGTCATGACGCGTGCGACGTCACCATGCGCGCAGCTGCTGGGAAGATGCGATGCCCTTCGCGTGATAAAATCATCCGAAGGGTCCGGATTGACACGTTGGCCCCTCCGTGGGTTGGTGCGCCTCCGAGGAGGCCATCATCAATGATCCTGCGCGCGGCCGCGGCCTCCCCAGCAGCCGCATGCCCCGCCCGGCTGGCGAAGCGTAGGGGTGACGGTGTGCCCGACGTAGGCGCACGTGCCCCAGGGGACATGTGGCTCACGGCCGGGCGGGCCGTGCCCGATACCTCCACTGACGGACAGGGGGACATGCGCCAGGCGGGACGCGACGCGCGAGGGGAGATGCCGCCGCCCGGCACCGCATACGGCGGAGGCGCACAAGACCGAGACCAAGACCGGTACGCGCAAGACAAAGGGTGGGGTGCGGAACACTCACCTGGTGGGGGGCCCAGACGATCGTTGGGGAGGGGCGGCAGGGCATCTGGGTTGTGCCTCCTCGGGGTGTGCGCGACCTCGTACGGCTCGGGGAGGATGGTGGACGGGGGCGGGAGCTGGTGATTGCGGGGCGGGAGGAAGTCGGGTGGGGGCGCGCCAAAGGACCGTGGGCTGAGGGGGCGCGAGTGAAGAGGAGGAGAGCGGCGGTAGGCAAGGTGGGAGGGGTGAGGGGGGAGGTCGGGGAGGCGGTCGCGCTCGCGGTGGTCGCGGGGGCGGTCGAGGGTGGGGGAGTGATGAGGTGGACGCTGGGCGTGGGGTGGCGGTGGCTGCGGTTGCGGGGCGCGTGGGGGTTCGTGCTGCTGCTGCTGTTGTTCTGGACGCTGCCTGGTGCGGAGGGAGTCGGAGGGGGCGTCGTCGAGGAGGTCGCGGACGTTCATGGTGGTGGGGAGGGAAGAGGGCGGCGGATGGTGGGAAATTGGCAGACGTCGATTGAAAACGCGGTCGCTGATCACAGGGGCAATCGAGATCGTTATCTCGTTACCTCATACCCGTTGTCCTCTTCCCCAGCTGCCCCGGCCACCGCCTGCAGCCCTGAGCTTGGCTGCATGCGCACCGCACGCTCCTCTGTCTGCCCTCCCGAGACGCGTGCATGTGCGCGGAGAGAGGGCCGGGTCTGGCATGTTGGCGGGGCGAGGCGGGCGGGGAAGCGGGCGGAGAGGACGCATTGCCACGCGACGCGCGCGCTCAGATCTCCGATCTCGCTACCCGGATGTGGCCGCCTATTCCGCGCCACCTAGATTCAATCATGCGGCCTCGTCCGCCTCGGCCGAATCCAACTCAAAGGCAAAAACGCGAAACCTACCCGCACAACTAGGCGTTCTGCGCCCGCCGACCGTCCTTGTTCCCAGTAGACACGAACAAGGTTAGCACGTGTACGTCATCTGCGCGCGCCACCTCGGGAAGACTGGTCGGTCCAGCCGACAGAACGCTAAAGTCGTTCGCACACATCCAGATATCTGGCCACACTCGCAAACCCTCCTTCGTCGCCGATACACGCCCGCGCTACCGTTCTGCTCGAGGTGCTCTAGGGTGCTCTCGACGCTCGAGCGACACGTCGATGCGCGGGGTCGACGCGATCGGGCTCGCGCGCAGAGCCTGGCGCCACACCCTGGGATCGATCGACGATATTTCGGCCCACGCCTTATTTAGGGGCGCTTACCCGACGCCCGCCCCTGAGCGCTGGGCGCGTCCCATGCACTCATCCCAAACATCTACTTGGAGAGATCCTGTCAGCGCGGATACCGCGAAATTACATCGGCCCTGCAGCTGTTCCGGGGATGTGCAAACATTCATTTGGATTTTCACCGGGGCTCAGAACGCGCAGCCCATGTGTGCTCGGCATAAATTGTCAGAATCGCCTGCAGAATCAGTATCAAGTTTGACCGCACCGCGTAGACGCTAGTAGATAAAATGATGTGTACGTGATTCTCCTTTCCATGTAATGTATTTATGCGCCACATCGCCGTCTCAAGGGGAGGCGAAACTCCTTACTTGTATCACTAGCTTATACGACGATGACGACGACGACGACGACGTAAAGAGGGCAGACCAAACAATAGATATACAGTGTCGTGTAACTACTCATAACCTGATACCAAACGTACGTTCATCATCCTCGAAGCAGATCTCCACATGCACCTAAATACAACGGTGTAGGATATTTCGCACCTCCCGGGCCATCTCAGTGCTGACGACCCGGTCACGCGGGCGCCGTGGATCAGCGACGTACAGTATATACAACCACCTTCCTTCGACTCGGTCGATCCTCCAAGCAGCGAACCGACGGGCCTTCAGAGACCCACGACGCGTCTACGACAAATCACGCGGGCGGTCACTCGGACGGGATGTGCGCGTTGATCTCCTCCAGGAGCTCCATGGCGATCTTCGCGCTCGACACCTGGCGCAGGAAGATCAGCAACTGGTCGCACAAGCACGAGCTCAACGTACCCTCAAATTATAGTGGGTCGCGACCCCCGCCTCGAAGACGCCGAAGCGAATGTACCGCGGATCCTGCGCGAGGACGCAGCGCATGCCCTTGAAGAGCGTCGCGTTCAGGAGCACGTTGTGGACCGCCTCCTTCCGCATGACTGACGATCCACCCCATCAGCGTGCGCACAACGCAGACGAAGAAGAAAACGCACTGAGCCGCGCCCCGCTCCCATCGTCCCTCCGGACGTTGATCCTCAGCATGCCCGTGCCCCGCTCCTTCCACATGTTCTGGTCGCTGAGCGCGAACAGCTTCCCGCGCACCTGGTACACCGTCTCCTCATCCTCTTCGCCCGTGTGCACCTCCTGCTCCGTCAGCTGCAGCTTCTTCTCTTCCTCGCCCTCCTCGCCCTCTTCCCAATCCTTGCCAGCACGCAGACGCTCCCCGAAGGACACCGCCTTTGCCCCTGTGCTCTCCTTCTCTCCACCCTCCTTCTCGCTCTCGTCCGAATCGCGTCCAGAGTCCAACGCGTTCTGGTTCGCTAGCGCAAGTGGGTTCGTCAGCGCCGACGCCGCCGCTCCCTCTCCGAACACGCTCCGTCGCGGAGAGGGCGCCGCGAATCCCTGAGCGCCGCCGAAGGCGTACGCTGAGAACGCGTTCGTCGCGCGGGCGGGCGTGCCGTGACGCGAAGGGGACCGGCTCCGCCCCAGAGCGTTGGCCGTCGCCGGCGGCGGGGACTTGGGCCGCTTCGCCGCGCTCGCCCAGGGCGACGTCGCGGACGCGAAGGCCTCGAAGCCTGTGCGCTTCGCTGGCGTCGCGCCCGTGCTAGAGGAGCTCGACGCGCTTGACGCGGCTTGTGCCTCTTGCGCGGCGACGGCCGCAGCGAGAGGGGAGGGAGACGTGCTGCCGGACGCGAAGGGGGATGCGCCGAACGGGGAGGGTGACTTGGCACCGAAGAGGCGGGGGCCAGAGACGGTGGCGAAGGGCGAGTTTGGCGCTGCATACATGGCGAAGCCGCCCTGGTAGACGGTCAGCGCGTGGCCGGTGCGGGGGACACGCGAGAGCAACTCACCAGGACCGACGGGGCCGGGGCATCCTTCTTCGCGCCCTCCTTCTCCTTCTCCTGCGCCTTGAGCAGCTCGATCGCCTTCGCCTTCTCCTCGTCCGGCGGGGGCGTCGGCCGCTTCTTCTCCCGTGTATTCGGGTCCACCTCCGGGTCGTCGCGCGGCCGCTTCGTGGCGACTGCGCCTGGGACTGGTGTGCCGTTGCGGCTCATGGACACACCGTCCAGAGCGGCGCTGGCCGTCCTGTCGCCCAGCTTGCGCTTCAGCTTCTTCTCGCCGTCCGAGTCAGAGTCGCGTCGCGAGCTCGGCAGCCGTGGTACGTCGCCGAAGGGGATCTGGTCCGACGCCGCGGGAGCCTGCAGCGAATCCACGACGGCAGAAGTCGCGACTGCGCCGGACGGCTGTGGAGCCCCGGCCACACGAGAGTCGGGTGGCTGCTCCGCACCTGCTGCCGCGCCCGTGCCCTCGCCGTCGTCGACGATGGGCGGATTCGGGCCCACGCTTGCGGCTGGTGGTGGTAGTGCCGGAGGCTGCTGCCCCTCCACCCCCACCAGCGCTTGACCCGTCGGCGCCGGCGCCGTTGGTGGGGCGTCCGCGTGTTCGCCGTGCGCGTCGGGGATGGCGACGTCCTGCGCGTCCTCGGCGGGCGCGGGGGCGTCCTCGTCCATCAGCGTCGGGGACTTGTCTGCCGGCTCGTCTTTCTTCATGTTCTTCCAGGTGATGTCTTCGACCCCCTGGCTAATTTGCCGGATTTTGGTTTCGTGGGGCGGGGATCCGGTGGTCGGCATCTCCTCCTCGACCTCTTCCTTGGTCGACTCGAGTGTGGTGTCGCTCGTCCGGTTCTTCTTCGCTGGTGTTCGTCGATCCTTCTCCTCAGAACGGCCATTTTCAAGTTCCTGAGGAGGGCGTTAGTCCCGCCACCGAGTGGAAGATGATGGGGAGGGTGGTCAGGACGATGTCGAGGATGGGGTGGTCGGACCGCCGCAACCAGCCGTCGACGTGTACTCGATGGGTGTGTGGCGCGAGGAAGAAGGACGATGGGCGATGACTAGGGCGATGGAAAAGCAAAACCGGTTGATCGAGCACATAACGCACCTGGACGACTGGCTGAGGTGTCGCTGGCTCGAGCGAGACCTCCCGCTCTCGCTTCCTCGAGTTCTTTACGTCCGTCCCTGCAAGCGCATTATCTCGTCACTCCCCGTCCAGCCGAGGGTGAGGCCGACCACGCTCACTCACCATTGCAATCTCCTGGGGGTGTTGTCGGCTCCTGCTCCGCGGGCTTCGCAGTTGGGAATGGCTGTGCGTCTTGTGCGTCGTGTGCGTCGTCGGCCATGGTGGGTGTAGGGGGGAGACAAAGGGCGGGAGGGGGGCGGGGGCGTGGGGGTTCTTGTTCAGGGACCGAAGCGAGGGCCATGCCTCCAAGCCACCACAATTAGGCGCGCGGAACGATAAGATGGAAATGGTAAGTCGGTCCCTCCTGCCGTCGTTGCCGCTTAGTCATTATAGGACACCTTGTTATCTCCTGCTTGCTCGGTTTTGTGGTCCACTCGCTACCTGTTGTATGCGGGGACGGTGCTTGGAAACCCGCCCACAAGGCCACAGGCATCGCGCGATCCCAGGACCCACTTTCGGGATATCACCGCCCCAATCAACAAACCCTTCGGTGCGGGGCCCTCTGCCGACGTGCATGTTCGTGTGGCATCGCGCGCCGACGCCATGCCCGCTGCCCTGCCCGGCGTCCGCCAAGTCCGAGTCTCTCATTCCGTCTACTCGCTGTCAGCCGGTAGAACTTGGATGCTGCGAGCGTTCGACATGCCCAACCTTTCTACAGCACATGTTCGTTCCCGGTGATCGTCAATCTCTGCGAACTGACTTCTTGCAGTCGCCGTCTCTTGTATCTGTGCGACCTCTCGGTCGACTAGGTCCTGGCCGTTCCTCCCGTTAATTGCACAATTTCCTCTGTCCCGATCGTGCCACGCGAGCGGCCCGAGGCTTTCCGGTATATGCGCAGTGAGTGTTGCTTGACGTCATCGCAAACTCAATCACTCTTATTCTGTACATAGTGAGCACTGCCCATGACATACGTTTGCCGCTTGTGCCATGGCAAAGAGAAGTTGGAAGTCGCACACGCGCTTGCGTCCAGCCCCATCTTCAACGTTCAACGTTTCAACCTTCCATCGTAGCTGACGACAAACGCCCCACAACGCAATTCAAGTTGTCCGTCAGAGGTGGAGCGCTCTAAATCCATGACTCGCCCCGCAGCCCCTGCCGTCCGCACCTTGGTCCCACACTCCCATCCGCCCCACCGTCCTATGGACCTCGTCACCGTCGTGGACCGCAACACCACCCTCACCATCCTTCCGCCCGAACCGACCGACGACAAGCATGCGTTCAACCGGCCCGCAACGATCGTGGGTTCCCCCTCCATTCCTGCACAGCATGCGCACACCCACTCACGCTTATGCCGCGGTGCAGGTCATGGCCGCTACGGAGGCCCCGCCGGACTACGACTCGTCCTCGTCTTCGCCGACATTTGTGAGCGGCGAGCACACAACGAGGGTCAAGCCCGTCCCGCTCGAGCCCGTCACGTTCAAGTACGAGTCTCCGACGCGGGGCGTCGCTCGACCCACAGTCGAATCTGCTCCGTGGCTAGAACGGGCGCACGTGTCGCCCTCGATGCTCAGGTATTCGCAGACGGCGCATTTCGACCCCAGTGCCGTCCTGGATCGGTTCCCCGCGACGAACCGCATCACCGTCTTCTCTGGGAAGGATCCCATACGCGGTCAGCAGTCTAGTCGTCGTTGATCGGGGCGCATGCACTCACTAATCCGGTCAGGGACGTATGTCATCGATCCGCAGCTCATGACGCTACATTCTACGAATATGTTCATCAAGCACAAGCACATGCGCACGCAGCGTATCTTACATGGCGCGGAGATGTCGAATGTCCGGGGAGCCGGCCGCGAGCAGGACGGCTGGAGCTGGGACCAGGCCATCAAGCGCGTCAACGATCGCACGCTGAGCGCGGCTTTTACGAGTCGCAGAGGGCCAATTTCGTTGGACCTCATTATTGCAGCGACTGTCCGGGGCTCCTGGAGCGCGGTACCGGACGGACGATGGCCCGCCCCTATATCAGTGACCACGAAGCAAGGAGACATTGCTCTAACTGTGGTATGCCGCGATGCCGACTTGAACACTTGGCGTATGTTGCTGAAGCGAGCACCAGGTTGACATAAAACCTGGGCGATGCATAAACCTCGATGCGACGAGTCGGAAAGGTGATGAACCTGATCATGGACATACAGGAAAGCTAACGATACTTGCGCATAGGCAACATCCTCGTCCTGATGCCTCGGTCCTACTCTGGCACAATTACCCTCCGCACCGGTCGCGATATCACCAAAGAGAACGCCTGCTTTCTCCCAAAGCTCTCTCAGGAAGTCCGCGTGCTTCGCAAGTCGGTCCGCGAGGTGGTCGCGTCCTTTCGCGCGCCGAACGCTGGGCAGCAGCCGCAGCAGTCCAGTTCAGAGCAGCAGATTCCATCGCAGGATTACTGCATGGTCACGTCGAAGCGAGGACGCATAGCGGTGGGCCTATGGGGCCTGGATGAGGCGGTTGGGTGGGACAGACAGCGAATAGAGCTTCATGGAAGAAGAGAGTCGGGGGCGAATTTCTACCTCTGACCTTCGCAGAACCTTTTGGGACTTGTGTTATTTTATGTTGTGATGAGTGAAGACTGTGACGTCTACAGTGCTAGTTGGTCAACGATCTGGGAGCAGTGGATCGCGTATATACTCACCTACACCGACCCCTTTGACTTCTTCATCTCTCGGTACAACCTGATCGCACGCTCCCGCTCCTCCTCCATCATCGCCTTCTGCGCCATCGACAGCACCCCTTCCTTCAACGACCTTGCTCCATCGCCCGAAGTTTGTTTGGCTTTCTCCGCCACGAGCTTCTTTGCCTTGCGCGGCAGCTTCTTCAGCTGTGGTGGGGCTAGCACGATGTCATTCAGCCGTTTCGGTGCAGATGTCGAAAGCCGCTCGAATTCCTTCGGGGTTTCCTTCGCCTTCCCGCGGGAGGGGCCTCTCGGTGCGTCATCTTCAGAGTCCGAGTCCGGCTCTGCCTCTCGAGCCGGAGCTTTGCCTTTCGCTTTGGACGTCGCAGCCTGGTCTTTGGCACCCTTCGCCGCCGCAACTTCTTCCTTCTTCACCTGGCGCACACGCGCCGCGGACGCCTGTATGGCATCACGCACCGACCCGCGCATCGAGTCCTCCACGCGCCTGCAAAGTCATCTCAATGCCCAGTCGCAGCGCCGGCCACAACCGCGAACGCACCGGCTGAAATGCACCATGGACTCCCCAGGCATGATCTTCAGCTTCCCCGCGCCCTTTTTCTCCGGGTCCGTGCCCTTCTTCGACCGCTTCTGCGCGGACCCACTGGACTCCTCCTCGGCGTCCCGCTTGCGCTTCCGGAAAGCCTGCTGCACCTGCGCGGCGTTGAGAACCCGCGCCGCGCCCTTCGGCACCTCCTCGTTCTCAAGGGCCCGCTTCGCACCCGGGGCGAGGTCGCTACCACTGCGGGCGGGCACAGGGTGAGCGGTGGGGGCGGCCGGCTGGAAATTTTGAGGCTTACATACGATTCTTTGCGCTTCTGGACCCGGACGGAGCGTTTGGCGCGTTTGTGCGGCATTATAGGGGGTTCTTGTGGATGCAGAATATGACAGATCAAAAGAGAATGCAAGTAGGGAAATGGATGGAGGTGGTGGCAAAGGGAGCGATCGGAATCCAAGTCAGCCTTGCCACCCGCCATGGGCGCCGACAGATGGACCGGGCCGGACCCCGGTTGTGTTGCGACGTCCGACTACAACTGGCACCTTTACCGCGAACCACGATTACCTTCCAGTAAGCTGTCAGTATTTGTCCATGTATCGAACCCAGTCCTCAAGGCCTCACACCTTTGTAGCATGAGGGCACTTCAATACGCATCAGCTCGAGTTTGCACAATGTCTACCCGGGCTAGCGACTAAACAGCCTCGCCATTGACCTTTCGGAAGAAGTGACTGAAGGAACATGGAATCTGGCTTACGCGGCCGAATAAAATCAACTTGCACTCACCCTACGCTTTGTCCACAAGGCCGTCGATGGTCTCCGAGATTTTCGCCCACTGCTGGCAAGACGGTGACAGCCGCAGCATCCGCATCTCACACGTCTGCCGTCCATAACAAGACCCCGCGGTTCTGAGCGGCCCCCGTCTCCACTCCGGGATCAATACTGAAGGATGGGAACAGTGGACTGCAGCGGAGCGCGACGCGCTCGAGGCTTGTGCCACAATGGTTCTCGCGCTCACCGACCCATAACCCTTCCGCTTCGCGTTACGCGGCTTGCTTACCCCGATCGTCCCCACCCTACAGGCTACAGCTCCACTTAGGATACGTCGTTGCATCGAAGCTCACCCTCCCACACGAAATCCACTTCCATTCGTCGCGGACACTGAGAATTGACGTACCCAGACGCCATGACAACATCTTTCCCCGCGCCCTAAAGACCGCGTCCGATGCGGTACCAATGGATCCCGCAAACACATTGCCATCGAACCTGGAATCTCCGAGCTCTCTCCCCGACCCAGTAGCCATAGTGCGTATAAAACCGCCGCTGAGAACGATTGGGACCCACCGCGGTGGAGGGATGGTCACCACATCGCCGCCACGACGGAGCTCTACGACCCCCGCGGCCTCCGCGTCCTCCGCGCGGGCGACACGGGCTTCCGCGGCTACCTCGCCCTCGACCCCGACCGCTTCGCCGCGGAGTTCTGCGCCGCCACGAGCGTCGTCCGGCTTGTGCTGCACCTGCACAGGTCTAGTGCGAGCAGATTCTCGACGTCTTTTCTCTCTCGACATCGGCGGCCTCGGGATCTGGCACCTCCTGCGGACTGGTGATCGCCGCATGCCGTGGCTGGCGTTTCGCACTCACCGTGGTTGCAGACCCTCGTCGTCGCCTTCCCCCCAGTGCCCCGGGCGACACTGAAGGTTGCATCCGGCGACGCTCTATCCCCTACACGGTGTCGTGCGGTGTGGGAATCGGTGGGGGGATAGGTGGTGGAGGCGGTCTGTATGCTCACGGCGAAGCTTTCCCGCGGGACCTACCTCGGCCATCTGGTGTGGACAACGCGTGGGATCGAGGCGGAGCAGAGGCCATCGTGGACGCGGCGATGCCTTCTGCTGAATGGAGCGGCTTTCGGGAGCTTGTCGATGGTCTCTCTGTCGCTTTTGATACAACCTGAACTTGGCCTAGTAGTACATCTACTAAATACGTTGTATCGTGAACAGCTTCAATTCATTCCTCGCTGCGCTATCCATAGTTCCTGCGCTCGACCGAACCATCCACCAGCTTCCGCAAGCGGTTCAATTCAAATTTACTGACCGCGCCCTCCTCCAGCTCCTTATCTCTTGGGTACGACCAGCCGCGGACCTCCTTGTCGATGTTGGGCAAAAACCAATGATCGACGCACAACCGCCCCATCTCCGTCCACACCTCCACCGCCGTCCGCGGGCGCACGCCCCACACCAGCCGGGACAGCCGGCGCGCGCGACCGTGCTCGGCCCGCTTCGCGAGCATTGCGGTCAGCGCGCGGACTGCGGACCGCGCGTCCCACATCCGCACCGTGGTCTCGTCTGGGGATCGCATGGGCAGCCCCTCTGGCACGCGGTCGAAGGTGACAAACATTGTATCGAGCTTCGAGGTGGATGCAGACACCACAGGGCCTGACAAGCGGGACAGCGTGTCGCCGATGCTCAGCCCTCTGAGGTCGAGAAAAGTTAGGTGTGGGAGGGAGTTGAAGATGTCGACTTTCATAGGATGGAGGGTGCGTATGGTCAAATGGGTGATGTTGTGTGTGGACCTGGAGGACCTTTCGAAGAGCCGGTGGTATTCCGGGGACATGCCAGGGTACTTGCGCGTGTACACGAAGACAGTGCGGAGAACGCGTTTGTTGAAGTCATCGTAAAACTCGGCGGTCGCCTCGAGCGTCCCTACTTCCTCTCGCAGGTGTTCTTGTATGAAGACGGTGGTGACTGGGGGGCTGAAGTCGAGAATATCCCGATCGGGGAGCATGCTACCGCGGTCGTCGAACATAAATGCATGGGGAATACGGAGCTCGACGGAAGCATAAGGGTTGGACGCGAGTGCGTTAAGATAGTGGGCCATCACCCCTTCTTGTGCATGGACGGTTAGGTTTTGGAGGCGTGGGGGAAGTGGTAGGGTCTCAGACGGCGTGGCCATGTTGTTCACATTGTGCACCCATTGAATGCGGCTGTTTTCTGATATGGAAATTGTGAGATTCAAGAGGGCTGGACAGGTGGAAAACGCGTCCTGGAGCTTTCGTAGACCAATATCTCTGAGGGTGAACATCGGTGGAGTGACGTAAATGGACTGCAGGGTTGGGCGGACCAAGAATGGAAGAAGGTCCATGGGGACGCGGTGTAGGGTCCGTAGACGAGGCGTGGTAGTGAGAGATCGTATATCGATGGGGTAAAACGTGGCCGCCAATTCTTTCTCCGAACAAAGAGCGCGCTTGTTGGGAAGAGAGCCTGGTCCTATGCGGAGAGAGGTGAGGTTCGGCAACTCTATGCAAAGAAACCTATGGAAGGCGGAGAGTTGTTCGAGATTCCGGAGGGCGATATCAAGTTCCACCAGCTGCGCAACGTGGGGTACTAGAGCTCCGGTAACAAAGGCAGGGAATCCGCGCATAACAAGGTGTAGTGCCATGGTCCCGGTGCGGGAAATACTTGTCACAAGATGGGTCTGACGCGCTTCGAGTGCTTCCGTCGTCCACCCTTCCCATCCTTCGAAGTTGAACATCGTATCGGATGAGACGGCGGCGGCCCAGAAGTGAGGACTCTTGTGTGTAATCTCACGCCAGAGGCGACAAACACGGGTGACGCGAATGTTCCTGCTGTGTTTCTTTGTCCAGCAGTGTGCGAAGATTTCGGAGAGCATCTCGGTTGGGAGGATGCGATTTATGAGGGAGACGGAGTTGCAGATGCTGAGAAGGCCCAACGCGAGGCGGTTGTAATGCTTAGATCGGGATTTTGTCTCGGTGGGGAGGACGTGATCTATGGGGTCGACGAAGTTACGGATGCCGGGCAGGCCCAGCGCAAGGCGGCGGTAATGCTCAGATCGGGATTTTGTCCAAGATTGCACCTCGGTGTGTGAGAGACCTGCGAGCTGTGCACGATCGGAGGCAAGGACGATGTCGGAGAAGTGAGGGAAGGGGGTAGGGGTGGGTTCGGCGGCAGCCATTGTTGTCAGGGATGACGAGGATACTGATTGGACCATATCTTGAGTATATTGAGAGTTAGACATGTCATGACGAGCGGGGGAAATGAAGGTACGCACATGTCGGCAATGGAGCGAAGCGAAGACGAGGACCTGAATGATAAATCTGATTGAGTCGCCGCAGCCTGTTTGGCTGTCACGTGCGTGATTCCATTACCACTTTGGGCGCTAAACGGAGTCTTGTCGCGCCAACCCTCACCAACCGTACTACTTAACTTGTAAGTATTTGATGGCACTGGTCCGTACTGAGATACCGTTCCATATCCTTCCAATCTTACGCAGCTTTATTAGACATGTGTCCCCCCCCCCCCCCAGCTTCGCTCAGTTTCCTCCTGCATCCGATCCCGACAGCTCCGTCAATCCGCCCGACGATATCATACGGTGAGAACCTGGGCCCTCACTCGTGCGTGCGACAGAACATGCAAGGCCTGCCCATCCAGTCACCAGCGTCGATGCGGACGACGGGACCGGGATGGGTCCTCCGCGCCGCCTTCACACCAACATAAGCATACCTAGGGATTACTACGTCGTCCTTGGCGTCCAATCGATCCTTCGTCACCCGCCCCTATGCTATCGCAAGCATCACCAGAATTTGACACCCTACTGGCCACTAGTTGGTATGGACATAAATGATCTGCGCTTTTCCATACGCCCAGCCGCTGGAGCGCGGCGGGCGAGGCGCCTACCAGTTTCTCAACGCAATCACTATCGCCGCAAGCAGGCTCCGATCTGCATGGCGTCCACCCGCTCCGGGCTAGGTGACAACGTCGGGCATTGGACTAGCGGAGCGCGTCTGGTTGGTCTCACTGACTGGTTCTCGGGTGATGTCCGGCGGCGGGGAGTGCGTCGTGTAGGGACGGTACGTCTAACGGCCGATCTCTTGCTGGGTGCCGCTGACTGTGCGCGTGTGTAGATAGAGTACGGTGAAGCGTGGGTACTCATGGAAGAGGTGTGTAGGAGTCATTGGGGAGGTGATGGTCGATGGTCGACGCGTCGAGAGGCGTCGGTACGCCGTAGTTGTGTCGACCGCGATGCGCTGGTCCCGGGTCCGTCAAGGGCTGGCCGGCTTGCACCAAGGGCAGGGCGACAGTATAGAGAGCCTTCGCCGCAGGCGCTCGATTGTATCATGGAGGTGAACCAGGGCAAGTCGACTCCCCGTCGAGCGAGCTTACCCTCTCCGCCCTCTAGACCGTCTCGTACTTTCTCAGGCCGTCTCATACTTGAATGTTGCTTGAATGCTTTTGGGCGTCGAGAAGGACACCGAGTCCCGCCCTCTGTGTTCGAGCTCTCCTGTCGAGGCCAGGTGAGCAGCGCTGAGATATCCCCCTCGCAGTTCCTGCCTAACATACACTGACCACACGATCGGGCGCACCGAGCCTAAGCACGGTTGTCCAGCGGGCATCCCAGAGAAACACCTTTCACGAGTTCCACAGCGAAAAGGACGAAAGCTAGACAAATCAATATTTATACACTTTTTCTCGAGCCCATCCGCTTATACGACGAAGCCCTGTGTACGATACGTGAGATCGTCGCTGAACAAACATCCTACAAATCTACTCACCCCATTGACCATCAACGTTTGGCCGTTGACCCAAGACGCCTCAAGGCTGACGAGGAAGTCTACCACCTTCGCGACTTCTTCCGCCTGGCCGAGACGCTTCGCGGGGTGTAGGTTTTCGGTGAACGCAACCTCCTGCTCCGTCGTTCCGTTCCGAAAGAGGTCGGTATCGATCGGTCCGGGCGCGACAACGTTGGTAGTGATACCCTTCTGGCCGAGATCCTTGGCGAGGACGCGCGCCATCTGCTCCACAGCGCCCTTGGTGCAGTTATAGAGAAGGAAGTCGGGAGGAACCATCGACGCGCGGGTAAGTGATGACGACTCAGATGAGGATGATACGGCTCCCTGAGTGTGCCGAAGTGTATGAGCGGCGTGAGATGGCAGAGCACGGGGCGCATATACTCACCCGAAGTCAAGTGAGGGAGGGCAGACTGGATGAGGAACATGGGCCCCTTGACGTTCGTGTCGAAGGTCTTGTCGAAGGTCTCGGGAGTCGGGAGTGATCTGAGCTATGGTGGCGACGCTAATGATACATAACCGCATTGAGGACGACGATGTTGAGGCGGCCCCACTTGTTTACGGCCTTCTTCACAACGCGCTGGCTGGCCTCAAGGGAAGCGGCGTCGGCCTGGGAGACAATTGCCTGGCCCGCACCTTTCGAGTTGATGTCGGCAGCAACTTGAGCGGCAGCATCAGCACCGGCGACGTAGGTGATGAGGACATTCGCGCCCTTTCCAGCGAGTTGAGCGGCGATTTGAGAACCCCATGTCTCTTCCTCTCGCCGGCAAAGTCGCTATAGTCACTGGTGCAAGTTCGCGCTCAATCGACAGAATACATGCGAGCTCACTTATATACCGTCCGTCATGGTCTGGAACTCATCCACGGTAGAATTTGATTGTTGAGCCGTCGGGGACACATTGACCTCAAAGGCCGTAGGAAGTAAGTTCCGGATATGAATGACGGAGAACAAGGTGGAGGTCTCCCCTTCCCAGTGATATTGTCGACGTGATGTGTAAGCCAATGTGTTGATTATATATCCCGCCCTGATGTTTGATTACACACCAGCCCCGATTTATAACAACGACATCGGTATATGTGTGTATGGTCGTTGCATCTCGGGACCCGAAGTTCTTCAAGTGGAATTCAGTACGTCAGCGGCAGCGCTCCCTTTCTAACGGTCCAACATCTATATTGCCTTTCACCTATCAAAACGTTTACTATAGGCGTTTCTCGCTGTCGAGTTGACTGATTAGATCATCTGTTAATCCAGCGCTACACCGCCCTTGATTGCGGCCACGTTCACACTTACCGCCACTTCTGACGCGTTAAGCCGGTGCTCGCTGTGCTGCGCAGCGAGCAACCTCTCACTATGGCCCCTCACCACCGGGCCCTTCTCATTCTCTGGAGCTTAGCCGTCTGGTTAGTTCTCGTCACTAGCCAACCCCAGGACACCGTCAGCTACTTTGACAATCGCCCCGCCCGACTCTTCTTCTTTGATGACGCCTCGGTACGCCGCGTGTGCTCGGGAGAATCGCGCGTTCGTTCACCTTCGCATTCCAGAGCGCGATATATCATGACTCCAATAACGGCGAGCTCTATGTGTCTTCAGACGAGGGCAAAACATGGGAAAGGGCAAACGGCGTGAGCGAGCCCATCTCCATGGTCATCCCCCACCCGTTCGACAACACCCTGGTAAGCACCCCCACACCACGCATGTCTTCGGTCCCCTCACGCGCATACAGGCGTTTGCATTGTCGCGAGGCAAGAAGCACTTCCGCACCCAGGACCGCGGCAAGACATGGCGCTCCTTCGACATGCCCCTGGCACCCGCACTTGTCGGCCAGCCTCTCTCCTTTCACTCGGAACCCAAGAAGTTCGGCCACATCCTCTACCAAGGCACGACGTGCGACGGGTCGGGCGGGTGGGGCCAAATTTGCTATGACGAGGTGAGTGTATGCGCGTTCCGTCTCAGCATGATGTCTTCCTCCCTTGGGTCCCGTCTTCCCCTACCTGATTGCCCCGTAAGGGATGGAGGGTTGCGTACGTCTCTTGTCCCTGATTGTGCTCGTAGTTATGCAGTGTGCCCTTTTTCGACTCCCGAAACTGACTCTATTCACAGACATACTATACATTAGATGCGTTCGGCGGTGGCCCAACAAAACTGCTCATGGCGGACTCCGCCCGCTGTCAGTTTGCGCACAGCAGCAAGGAGTTCAAGCACAGCGCGCATGAGGACCTCATCTACTGTGTCGCGTACGAAACGTCGTCCACGGGCAACCACCACTCTGTCTCCGCCAGCCGCGTCTTTTCGTCGACCGACTTCTTCGCTTCAGAGAAGACCGTCGAAGACTTCGGTATCGGGAGCAAGAACACGCGCGGCGTCGTCGCGTTCGCGATCGTGTCCAAGTTTGCAGTTGTGGCGATGAAGGACCTTGCAGAGGGGTCGAATGGTGATATGCTCTTGTACGTCACCGTGGACACCAAGACGTGGGCGAAAGCGACGTTCCCGCACTCCTCTTCCGCGCGCCTGCGGGAGAACGCGTACACCATTGTCGAGTCTACCACGCACTCCCTGGGCGTCGACGTCCTCGACCACCAGCGCAGCGCCATCGGCACGCTCTTCGTCAGCAACTCCAACGGCACGTTCTTCGTGGAGTCGCTCAAGGACACCAATCGCAACGAACTCGGCTTTGTCGACTTCGAGACTATCTACGGCGTCGAAGGTGTCGGGCTTGCGAACGTCGTGCGTAACGCGCAGGAAGTCGAAACGCGCCGCGCTGCGAAGCAGTTGCAGACGCGCATCACATTCGACGACGGTACGTGGCCGCAGCGGTTTAGCGTTAGAGTTTGAGCTGACAGACTCTATATCAAGGCCGTAGTTGGTCGCGCCTGAAGCCTCCCGCAGCGGACAGTGAAGGACGCCCGTTCAGCTGCGGGCCCAATGACGGGTCGTGCGGGCTCCATCTGCACTCGGTGACGCTGCCGCACAACTTCGGACGGGTCTTCTCCTCACCCGCCCCAGGGTTTGTGATGGGAGTCGGCTCCGTGGGCGACTACCTTCTCCCGTACGAAGACTGCGACACGTTCCTGAGCTCAGACGGAGGTATCACTTGGAGCATGGTCCACAAGGATGCGCACCTGTACGAGTTCGGCGATCAGGGCAGCATTCTCGTCATCGCAAATGATGAGGAGAGCTCTACAGCGGTTAGCTATTCCACCGATTTCGGTAGGACTTGGTACGTCACATCCGTGCATCTTCTACCTCAAATCTGACGATACACCAGGCGCGAGTACAACCACGGAGTTGCCATGCGTGCTCGCATCCTCACTACCGTTGGCGACTCTACTTCGCAAAAGTTCCTTCTCATCGGCCAAGTCCCCCGCAGCGAAGCGAAGGACGGGAAGCAATACGCGTCGGTCTTCTTGGACTTCGCCACCCTGCAACGGAACAAGTGCAGAGACAGCGACTTCGAAGAGTGGACGGCGCGTTCAGCGACACATGAATGCCTCATGGGTCACAAGCAGTCTTACCGCCGTCGAAAGCAAGACGCCGACTGCTTCGTCGGGGAGAAGTTCAGAGACCCTGTTCCCGTCGAGACCAGCTGTCCTTGTACGGACGAGGACTTTGAGTGGTAAGACAATGCCTGATGGCGTTATTATCACCACTAACGCGCTCCCTCAGCGACTTCAATTTCATCTCGGATGGGTCAAAGTGTGTGCCTGCAGGACCAGAACCCGTGCCTTCCGGCGTCTGTCTTGAGCTCCATGATAAATATATGGGCTCGTCTGGGTATAGCCTTATTCCTGGCAACACTTGTTCCCGCGAACGCGGCAAAAACAAGGATGCAAAGGTCGAGAAGTCTTGTGAGAATGGTATGTACTGTCTAAAATCGCTTGGGGCTCCTGCTGAATGGTGTTGTAGCTCGGCCGGACGAAGGGAAGATCATCCACAACGAATTCTCATTCCCTGCTCCCATCGTACAGTACGCGTATTTTCAGAAGTCAACCGTGATCCTCGTCCGGCTGTCCGATGGAAGCATATACCAGTCTCCGAACGAAGGTTATACCTGGAATCCCGTCGTTCCTACAGAGAAGTTCGTCGCCTTCTACCATCACACCTTCTCACACGATCGCGCCTACCTCATCTCGACCTCAAAACGCTTCTACTACACTACAGACACCGGCCGACAGTGGTTACCGATGGACACCCCCTCCGTACCCAACACCTTCGGTCTTCCTGTTCTCCACTTCCACCCGCAGAAGTCCGACTACATCATCTGGACGGGCAACGAAGGATGTGAGGGCTTCGGAGAGAACTGCCACGTAGAAGTTCACTATTCCCTCAAGAACGGACGGGATTGGACGGAGGTCGGCAAGTATATGCGCAACTGCGCGTGGGCGCGTGACCAAGAACTGCTTGTGGACCCGAACCAGATCATCTGCGAGTCATACAGGGACAAGCGTGGTAGCCAGCGCTTCTTCAACATGGAGAACCCGCTCGAGCTCATAAGCGGCTCCGACTTCTTCAACAAGCAAAGGAAGCTGTTCAACCACGTGGTCGGGTTCGCAAAGTTCTCGGAGTTCCTCATCGTCGCGGAATATCAGGCGTCGCAGCAGACTCTGGACCTCCAAGTGTCTCTGGATGGACGCGTTTTCGCGCCGGGCGAGTTCCCACCTACGATGCGCCCTGACCAACATGTACGCTCACTCCCGATTCCTCCCGTGCAGCTTGGTTCTCACTACTTTCATAGGCCTACACCATCCTCGAATCCAGCACGAAGTCAGTCTTCCTGCACGTCACCACGTCAGAGCCGCCGGCGCCCTACTGGGGTAACATCCTGAAGTCGAACTCCAACGGCACCTACTACGGACTATCGGTCGACAATGTGAACAGGAATGATGCTGGATACGTCGACTTCGAGAAGATGGTTGGTCTCGACGGGATCGCGCTCGTCAACGTCGTCGGGAACCCCCATGAGGCACCACTCACTGGTCGCAAGCTGCTCCAGACTCGGATCACACACAACGATGGCGGCACTTGGCGCCCGCTCCCTCCACCCCTGACAGACTCGCACGGCAACAAATACGAGTGCGACACAACTGCTTGCGCCCTCCACATTCACGGCTACACGGAGCGCTACGACGCCCGGGCTACCTACAGCACACCAGCTGTTCCAGGTCTGCTCATGGCCGTCGGGAGCGTCGGCGAGTCCCTCGACGCGTACGACCAGAGCGACACCTTCCTCAGCCGCGACGCCGGGTTCACCTGGGAGGAGATCCACAAGGACGCCCACTTGTGGGAGTTCGGCGACTCGGGGTCGATCCTCATCATCGCGAACGACGAAGGCCCAACCGACCACATCCTCTTCAGCACCGACGAGGGAAAGAGCTGGCGGGAGTACAAGTTCACGGACCAGCCGATGCGCGTCAAGTCGATCGTCACTGTACCCGAGGACACCAGCCGGCGCTTCATCCTCTTTGGCTTCTTCCCTCGAACAAAGAACGCTGCGGTCGCGATTCACCTGGACTTCACTTCGCTCACTTTCACCAAATGTGACTTTGACCCCGATCATCCGAACAACGACGACTTCGAGCTCTGGAGTCCCAGCGAGGGGCGTACTGAACAGTGTCTGTTCGGCCGACAGGTGATGTGCTTCTTCATGTTAGCCAACGATACAGGGATTAACGAGCTGCACAGGTTCTTTTCCACCGTCGCAGACGTGAGAGACAATGCATCGTAGGTGATCAACCCAAGCTTGTGCCGCAGGAAAGCAAGAGTTGCCAGTGCACCGAAGTCGACTTCGAGTGGTACGTGGGCTCGCATATATCTTCGCGCACGTGCGCTGACCACCTGTCACTCTCAGCGAGTTCAACTACGTCAGGGTCGACGACAAGTGCGTCCTCCTTCCCGGTCTGAAGCCACGCGACCCCGACATGGACGCGCAGTGCCGCGGGGACGCGACGGAGTGGTACGACCTCACCGAGTACCGCAAGATCCCGTACTCGTCCTGCGAGGGCGGACGGCGCATCGACCGCGGGACGGCGCACGCCTGCCCGGGCATTAAGGGCCACGGCTTCTTCTTCTGGCTGATGATGCTCTTCATCGCCGGCTCCTTCGCCCTTCTCATGGGCGCGTGGTGGCGCAAACGCTCGCAGCGCGGCGCGATCCGCCTGCCCGGCGGGGACGCGGGTCGGGGCTTCGGCGGGGACTCTGGCGTGCTCGACACGCTCGCGAGCGTGCCCTGGTTCCTCGTAGGAATCTCGGGCATCGCGTACGAGTGGGTCGCCGAGCGCGTCGAGAGCGCGTTCGTGCAGATGCGCGGGCGGAGAGGGTACGGGTACCGCAACGTCGCGGTGGACGAGGACGCACAGATCCTGCGTTTCGAGGATGAGGAGTAGGAGAGGTGTGGAAGGATGGAAGCGATCTGTCTGTTAGACTCGAGGAAAAGGGCGCCGCGGCGCATCTGGGCGTGGACTCTGGAGACGAGATGGAGTTCGCCGCTGTCTGTGCAGGTTCGAGTCTATTGTTCTCTACTATAAGCACCTCGCGGTGGGGTGGCCGTCGCAGCTGACTCTAATATGCTCTCGAGTACACTCTGGTCCAGTATAGCTTTGGATTGTATATGCGTATTATATGTATCGTTGTCTCGCATGGAGCTAGGAGTCCGGAACGCGCGCCTGCCATTACCTGGATCCAGTGGACCGAGAATCGGAAGATGGCGTCAAAGAAGCTGACGGAACTCGACGGCGCTTTCGCACACTACGAGGAAGCTCTGTTATTCGACAGATGATACATGGATGTTGGACGCTCCAAGTTGCAGTCTAGGGCGCGACGATAGTCAAAGTGAACTAGTGGGGTCGATTCTTTGCATGACATAAGCCTACATAGACGGAAGGCGCCACGTACGTAAGTACAGCCAGATATCCTCCGCAGCGAAGTCGGCGCCGGCGCTCGACGACTTCATCTGGATACTCGGGGCTGCGGACCAAACTCTACGTAACAGTAGTAGACATTCCAGATATCCGCATACAAAACCCTCATATAGCACCCCTACAGCTGCCCTGGGGGTCCAATGGACAGGCATTGTCCCCACACCATGGGCTAATCGCCGTGCGGTATTCGCAATGTGATCCAGAAGTGAAGATATCCGGATACACAGTTTGGTACAAAGCCAGGATATCTACCACTCTTCCCGCGCCCACATCCCCACTGCTCAACGACAGACGATGGCTGCATCCACTACAACGACGGAATACTATACCGAACGCACGTACGTGCTCCGCGTCACGGGGGCTACAGATGAGAAGGCTGACGGGTGGTGGCGCGTTCCGCAGGACGACGGCGAACTACTCCACAGCAGCGAGTGCCAGTGGGTGGACCCCCTTGTTAGTCGAACCCGCCAGCGTAGACTAACGTCCTGCGACGGCAGTGTTGTTCATCTACGACTTCATGTGCACCTTCCCGGACGAAGTGGACCTGTACTGGGGAAAGCGGGCCACCGGGGCGTCCGTCCTCTTCTGGGTGCTCAGATATTCCGCGCTCGCGTGCAACGTGTACAACATGTGCGCGTTCTTCCCGACGCGCTACGCCTCCGTAAGCCACCTCGCACTGCTTGCCACGGGGAAGATGAAGGCTCACCGCAGACGCCCCGCACGCTAGCATTGCCGCACTCGATTATTAGTGGAACATGGGTTCTTCGTCTTCTTGTTCTTGCCTCCGGCTGGTGAGCTCAGATCTCACCTAGTCACGCCTAGGGTGCTCAAGCGCTAGAGAAGTATTTGCGGGGTTGAGATGCTGGGCCGTCACAAGAAGCCGGTTCATCGCTGGCCTCGTGTTTGTGCTCTACATGATACCTATAGCAATTAATATTGTGAGTTTTTTTTTTTTGGAAACTCTAGACATCCGGAAGCTGACCCTCATCCCGTCGCAGATCGGCATCGCAGCTTGGGATTTCTCGGCGAAAACCGTCCCTAATGCCGGTTGTCTGGGAACGTATAGAAGCGATTCGGCGAATCCGCACCTGTAAGTGGAAATCGTGGAAGTCGGCGCATGAGTTCACGAAGGCGTTTTCAGGTGTAAGCAATCTCGGGCGCAACAAATGACGAGAGGCTAACCTGGCGCAGTGACGATCATTTCTAGGAGTTGCTTCATCCTTGCAGACGTAGTGCTGATCGCAACGACGACACAACATCTACGTGGCTTGTGGAACCTCAGCAGTTCCTCCTTTGCCCGTGTGATCCTGCGCGATGGTAAGTGCCACCCAGTATCGAATGTTGCCGAGGCTGAACGCCTGGGACACTGACAGGAACGATGTATTTTGTGTAAGTCTCCTCGGCATGCAGTCTCCCTCTCCCACGAGCTTACCCACACCAGTCTTCTCTGCACCCTGAACATAACGCATATAGCGCTATCACTGTTGTCGGTGAGTCCTAGACCTCTCGGGATGGGCCTCCAGTCACGACGGGACACTCACAGCCTTTCCTCGTTCGCGTAGACCTCGGGCCGCTGTCCGGGCATGAGCAACGTCGGACCCTTCACGCAATCGTAGGACTATTCCTCGCTATTGTTCCCGAGTTTAGCGCCGATCACTTCAGCGCAGGATCACGGCGGCATTGGTGTCGCGCTTCCTGCTGCACCTGCAGCACGCCAGCCGAAAGACGCGAGTGGGGCCCACGTCGCAGGACAGCGGGCTCTCCGGGAGCAGGATCGCGGGCCTCACTTCGTTGGGCTCCCTGGGCTTTTGCGGCAACGTTGATCTGACAGAGGAGCGGTTTGACGGTGATTGGGAGACGTTCGCTGATGGGAGCGAAGCGACGCAGGATGACGTTTCTCCCTTTGACGATTGCAAGTCGACGGAGTATAGCCCGTCTGTGTACCAGTGGACATAAGCGAATATTGATGTATGAGTTACTCACATGATGTGGTGTCTTGGCCGCGGTATTGAAGCGCCGTGCGGCAACAAGCAAGGGCACACTCGGTATAAATCGCGATGATCTGAGTTAGAATTAGAGCGACTATACACAGTGAGGTCCCCTGGGCGGTGATACAGATAGCAGATACATAGCATAAGCAAGGAGGAACGAGTCGAGCAAAGTGAAGTCCGGGCTTCTAATCTATCACACCTAGGTGGTCTTCTTTTATCGTCCCAATCGCGAACTGCGGGAGCACATAACATCAGCATATTGCATACACTCACTACGCGCGGGGCTTGAAGAACAGAGAGGGAGACGGGTAGGACCACGCGTAAGAAAAACGAGGACAACGACTCACGATCTGCGTCGCGTCGACACGCGTGCCGACGATTTTTAGGCGGACCCGCGTGTTCTTCTCGATGATCTGCAGACGCGTCGCAGCGCGCGTAAACGCGGAGAGTGGGAGCACCAACCTGGTCCTCCGACGCGAACGACGGCGGGTTGGAGTTCGGGTCGAACTTGAGCTCCGGGTGGATGAGCTGCGAGGGAGTGGCGGGGTGAGCCACCGAGGTTGCAACGGGGGGTGGGTGGCTAGAGGCATGCTCACCTGCTGTGACACGAATACGTTCAAGGGTCCGACCTCCGCGAAGAAGCCCATCTGCGATGCGTCCGTGTGTGCGCGAGCGGCGAGGGCGGGGGAGGGGGCGCACCTTGGACACCGAGGCCACAACCCCGTCGACGACCTGGCCCTTGAACGGCTTGAAGACGATGGCGCGGTAGCGCGTCACGAACTCGGCCTGGCCGTTGCCGGGCATGACGAGGCCCTTGCCGATGTCGAGGATGGAGACGACGGCGATGATGTAGCCAAACTCGCCGGAACAAGTGCCCTCGACGTCGGAGTAGAGCTTCGACTCGAGGAAGTTGAGCATCCGGGGGCCGAAGTAAGACGGGTGGAGATGGATTGTGTGCGACAGTTCTTTCTGCACGCCAGAGAGCGTCAGCCATGACCGAGAGCGAGCATCAAGGGGGGTGCTTTACGATGAAGAACATGGTGGCGAAAGGCAGAGGCGCGTTTACCTCTGTGGCACTCGCGTGCATACAAGCCCTAACTGTCGCCCCAGAGCAGCCACACGCCACTTCTATGTCATGGCCGACTAGCTCAGTTGGTTAGAGCGTGGTGCTAATAACGCCAAGGTCGTCGGTTCGATCCCGGCGTTGGCCACTCTGTCAGATTGGAAGCAATTTTTTGGCCGAGAAACGGCGCATGCACTCTGCACATACAACTAGCCCCAAATATTCATCCAATGCCCATCGCGACCCCTCTGAGTTTTACATGTCGCGTGGCGCGTACAATACAGAATGTTACGACATGCCTCTTACACCCAACTGTGCAGTACCTCTCCCCCGACGTGCTCTCATGTTTCCTCGACCAAACGTGTTCGCTCCTCTGCCGATGCCTCGCGAAGGCACCGACCCGTGAGGGTGGTCGACATCCATTGATGTGCCGCGGCCATCGCCCCTTCCTCCATCTCTCCACGTCTCGTTGGGCACTGTCCGATTCCGCGCCCCTTGCAGTCCGCCGCGCTTCGCACCTCTGCCAAACTGCACCGAAGTCGGCACAAGCGAGAGCGCGTCGAGGCTCTGCGCAAGCGCATCGATGCTCGTGTCCGGTCCGCTCTTCGCGTTCCGCGCCTTGTTCTGCCGCTGGCTCTCCCGCTGCCGGTCTCTGGGTTTGTGTCGCGGGTGCGACTTGTGTCCCTTCTCGTCTGAGTGGGGTGCTGGAGCAGAGGTCGCGACCGGTGCCTCGGTGTCCGTCGCCGGAGCCTCGCGCGCCGGGATGTGGATCTTCTCCAGCAGGACCTCGTCGTCGTCGTCGTCTTCATCGTCGTCTTCCTCCGTCTCCGTCGCCCCAGCGTCCGCGCCCTGCGCATCCTCCATGTCGACCTCTTCGATGCTCTCCAGCACGTCGTCCTCGTCCTGCGTCTCCGCATCATCGTCCGAGTCGCGGTCGTGCGCATCGCCGGCAGGCTCCCGCGCCTGCCACGCCTTGCGGAGCATGCTCGCGCCCCCTCCCCAGCGCGAGAGCAGCCCGCCGATGCCCTTGTTCGTGACGGCGAAGAAGTACTCCTTCGGGTACCCGTGCGCCTGGATGAGGTGCATCCGCCGCGTCTTCGGCGTCGAGAACTTGCGCGGGCACGTCGCGAGGTGGCATGCGAACTGCCCGGCCGTCCGTCAGCTTCGGTAACATGAGAAGGAAAACGGAAAAGGAAGGGGGCTTACGATTTTCTCGCCGCGGTCCTTGCGCACCGCCGCGAGCGGGTCGTGGCATTCGGTCTGGTGCTGCGGTAGCGGGGACGCAGGGAGTCAGCATGCGCCGCCCATGCCTTCGCCTCGCCTCGGCCACCCAGCGCGCCGCGCGGCCCAAGTACGCCCGTCCTCGCCATCCACCCAGCTTCCGCCTTCCGACTGGACATATACAGCCACCCAACCACCCAACCATAAAGAAGCGTCCCACCGAACCCAAAAATCCAACTCAGACGACAAACAAACGAGGCCGACTCACCAGCTCCAAGAGGCGCGCGTCGGGGAAGACGCACCCGCACCCGCGCAGCTCGCACACGTGCGCGTGGAACCGCGCGTAGTGCGCCTCGAGCTCCGCCGAGCTCGCGAGCGCCGTCGGCCGCCGCGGCGGGTGGCACGTCGGCGGGAGCGTGCAGACGATCGGCGCCGGCGCCGGCGCGCCTCCCGCGGACGGGGAGGGCGGCGATCTCGCGCGAGTGCGCGCAGTCTTGGGCGGGGGCGATGGTGGGGGCGAGGCGGCGCGCTTGATGTGCGCCATGTGCGGTGGGGGTGGGGGCGAGGAGGGCGGGGACGGGGATGGAGTGGGGTGTGGGAGTGGTGGGAGGAGGACGAGAGGCAAGCGTCAGCTTGGGCCGGGCGGCTATTATAGGCCTGGGTGCGCGTACGGCCCTGATCAAAAACACACCGTATGCGGGTCTGGCTGAACAAAAGACATGCGCGGACAAAAATCGGTTGTATCGTTGATAATACATGCAAAGCCCATAGGACGTGACGGAGCTCACTAGATCGACTGATCAAAAGTGATAAGGGCATAGTCCTCCACTTCGACCACATACACGCAGCTGCAGGAGTATCTCACCTCACCAGCCCAATCCACGTCAACGAATCTTCACGACCATGCTGCCGCCCGCAGCAACGAGACGTCGGGGTGCCGGATGTCTCCGTGAACCACTTGCTTCCCGGGCTTCCACCGCGTCGCGTAACTCCGGATGCTTTCTCAACAGCTCAGGCCGTCTCACCCTCGAAGTACTCCATCATGACCATCCCGGCTCCTGTGCATCTCCTCTGCCCCATCCCCGACGTCCAGACAGGTCTGCATTGCAACAAGGCGGACACGAAATCGACCTCGACACTCTCCCTGTGCGCGTCCTTCCCGTGGGCTTGACAAACTTGACAAAGACTATGTGGCACCCGTGGTCTTCGGTGACTTTGGCTTTGAAGACGATGCAAGGCTCGTCTGTGTCGATTGTCGGTCCCATGTTGGGTTCCTCGTACGAGCCCGGGAAACAACGTTCAATGTTTAACGTCCTAACGGTCGTAGAACACAAGGACGCGCAACTCGATAGACTGGCGATACGGCGCGTCGTCGGGCGCCGTCGGGTCCGCAAACGCAGAATGCGGCGTGAACCTCGCGACGCTCCCATCGTCTATCGAGTCGAAGCTGCACCGACGCCTTCGTGAGCCCGCGCACGCGCACACGAGCCGACGGCACTCACCACTTGAATATCACGCACTCCTCCGGCGTCATGCCCCTCAAGAAGTGCCACCGGTGCCCCTTCCCATGCCGGACGCTAAACGTCTCCCCAGCCCTGCCTTCGGGGCACACCATTCGCACCGGGACCAGCTCCTTCGCGACGTCTACGGTTCGCGCGTCGCAGAGCGCCAACGGCCAGTCGACCGCCGCGTTCTCTATTGGCCGCCAGAGGTTGAGGATCTGGAAGCGGCGTTTCATGAGCTGGTCCGCGAGGTGGGGGAGCGCGGTGCGCAGGCGGATGACGGCGGACTTGGGGGTTTGGTCGACGTGCACTTGATAGACGGGTTGGCGCGGGTGTATCGTAGGCGAGACGTGACCGTGTGGATCCCGACACCGAATGGCTGCGAGAAGAAATGAGACGGGTAATGGCATGGCACATGCACGCGGCGACAGGGACGGGGACGAGGGGGATAGGACGAGGGGAAGGAGGCGAGGGACGAACGCGCGCGACGTACTGTGGTCGAACACAACCACGCCCACCGCGCCCGTGACACTCTTCACAAAGTCCGCCATCTCGGGATAGTACTCGCGCGCGATGTCGGCGTCGTCGTCGAAGCGGGTGTGTCGTGCGGGGCGGTAGGCGAACTGGAAGCCGTGCACGTCGAGCGAGTACGCGTGCTCGCTCCCCCGGGCGTCCTCGATTGCCACGAATCGCATCTCGAACCTCCAGTTCGCGCGTTTGGTGTCGCAGTGGGCCTCGTCGTCCGTGGCGTTGATGAAGGGCGGCGCCCCGTCGTCAGTCTCGCGGAAGTACTGGAGTATTATGGGCAGAGTTGCTCTTGCTGCGCTAAGAGTCATTGGCAGAGGGGCGATCATGGTTGTGGCTGGAACAGTCTTCAGGCAAAGGAGGAGTACGAGACCGAAAGCCGGGGTCTTATGACGGGGTGGAGCGGATGCTGTAGACCGGTCGGAGCAGTACTTGTGTCCGAACAAGTACGTGGGTGAAACCCGTCAGTCAGCTGCATCATCAACGTGTACGTGAGGCATTGCAGCAGCTTCGGGCTTCACTGAGTTTTGCGGTCATCATCCGTCGGCTTCCGTGCGAGGGTTCGGGGACATATTGAAATATGAGTCGCAGCGTCCTTTTGATCGGGGCCGAGAGTGAGTCGAAGTGAATGAAACGACGAGGACTGTGGATCGGGGATTGAAGTGGGGCTAGCCAGCGTATATACGCAGCAGTCCGGGTTGGCCGGATGGCTTTTCCAGTGAGTCAGAGGGAAAAGCAGCGACGGTAGTGGGCGGGAGGACATGGCAAAGACGCAAGTACTCAGGATGTGATGACCAAGGACGATTGGGAAGTTTCGCAGACGATTACCAACCGGGCGCTTGACCTTCTGCCTCCTGCTTCCACTTCGCGTTTTGCTGTTGGAGGCGCTCTGCCTCGAATCATACCCCTCCGTTCGACCTTTCTTATAAGTACTCCGAGCGGGCGAAAGCGAAGGGATGATAAACTCCGTCCGGAGCTATGTAGATAGCCGCGCTTTACAAAGGAGCTCTTACCACCTGCCATCACCAAGGCCACATCCCCATGCTGCGCCGTTGGGCATGTACATTCTTGAGCCCCCAGACCATGTGAAGTATTGCTCACATGTGTTTGTGCGAGTCGCGAGGCGCGCGATGGTTGCGCTAGACGTTCGCATCCATGTGCGACTCGAGGTCAGGTACCGTTACGTATGTACGGTTCTATGTGGTACGGACAACATGCGCGTCGATACCACGCCCAGCTTTCCCATTTTCAAGTCTGGTGCCTGCAAGAGCCTCTCAGTGCTTACTTGGCAGAACGAGGTGAGCTTCTCGTACTGATGCACCTTCCAAGCGTCCCTTCCAACTTATCTTATCCCCCAAGAGCGCAGTACATTCGAATGTTCCTGCCCCGCGTAACGTGGTCGGCTCATACTTGTTCCACCCGGATCTGCCTCATCAGGACTAATCAGGACTAGCGGCTCCTCTCGTGCCTTCTAGCAGAACACCTATACGTACCGCCCAGCTGGCACGGCGCGATTGCGACACATAAAGACAATTGAGCACGATGAGGGCGTCCGGCCTTGCTTCTGGCCCCATATCCGCTCTTCAGCTCATCGGGCTACTGGCTGTGGTCCCGTAGGATGTCAACATCGGACGCGGAAGTTGCCGAATTTGAAGCCTTGTAAGCTCCTTCCCAACCTGATCCGTTTCGTGGCAGTCCCGGGCGGGTACTGATGCGTACGTTGACAGATACACCAATGCCTACTGTGCTGTTGCAGTATGCAGTAAGTAGGAGCGAGGGTCGAGTCAATCCACAACTTACACTATCCCCTTGCCAAGGCCTTATGTTTTACGACTACACCATCACCTTCAGCCAGGAAGTCGATCTTTTCTGGAGGCGTAGGATCAACGGCGCTTCAATCCTGTTCTTCGTGAACAGATATGTGGCGCTTGTTGTATATATTATCAACATTGCTTCTTTTGCTCCCATGACGGACAAAGTGGGTATGAATCCTGTCTGGATTCCATCGATGCTGACGCCGATGTTATCTAGAGGTGCCTGAGACTTTCGAGGCAGTGGGAGCAACGAGCTGACAACGCTACGTAGCTGCTCTTCATTGGCGAATGCAGGGTTTGGCCTTGGTGTTTCTCAATACATCCCATGGGCAGGTGAATTGTTGTAGTCCCCGCCTGTTTCGCGTTCTGACGCGTTTGCCAGTCTTCTCCGGTCTCCGCGCCCTCGCTCTTGCCAAACACTGGTCTCTTGGGGTTCTTGTTTTCCTTCTCTCCCTCGTCCCCGTAGGGTTGGACTTCGTGAGTCCAGCATTTCTTATGCGATACAAGCTGCGGCCCTCACCATAACCGGGTGACAGGCCTTCTTTCGGTTTCATATCACAGGGCAAGTCATTCCCGTCCTCGGATGCGTCGGAGATGTAGACATCCCGTCTTTTCTGACGAAACAGTACGCCGATCTTGGTTCAATGATGCTCTACATGCTCTAACTACTACACTCTAGATGTAGGCGCGTTGTACGACACGCTCACACGCAGCTTGCTGACGCTCTTCTGCCTGGTAGTCACGATTGCCATTCGCACATGTCTCATCGCCGCGGACATCATCATCCTCTACGTAACATGGCGCGCTCTCCGCTTCCGCGTCAACGATTTCACCAGTAACTCGTTCACGAAGGTTATTTTACGAGATGGTCAGTATCGCTTTTGATCTTCTCCGGGTGTGATGTCTGATTGACCCTGTAGGAGCCATCTACTTCATGTACGCACGCTCGACGGCCACCACGAACCGTCTTCGCTGACGCACTGGCCACTTCGGCAGTGTCCTGCTGATCCTCAACTGTCTTCATCTCGCCTTCACAATGATCTCCTTCAGCAGCCCGAACACGTCGGCGAGCAACGTGACGGTGTTCACCGAGCCGTACGTTCCTTCTCACGCTCGCTCCGCACCCACGCTAATGCCTCCGACCCCAGGATCACGGCGACGCTCGTCTCGCGGTTCCTGCTCCATCTCCAGCGCGCCGGCCGCACCGCGGTGCGCGCGGGCGGCGTCCCGCCCGGCAAATCGCACCTGTCGAGCAGCACGGTCATGTCCACGCTCATCTTCGACGACCGCGCGTTCGGCGCCGTGGGCTCGTTCATCTCTCCGGAGGACGAGTTCTTCGCCGGGCCTGGTCGTGGCGGACGAGATAGCGCGTCAGATAAGGGTGGGGTGGAGACGGAGGGCCCGGATGAAGCGGACCCGGAGGCGGAGGGGGGCGGCGAAAGGGAGGCGGCGCGGCGAAACCACGCTGCCGCATACCAGCTCTCCGTGGTCTGTGAGGTCGATGGGGAGATCTCGGAGGCGCCCCCCTCCACGGCGTAAGTGGGCTTCGAAGAGGTATCGATGCGACGCGAGCGACTCTTCCTTGAACCTGGGCCGAGGCGCTTGCTGGAGGGTACAGGTTGGATGAGCGAGAGAGGCAATCCAACGATCAGGTTTTCCATCCCCGCCCGTCCCCGCTGCAACGCTTCCACAGGAAGATTCTCCGCTTTATTTTCCGCTCGGAGGTCAGAGCACCGACCGCGAGTTGCCACATCCAGTTTAGCGTCTCTCCATATAAGGTTATCGCTTCCGGCGGCAGACAAGGTCGGGCTTTAAGGAGGCTTTACACATGTGAGGTGCTCCGATAAAGCACGAGGGAGGCGACCAAGCCTTCGGGCACGCGTCGCTCTGCGCCCCCACCTCTTCCCTGCACTAGCTCTGACACACAGGGGATGTCGTCGCAAGACCCGGAAATTGCGGAATTGATCGCCGAGATCGACAGCTTGTGAGTACGCGGGTTTAACCCCTCCCATGTCTCCCGTCCGACAAGGATTCCATATAGGATTATCAACGCTTACTGTACGATAGCTGCCTGTGGTGAGTTTCATCGCATCTTCGGTTCGGTACACGAAAGGCTGACACTGTCACGCAGCTTTCATCTTCTACGAGTACTTGATCACCTTCGGGCAAGAGGTGGAGCTGTTCTGGGGGCGCAAGATCAACGGAGCATCTGTCCTGTTCTTCGTGAACAGATATGTCGTCCTCACAGTCTACTTACTCAACACATCCGGCTTTGCGAAGATGTCTGATAACGTGCGACCCCTCTCCATTTGTTGAATTGGCCGCACTGACGCCATCCCTTCTTTGCAGAGGTATACAGCACGGCTCCTGTCGGTCTCACCCAGCGCATCTCATCGTCCCCCGCGACAGATGCTCGACTCTCGCGCGGTCGGCCGTTGCCTTGACCCTCCTGCAGTACGTCCCATGGGCAGGTGAGCGGTTCCAAGAATTCATCCCCGCTCTCTCCAACCCTGATCCACGCACGTCAGTGTTCTCCGGGCTTCGTGCGCTGGCACTGGCGAGACATTGGTCCCTCGGGGTTCTTGTATTTCTGCTCTCGATCATGCCTGCGGCAGTGGACTTTGTAGGTTGCTATCATCCTTGAACGGAGACGTCCTATTCACGCTTTTGTGTTCCCAGAGCTACTTCCGCTTCGGGGTCAGCGGAGAGAATGTTCCTATCGTAGGGTGCGAGGGGAACGTGGACATTCCGGTCTCTACGACGAAACAGTGAGCTGCTTTTGAAGCTTAGTCCCAACCAAGAGTCTTACGTATGCCTCGATTAGGTGTTAGTGTTGAGTGGGGACCTCACGCTCCAACTCAGGGCTTACCTTGGCGGCGAACTGACTAACAACGTTGTCTTTGGCAGTCACCATCTCCACCAGGACATGTCTAATCGCCGCAGACATCATCCTTATCTACATTACCTGGACCGCAGTGAGGTTCCGGGGAAACACTTCACGACGCAACACGTTCGCCAGCATCATTCTCCAAGATGGTGAGCTGGAGTGCCACACTCGCGCCTATAAACACTCATACAACGCTCTTCTACGTAGGCACAATATACTTTGCGTGCGTCCCCCTGCCCGTCACGTCGTCTTCCTGCACTCAGCGTGCCCCCCCAACGCACCGTCGATCAGCGTCCTGCTCCTCCTGAACTCCCTCCACCTCGTCTTCACCATGCTCTCCTTCAGCGTCACCAACAGCACCTCCAGCAACGTCGCCGTCTTCACCGAGCCGTCAGCCCCCCGTCCCTCCTCTTTCCACCCCACCCGCGCTGACCCTTCGCCGGCAGGGTGACCGCGATGCTCATCTCGCGCTTCCTCCTCCACCTGCAGCGCGCGAGCCGCGCGCAGGGCACGCCCTTCGGCGACGCCTCCACCGCGGACTCGTGGTCCTCGCGCGGGCACGGGCAGGCCATGAGCTCGGTCGTGTTCGGGGCCGTCGGCGCCGCGATATCGGGCAAGGACAGCAGCTTTTCGAGCTCGTCCGACTACTACGACGAGTCGTCGTCGTTTGGGGAGCGCGGAGCGGCGGAGGCGGGCCCGGGGGGCGTGGCGATACCGCTAAGCCCGCTGAGCCCGCTCGGTCCCGACGCGGAGATGGACACGGACACGGGGCCGGGAAGCCCGCGGTCGGCGAAGCTGCACTTCGCGCGGCCGATCGATGGGGTGAGGGAGGATTCGCTGGGATGAAGTGGAGTGGTGGTATACCTGGAGTGGTGCGCAACGCTACTGCGAAGTGCTTTCGAGCTTGTATCAATACGATTCCTCTTGGCGAAAATGGCATGTTTTGTTTCTTTGTCGGAGGCAAGAGAGAGATTAGAACGCATGAGAGTCGAGCGGCATATTCCGTCGGCAGTCCCCGTGCAACACGTGGCGCCCCATCGCGGGATCTTCTCACAGACTGTTGTCCCGAACCGTCATCTCCGCCTCCGACGTCCGGAGTTTGACCCGCGAGCGAGACTGGAGCGTGATGGTGAACATTCGCGTCGCGCGGGTGAGTACGTGGACTCGATCGTGGCGGTAATCTTGCCCAGCAGGTGTCTGTCGAGCGTCGTGTCGCCGCCCGGGCTACGCCTGCCGAGCCCTCATTCTTTGCTGACATTCTGGCCATTGTTTGCAGGTCGAAGACCTGCCTGGAATGCAGGCGTGCAACCTGCATAACCTCCCCGAGAATTACACCATGAAATATTGTGAGCGTTCTTGGCCAGGGGGCGACAGGCTGGATCCTGACCGAGACCTGGGCCCTGCCTGCGGCGGCTCCACTTTGACTTTGCAGACTTGTTCTACCTTCTGTCCTGCCCTCAGCTGTCGTACGTGGCCGAAGATGAGGGGAGGATTGTCGGATACATCCTCGCGCGAATGTGAGTGCTTGCCGTCATGTGATCGTGCTATTTTTGCTGTCTTCCCTTTCAGACGGTATTTGCTGACCACGGTGGTCGCGTCGATCTCTCTGGGCGTTCGTGCCCCTCGTCTCTCTTAGGGATGACGACGACAAGGACAAGGCGGACAAGGAGGCAATGGGGCACGTCGTCTCGCTCTCGGTCATGCGGACATATCGCCGACTGGGGCTGGCCAAGCGGCTCATGATCCAATCGCGTGCGTGGTTCTGTGTGCTCGTATTTGGGTTCGCGCTGACCTGGGCCCGTCGTCATCGGACACAGAGGAGGCGATGGCAGGCGTCCACGGCGCCGCCTCCGTCATGCTGCACGTGCGGAAGTCGAACCGGGCCGCGTTCAGCCTGTACAAGGACAACCTCGGCTTCACGGTGCACGACGTCGAAAAGGGCTACTGTGAGTGCGCTCGTTCTGTGCGGGCGGGCGTGTGGCAGCGCTGACTTTGGGCGGGGACAGACGGAGACGGAGAGGACGCGTACGTGATGCGATGCTCGCTGAAAGGATCGGATGCATCCGCGGCGGCGGTGGTCTAGGCTGTCGACATGAGGGGCTCAAGCGTAGTAACGAGGCCCGCACCTGTGGCAGGGAACTGCGGGGCGGTGAGAGGATAGAGAGATGCATGGCACGCCGAGGCAAATAGACGATGTAGAAGAGTGGAAGCATCGCGGGTTTGAGCCCGACTACCGCCTGTTCCGCCCAGTCTCGCACGCTTGGACGAGTGATCGAGCGCTGGAGCGTGCCTGATCCGGTCTGACGTCACTGGGAGACCTCGGCTGAAAATTGGAATCCAGGCCCACCCCTCCGCATAAGGCGGCCGAGGCGCCCGGTCCACGGGCGTTCGCTCGGCTTTAGGACATCGTCTTCGACCTCGGTCACTCGCAGTCTCCCACCACCACTCTCCTCGACCTCCTCTCCCCGCTGCCCATCCAGCGACGACCCTCGCCTCGGTCTCCGGCCCTGCCTCGCCCTGGCCCCGGCCATGTCTCAGAAGGCCATGCTCCCCCTCTTCCGCCCCGTCCGGTCCTTCGCCTCCTGGTCAGCCACGTCCACCAAGCGCGACGACCTCACCCCTGGCAGCATTCTCGAGAAGCCCTCTGCCATCAAGCTCTCTTCCTACGGAAACCGCCCCGCCGCGTCCACCAATAACTCCGCGATCCTGCCCACGCCCGTCTCGCACGACCCGACTTTATCAGGCCACCGCTCGCGCACCAAGAAGAACGCCCGGGTGTCGCACGGGCTCCGCGTCCACTGGGACCGCTTCGTCCGCAAGCTCGGTTCCGGCACCGCCCCCTCCTCCTCCTCGAACTGGGACGAGAGCGCGGGCGAGAGCGGGGACAGCTCCGGCTACCCGCGCTCGCGCATCGGCGGCGCGGCGGGCGGCGCGATCGAGATGCAGGACGAGCGCGTGGACGAGGTCGTCGTCGACCGCGAGTGGTCGGACGAGATCAAGAGCTCCTCGGTCACCCACTCCGAGCACGCCGGCACCCCAGACAAGTCGGGCAGCAACCATCTCGGGGGCACGAACACGGACCGCGACTCGTTCGCCGTCCGTCCCGAGGGCTTCTGGGGCTCCGCCGGCTTTCTCATCTTCCTCCGGTGGCGATTGTGGCCTTTCATCCACGCCTTCTTTCAGACCCGGTTCATGGACGAGAAGTCGGAGATGCACTACGCGAAGGAGAACTGGTTCTTGCGCAAGGTGCGTCTCGTTTCGATTTCTCTCGCCCTTCTTTCTGCATTCGGGCGGCGTGGCGTTAGGAGAAACCTGCTTGTATGCGCTGCATGCTGCTTTCTCCGCGTTTGTGGGCCTCGACGGCCGTCTTTCTTCGGCCATCGTGCCTGAGAGGTCAAGAGATGGCGGTGGAGCAGCGTGAGACAGACTTTGGCGGAGGTGACGCGCGCACGCGCTCACTCGTGTCTCGACGCCAAGCCCTGTCTCGCCGCCCGCGGTGGTCCTCGCGATCGTCGTCAGCGCACGTGGCGAGGCTGGTCGCATACGACTCGGCTGACGTCACGAGTGCCTGTTCCTTTCACCTCGCTTGCTCCTTTCATTTCACGCAGGCGAGACGTGTCCGCTGACGTGCTGCTTCATAGAACTTGGCGCTCTGGTCTTCGGCGTTCCTTGTCGTGAACTGGGCATTCGGCGTCGGCTTTGTCCCAAGGCCGATTCTCCTGGCCGATCAAATCTTCCTCTATGGCGTCGCACCCGTTTTTACCTTCCTCATCCCGCCCATGGTGATTTACGACTGGCCGAGGGATCGCAACACCATCTACCAGGTTGTCCTCTTCTTCGCCACCTGGATATGGGCCATCTATCAGATCATCTTCATGTAAGCACAAGCGTCCTACATGCCCTGAACCAGGGCTCATGTTATCGTAGCTACCTCTGTGGGAGTTATAACGTGGTGCACTCCCACTTCAACTGCAACAACAAGGATTTTTTGACGCTTTTCTAGTACGTATCCAATACTTTTCGTGGACTTCGCCACTCACCTTCTCGACTAGCTATACGTCTGCCCTGCAAACGATCGCTCTCTTCGGATTGAAGCTGCATAGGTTCCCGGCATTGCTTGGCGCGCTGCTTTTCTTGGCCTTGTGAGTTCCCCAGTGTAAACTTCTCTGGCTTTGAAGCTCATGCAACCCATAGATCGTTCGCGCTCGTCGTACCCGACAAGGCATCGTTCCTTCGCAGTGAGCATGCATGTTTGATGCGGCGGATGTGATTCTGATTGTTCGCAGGTCTGGTTAACGTCATATTCTTCCAAGGCTTCCTGCTGTATCTCCACTATATGCGCGAGAATGTGTGTCTTCAACCCTTTTGTTATGAATATTCCCGGCTCATTTTTCCTTCAGGCCGAGAGGCGATTGTACACTCTCCGGGATCAGCTCAAAGTCCAGTTCCGCGCGACGCAAAAGGCTCAGGTGAACGAGAGGAAAGCAGCCGACTCGAAGCGACGTCTAACGTCGTAAGTGATTTTGATTCTCAGGACCCTGAGATCACTGATACGATCCTTCCTGGCAGATACGTCTTCCATGATGAGTTTTTTTTTCTCTTTCAAGTTTTTAGTTCTCGATATTGACACTAGCGGGCGTTATGCACAGGTCCGAGTCCCTCTGAACACGGCTTGTGAGTGACGCACGAAACCACCACATCGATATGCGGCTCACTTCTCCATGCAGTGCTTGCAGTGCAGAACATGCAAGCATCCGGTGCATTAATCACGCAAGACATCGAGTTCAAGGCGCTGGAAGGCAGTCTTAGCATGATGTCCAAAGGTACGCGCCCCCTTTGCCTCAGTTCCAGTCGTTCACAAGGGTGCTGATCATTCCATTGTACGGGCGTTGTCATTCAGTGCTCAATGACGTTCTTGATTTGTGCGTACGAACCTATGGCGATGATGAATAGTTAAATACTGAATCCGGTGCTGCAGCAACCGCATGGACAGCGGCCGGTTCGAGTCTGTGCTCAAGCCGTACAAGTTCCACCAGGTGATGCGCTCGTTGTTCGTCCCGCTCCGCCTCGCGACCGACGCGCGCAGGCTCGAGTTCGTGACCGACCTCGACCCTGTTGTCGACAACGTGCGTGCCCCTCTCCCTTGTGCCCCCACGCGTACGTCTGCTAAGATCGGCCCGCAGGTCGCCCGGCGCGCGCTCTACGAGGCGATGGGCGAGACCGATGGCCAGATCAAGCATCGACTCGAGTCCGTGCCCTCTGAGGACGGCATCGTCGTCGGGGACGAGACGCGCCTCCGGCAGATCATCACCAACCTCGCGTCGAACGCGTGCAAGTTCACGCCCGCCGGCGGCAAGCTCACGATCCGCACCCGGCTCGTCCTCCCCGAGCGCTATGCGCGGTACGACGAGTCCGACTCCGACGGCGACGAGGAACGATCCGTCGGCGAGGACGACCTGAGCAGCGCGGAGAACGGGGAGGCGCGCGGGGACGAGCCGGCGCGGCTGTCGAAGATGCACCTGAAGGAGCATGACGTGCTGCACACGAAGAACCCGCCGCTGGAGTGGATCGTGGTGCGGATCGAGGTGTCGGATACCGGGTATGGGATCAGGCCGAAGGATATGGTGCAGAGCAAGCTCTTTTGTGCGTGGTTTGCTTTGTGTCTCGGGAGCCAGATGCTGATTGTGTGGCACGCCTGCAGCTGCGTTCAACCAGACGGAACAGGGCAGGTTACAAGGTGGCAAGGGCACGGGCCTCGGTCTGGCGCTCGTTCGTCAAATCGTGAAGCTCAGTGGAGGTCGGTTGGGCGTGCAGTCGAAGGTCAACGAGGGTTCCACGTTCTGGGTCGAGCTTCGTGAGTACTCCCCGCTTTCTAACGTGGTCTCGCCTGGCTCATCGGGACGTGTAGCTCTCGGCGTTGGAAGCAAATCCCTCCCTGCTCTTACTTCGGCTGGAGACCTTGACGATGACGACTGGGTTAGCTCTCGACATTCAGACACGAAGAACCCACTTCCCAAGGTCCCTCACGCTCACTTCCGAACATCTGGCCAGTTCAGCCCCTCGTACTCCTCGTCGGCCTTGCATAGCATCATGGAGCAAGGAGGACTGGTCGAGATCTCAACGAAGCCGACCGAAGCGGGTCCACCAACACGAACGATCGGCGATCCTTCAACCGGCACCGACCCTCACCACGACCCAGAAACCCCGGGTGTGCACACAGACCGATCGTCACCACCCCTGGAGGCCATGCCGCAACGACCATCACCGATGCTCGCTCGCTCGTCCCAGACCGTCACGGATCTCCAACTCACCCACCTCCCGAATCCTGGGACCTTCACCATCGACGGCGCGCTCGTCTCCCCCGCCCCCACCGCCGGCTCCTCAGGGTCAGGGGCCGGGCCGCCTCACGGCGCGAACGGCTCCTCCATCGCGGGCGGGAACGGCGCGGCGGTGCAGTACGAGACGAAGCTGAACGTGCTCGTCGTCGACGACGACCCGCTCACGCGGAAGCTGATGTCGCGCATGCTCACGCGGCTCGGCTGCCGGGTGACGACCGCGGAGAACGGCGAGGTCGCGCTCGAGCTCATCCTCACCGGCACGACGACGCACGCGACGCCGTCGAGCGAGGACACGGGCTCGGGCGGGCTCTCGCTCGACGGCGCGCTCGCGGACTCGGTGGCGAGCGTCGCCGGCCCGGGCGGGGCGCGCTTCGCGGTCGTGTTCCTCGACAACCAGATGCCGGTGATGTCGGGCCTGGAGGCCGTCACGAAGCTCAGGGAGCTGGGAAGGGGTGACTTCGTGGTGGGCGTGACGGGCAATGCGCTGTTGGCCGACCAGCAGGAGTATCTGGAGGCGGGGGTGGACCAGTGAGTGCTCTTTCTCCTTTTGCTGCTGTGGGCGATTGGCAGCTGACGGGTCCATCTCTCTCAGTGTGTTGACGAAACCAGTATTGGAGAAGAGTCTCAGGAGCATGCTCGCCATGGCGGACGACCGTCGAAGACGAGGGCCGTAGCCGCCGGGGTCTTTGATCTAAGCGCCCAACGATCTTCGCGTCTGTATGTTCATGCTTTCTTTCCTCTGGTTCCTCGTGGTGCTGTCTTTGCTTCATTACTATCTGCTGTTTGGTGTCCATCTGCCGTCGCTCTCGCCATTGTACCCGTATCGCTCTCATCCCAGTCCACCCTCACCTCATCACCCCTCCAAGATGTAGTACTACCGCCCGTTGCCCTCGCTTCCATCTCCATCCTCATCCCCCATCTCCTCCATTTGCGCATTAACACACGCCTCGTCCCATGCCTCTATCGTGCTTCCGTCCCATCCACCGCACCGCCTGACCACCGAAAAGCATCCTCGTCCTGCTCATATTTTTCCCGCCCACGTCGCTCGCATACGATCGCCACACACGCTCTGCTCGCATCTAACGACCGCTCTTCTGCCCCGCCTGCTCTGCCCCGCTTAGTCACATGATATAGACGTTGCACTCACCTACGCCCCTCCTCGACACCACGTTCCGATCATCCTGCCCTTGTGCTAGTATAATACCCTGTTCATTATTCTTTTAGCTATTCGTTTCGACGTGACATGGTCCTTCGTGTTTGAGGGATGCGTGTTTGATGCTTGGATTCCTGCCCTCGCGATGCCCACTACGTACCTCACGCCGGTTGCATTATGACATCCACGTTGATCCCATTCCCTCATCCTGCCGCGCTCTTCGCAGGGACGACAAGCGCAATGATCGCCGATCTCCGAACCATCCGCCTGCACCACGTGGGGACGTCAACGCGCAAATCCCGCAATTTCAACCTCGACGTCCTCCGACAAGCAGGCACCTTTACATAAGGAACAGCAAGGGTCATTCGCCCGACGGTTATGATTTCGTTCGATCGCCATCGCCCGGACGAGATCGCCCTGGGTGCGTCCGCACCTCCATTCCTGCCTGGGAGCTCATGCGCCTCTCAGGAGTCTTCTGTCGCGCGAGCGGTGGGCGCGAACGCGAACGGTCGCGCGAAGTGTGCGCGCGCGGGCGGCGGGCGCATCAGTGGCATCGCGACGCTCGAGACTCGAGCGGCGCCTCCGCCTCCGCGACTACTTGATCCCCGGACGAGGCGCGCGCGCGCGCGGTCCGGACGCCCTGCTGGAGCACTCTCGAGCACCGGGGAGGGAGTGCTGCCTGGTGCGGTGCAAGCAGGTGGGGTTTCGGCGTGGTGGCGGTTCGGCGGGCGTACCACTGGCTTGAGGTGAGCTCGTCTGAACGCTTCGTCCGCATTTGCTTGATCACAGTGGCTTTGGAATGGCTCTCGGCTTCGCCTGGGCATCTGTGCGCTGGTAGGTTCGTCTTCGAGCTAGTGGATCTATGACGCTCGCATTGAATAGATGCTCGTCGCGCCCAGCGCCCGTTCAAACTCGGAGGACACTCGTTCACCCCGCGCTCCATTCTACGCAGGCTCTAGGCTTGCGCTCACGGAGCTCAGTGCTTCTCGCTACAGCTCCTGAGCGATTTCGTGTTACAGCTAAGAGCCCTATTGGAGTATAAAGGCTCTCATTTTGTCGACCGTCTCCTCAATCAGTCAAATCCCCCAAGTTTCCCTAGTCCTCAAAGCCCAACTCTCATCTGCAATCATGACCGCTCTACCCTCTACCATGCGCGCCGCCGTGTATTCCAATGGTGACAACGAATTTGTCATCCAGGACGTCGCCGTTCCAACCCCTGGACCAAGCGAAGTCTTACTTCAAATTGCGGCCGCGGGCGTGTGCCACTCGGACACGTTCATCCTTTCCGACGACATCCCAGACTCCCGCACGTATGTCGCTGGGCACGAGAACGTCGGCTACGCCATCCTGTGAGCGCTCTGCCCCTTGCTCAGTTGTCCTGTCCGCTTCCTGATTTCGCCGTTCCACAGACTGGGCTCAGACGTAGTCGGCATCGACATTGGCAAATTGTACGCCATCTGGGCCATCGTGCCACATGGGCCCAACCCGCTGCCTGGCCTTCCGGAGTTCACTGATAGCATCGGGCTCGGGTTGAACGGCGGTTTTGCCGAGTACATCACCGTGGACGCGAGCAACCTTGTCCCTGTCGTTCGTGTCCATCTCCGAGTGCAGCTCTTGTTACGCTCATGTCCGTCCTCTTCGCAGCCCGATGGACTCGCCCCCGAGATCGCCGCCTGCGCGGCGGACTCGCTCATAACCGTCTACAACGCAATGCACAACCTCGCCCAGGTGAGCCTCAGCGGCCACCCCGTCATCTGTCGGCGTCTCCCGCTGAACAAACCGACCCCGACGCCCGACCTGATCGCCTTCGCCCCTCCACAGCTCCGCCCGGGCACCACCAAGCGCGTGCTCGTCTACGGCGTGGGCGGCCTCGGCCACCAGGCCGTGCAGCTCGCCGGCGCGTACGGCGCGACCGTCTTCGCCGCTCGCGTGCGACTACAAGCCCGCCGCGCGCGCGCTCGCGCTGCGGCTCGGCGCCACCCAGGCCTTCCACCCGTCCGAGCTCGAGGCCAGGTTCGCGGCACAGCCCGTGGGCGCCGCGGGCCGCTTCGGGGTCGACGTCGTGTTCGACTTCGTGTCGTGCGCGCAGTGTGAGTGCTCGAGTCCTCGTCGCGTGTCGCGTGGCGCGTGGCGCAGACGTCACTCCGTCCAGGGTCCAGGGTCCAGGGTGCCAGCCGCGGGTCCGGTTTGGGGCCCTGGACGCGCACGCGGTCCCGTCGGCGTGCTCGTCCACGCGGACGGTGGACTGTGGGCGTCACAGGGCGCGGCGGGCGGCGGGCGGCGGATATAGGGCTCCTTTCGTCCGTGCGGGCTGCCGTGCGCCTCGAGCCTGAGACTGAGGTAGCGCCTGGGCCACACGTAGCGCACTGCTGATGGTTCGTGCGGCCCCCCAGCATTCGCGCTCGCGCAAGAGGCGGTGAAGAACGTCGGAATCAGCAGCGTCGGGCCGCCCGGGGTGATTGTCATTGTGAGTGGAGCGCGAGGCCCTGGCGCGTCCGGGCGTGTTGCGGAGACGGTAGAGCTGACGCGGGGTTTCCCACTGCGAACAGGTCGGGGTGTCGGGCGAGACGTTCACGTTCAGCCCTGCGACACTTCTTCTCTTTCGGACGCATGGTGAGCGTATGCGCTCCGTGCGCGATGTCGTGATGATCTTTTGTTGATGTGATGATAAACGCAAAATTTTACTTAACACAGTGCTGACGTCGCTGTATGGCTCTAAGAGCGACCTCGCAGCGTCCCTGGAGCTGTTGAAGAAGGTGCGTTCCGCTCGTCAACGATCACATTTAATTTATGCTCACCTTTTCTCCGCTCTGACTCCAGGGTACCATTACCCCCGTGGTGACGACCGAGCAGCTAGAGAACACCGACAAGGTCATCGAGGAGCTCCGTGCATCCAAGGTGGTGGGGAGGAAGGTCATTGTGCCGATGCGCAACAATTAGTGTGTTTGTTCCAGAGTGTAGTGACTATGTACAAGAAGATCCTCGATTCGGTGATTAGTAACGTATAGTTCCGACCCGTCCACTACCCCCTCCCCTGCCCTCGCTGAGTGAAGTAATAGTACAGCAGATCTCGGGCAGAGCGAGCCGGCAGAGGCTTCCCTAATCGAACATGCGCGTCTGCCGAAGTCGAATGTTCACGCACCGCCGCATAGTCGGCGGAGGCACTGTTCAGCGGCGAGTTCTTTGGCCTCCCCAATGGAAAGTGCGCTCCCCTTGCCATATTCGTGGCCATTATCTACAACGTTTTTGTCAGCACGGGGAACCCTTCAGATTGAGTCACACTGACAGACGACAGAGACGGTCCAAGTCGGCCGTTGAGGTGGACCGGTTTGTACTGCATCTCGGTAGACGAGAAGGTGAGAGACACGGTGCTTCTGAACGAAGGCGTTGAGCTCCATTCTCCAGTCTGTTTGAAAAGACGTCAGTATCATTATCTTCCTCACAAGAAGTGTGGACGACGGGGTCTACTTACGCTGAATCGACATTGTGAGGCTAGTTGAAGAAAGGCGAAGAATAACTCGCTGGTGTCGGGGGTGAGGCGAGGAACGACTCGAGAGGTATTGAGAGAGCTGGTGAGGACTGAAGGAAGCAAAGTGAACATATATATATATGTCCTCGAGGCGCGGGGGACAGGTTCAACCCAAGTAACATACCAGTTACGGTGGACACACTTTTCCACGTGCCACTGAGTCAACAGGATCGGTTTCCCAATCCACATCTGACCACATCTTGATCTACTCGAAGACCCTGGGCGCCGAGCCAGAGCCTCGGATGGCGTTGCTCGCACGCCTCGCGGGCCAGAAGAGCAAACATTGATTCGGAAGGTAAGGAAGGGAGTCTCGCGAGCGTGGTGTAGCGCGCCCCTATCGGCACGAGGCGCCAGCCCAAGATGGATCCGGGTGCCTCGACTGAGCTACAGCCTCCGTCAGCCTCGCAGCGACTTTCGTCGCCCCGGATGGATCCCGGGAGATTGCATTGGGAAACCGCGTGAACAGACTGGCGATCGCTGGTCGCTTGCTGAGGTCCAGGCCGGCGTGGATGCTTGTTAGGCGGACGTCTGTTGTGGACGGGCGTGGGACAAGGGCTGCTGTGCGCAGAACAAGCATGCGAGGTGGGAACGTGGACGGAGCAGTGAGGTGGTCTCGACGAGCGTGATGCCTTGCTGATGGCGGGAAAGAGCAGGCTCGAAAAGTGGCGGTGCTCGGATCGAGGACAGGTGGACACCGGCGCCTGTCTCTGTTTGTCGGCCAATGTACACCGCACACCCGCCTTGTGACTGTCTTCGAACCATGTTGCTCCGACTCGCTCACAATGACGCCTCATATGCAGCTTTCTCAAGCTGGCATGTTCTGCGGGATGAGGGTCACAAGTCCGGCTGCATCAAGACTGCCACTGCGGCAAGAATATTTGATTGACATACAATGGTTCCAGGAATTTCCAAGCGACTCAAGAAAAGAATTTGCGCATATCTGACGCCAGAAAACCGGATGGAAACCACTCCGAAGTCATAGCCGCGGAGCCAGGACAGATGCCGTGACCGCCATGTGCCTTCCGAGCTCTGGCGCGTAGCACACTGCGAAACGGCATCGACTACTGCATGTCTGAAGTACATCAGTGACGCCTTCATACACCAGATATCAACTGAGACGCTCTCATGCCGTACAGTGAGGTGGCGCGTGGAACTGTTCGTTACGGCAGAGGCACTATATGACATGTGTCGACCTTCAGGGCTTGCCTTCACTAGCCATTCCACCGACCGGAGGATTGACCGTTGGCATATGGCGGTGATACCAGCGATTGCGTGTAATAGCCCGGCTGACAAAAACCCGGTGTATCGGTGACAGTTGGAGCAATTTTAGCAACGTACATATGTCATAGCGTCGTCGCCAAATACCCTGACCGGTGTAGCATTTGCGCACTCGATGGCGCTGACCTTCCTCCTTGGAACCGTACTATCCTCGAGGTAGTTGACGGCCAAATCCTCACTGCTCAAAATCACACGTCTTCTATTATCCGGTGTTCAGAGCTGGGAAGAACGGTTAGCGAATGCTGCGTATCACAGAAGCGCGGGCGCCGACAAACCACATTTCGGCAGATGCGGGAGCGCCTCTGTGGGCCGCCGAACCGCCGCAATTAACGCTGACACAATACCTTTCGCCAGCGGTCCATGCCTTGGTGGGACAGGAATCTGTTGTATTGGGTACGCCGTGCGAGACTGGAAGGGACCTACAACGAGGCAGAGAGTACAGCCTTGACTTTCTTTGATTCTCCTGTCACGAAATCAGCACCGGAACGGAGTACCGCCGGATTTCCGCGTCTCCCCGAGAGAACATCATGCTTTTGGCTTCGCTGGAGATGGCATGCTGAATGGGATACGTACACCTCGCCGCGGCCTTCCTCAGTCCCAGGACGTCGTGCTAAAGCGCTTTCCCTGTCGAAAAACAGCGACAGCGGCCTGTTACGAGATGTGAGCGTGTTGCGACAGTTCAGCCGCGCTCACCATTCTTGTTCGCTTGAGCCCTTGTGGACGAACAATGGACCTTGGCTTTCGGACCTGATCGGCCGCCACAAACTGAAGCCCATCTGTCTCAATGTCAACTTCAAGGTTCAAGTTGGGAACAAGAGCCAATATTGAATATCGAAACACCGACCATGCTTCGTACACCTCTTGGGACTCGCCTCTTCTCCGGCCAAGGTCGCGGACCGTCCACATCCTGTCATGCATTGATAAGTGCGTTCGGCAAGTGCCTGCTCACGCGCTCCAACCACAGGGGTTCTGATCCCAACACCGTGATATACACCATACAGAGCCCCGAGCTCATGGGCGGCCTGCCCCTCCCCGCAAAACGCAGCCCACGCAGCGCGTCTTCTTTGAACCTAGAACATGCTGGACGACTCTTCCCTCCCGGCGCCCGGCGCGGAGCTGTCGCCTCAGCGACCACCTGAACCACATCGCGTCCGTGCGCCGCGTGCGACCCCACCTCCGACCCCCGATTCGCACGGCGGCGATTAAGTAGTGCCCCGATCGCGCAGACGTCATGCGGTCGTGGCTGCACCGAGACACAGCGGTGCGGCGCCCTGCCACCCTACGCAACTTGGCAAGTCGGCACGTCTTGTGTTGGGGGCGGGTGGGCGACCTGCCGCGTCCAGTGCACAGTACGTACTCGCGCCGTCCGAGGCACAGCGGCCGCCGGTGCGGTGCGGCTCCTCCCACTTTGGTGTGTCGCGCGTCCGTCCGAAAGAGCAATGTACGGGCGGGGCTGTGGAGGGCGCAGAGGGCCGTTGAGCGAATAGGTGTCGGTTGGCCCGGCATGCGGGCGCAGGCGGTGCTCCCCGAGGCTGTATGTATTGCTTGATTAATTCCCCGGGGAGGCCCTGGACTCCTCGTCCGATAACGGTCCCGAGCACGAGAAGGGGGACCAGTTCAGGGGCTCGGGGCTCGGTAGGAAAGCACGAGAGGGATGGCGGTGATGCTGATGGTGATCTGCAGAACCGCCGGGCATTGTGCGCGGAGCTGTGTGGGCGCCAACAGGAGTGCGGGGCGAGTCGCCTCTCGCAGCGCCGCCACGGCGGCCCGCGGCAACTGACTCGGGAGACTCTGGGATGGGGAAGAGGGTGATGTCCATTTCCAGCTTCGGCAAAGTCGGGCTCTGCTCCAGTGCAGTGCCCACGGTTCCACTGGGTATCTCGATGGCGGGGCTTGTAGGACTGGCTCGAGGGCTGCCTCCAAGGGAACCTCCAGGCCGCAGCCAGGTCGGATCAGCGACAAAACCGTCGTAGACCTCGGCGGTGTTTGGTACGATAGGAGTATCCGGAAGCAGGAGGTTGAGGTTCTCAGCGACGTTGCCCGCGCGAACGTCGATGGCTCTGCGACGCTGGGCTGTACGCGGGCGCCAGTGGAGAACGCGCGTGCGGCGCGCGTCGCGCGCGCACGCAAGCCGGCGGCGGAGGACGCTCTCCATGCTCGCGTTGTCGGGGACGTCGACGCGCGAAAGGATGCTCTCGAGCTTAGGCGTGAAGAGGTCCGGGTCGAGCTGCATGAGCTCTTCAAGAGAGAGCAGGATCGCCGCGCTCTGGCCTGGGAGCGGGTCTACGTCGACCGCCGGCTGGAGAGGGGATCGGGGTAGGATAGCGTCGCAGGAGTGCAGAGCTTGTGCGGCCGTTGAGGGTGCCGAAAAATGGGCCTCGAGGTCCTGTAAGATCAATTGCAGCGATGGGCGGACCGCGTTGAATGCTATACTGGGAAAGTTGGGGGCGGTGGAGAAGGCTAGCGCCATTTCGCACGCGAGCTGAAACGTGGCAATGTCGTTGGCCACCTTGGAAGCATGAGCGAAGGTCGCTATATTCTGGATGACTTAGAACGGAGAAAGGGACCCTATGAGACTGAGATCATCATTGCATGAACAAGAAACGTACCTGAAGGGGAAACATCGGCAGTAGAGCGAAACCACACGCTACGCATGAGTCCAAATGAGGCGCGCTGGACGAGACTTTCCTTCGCAAGGTAGCTTGACAAGGCGTCGAACAGGCGTTGATAGAGACAGAGAGTATCGGGATGCCCTTTCTCGAAGGGAATTGCGCGGCAAAGGTTGTTGGCAACTGTGAGCATGGACACCGTGGTAGAGTCATATTGATCACGAGCGGTGAGCGAGTCTATAACGATGTGAAGAAGCAGGTTGACCCCTCCATCGGCGTCATCTGTGTGCCTCCAGTGCGGGTCGCCATCTTGCACGTGGTCTGATCGATGGGTCGCGATACGAAAGAGGCTGTTTCCCAGAGTAGAATGGCCGGTGCTAGCAAGGCATGGTCGTAAAACGTGTTCAAGGAAATCGTCGTCCATAAAAGTCTCGTCGGCGTCCACCAAGATGCGGGCGTCCAAAGCCGCCTCATCTTCACGAGCCATCGCCTTCTCGCGATCTCGCCAGTTGGTGCAATGTTTCTCCTCCATGAAGGAGCGAAGCCAGCCTGCAAGGGTGCGACGACGGCGATTCTTGAAGAGAGAAACGTTGACATACAAAGGCCATTGGCGATGACTGTAGCCCATGAAAGAGTACAGCTTGGTGGCGACCCAGGAGCTAAGCCAGCGTAGAGATTGGACAATGAGAAAGACTCCTAGGGACTGCGGTGACTTATATGGACAGGATATCGAGAAGGTGGGTAGGATGGTGGTGACAACGAGGAATGCCAGTGATATGGCGACGAGGGTTGTGATGACGCTGGCAACTCTATTGTCCAAGCTCCAGAGGAGATCGAGTAGCCCGATTAAAAAAAGAGCAAGTGCAACTTGGAGTAATACTGGAAGGAGAGCGATCGTGAGTGGAATGCGCCAGCGTACGAAGCCTTCGTGGCGTATTTGTCGGATACGGGCGTTCTCTCGAGTTGAACTGGCGGAGTTGCTGATATATTCGCGGAGCCATTGTTTTGTGAGGATGCCGACTGAGGCGGATATCAAGCTGAGTACGAGGCTTGAGAACCACAATATGTTGATTCTAATGGACCGAGCCTCGGGCTGGAAGACGTCTGATGGTTTGGGCTGTGCTCCGGAAGCAAGTTGCATGGAAATTTGACGCAGCAGATCGGCGGACGCTTCTTCTGAGTCCTCTTGCAAGAGCTTGTATGCTTCCACGTTGAACGTAGTCACGACAGCCGAGAATAAACCAGCCTATGAGAGGCTTTAGACGGCTCAAACGGAATGCAGTGTAATACCACACTCACGAATACTAAAAGACTATCGACGTCTTCTTTCCAGCCCCTCACCATCTGTTCGTCATATTCTCGTAGGACCTTCAAGCATTCAACCCAAGCCTCGGCCGGTTGAGAATTCACTCCAGGAATAGCCGCCAGCGCGTCCCGGGGCGGGGGCGCTTCGTCTCTGGTCTTGGGATGCGCCTGAATGCACATCTGAGAGGCAAGCCACTGGAGATGGACAAAGGTAGGACTCACAGAACGCTGGAAATGACCGTCCTTGCTCTCAGCAAAGGTATTGACTGGTACAGAGGAATAATTGGAGAGTGGAAGTATGTGTACGTGGTGACTGAGGTTGCTACCGCTGAACCGTGAGGAGCGAGGGCTGCGGGTTGCCACGGAATCGTCTTCCGTGGCTCTTGCCTCTGCTATGTAGGAGTCTGTGAGAGTCTGCTGAATGCCGGCAGGGGTGAGGGACACAGGTGATGCTCTTCGACTGGCAGGCCTGGACGCCAGATGAAAAGACTGGGACCAGAAATGGCGCCGTCAGCTACCTGTTCACATCCGGTACAGAAGAGACGTATGTACCTCGAAATCGGCAGAGTGCGACATTCGTTTGAAAGCGAGCCGACAAGTAGAGGAGGAAGAGCTGAAGGGATGCGCCCCATAGGTTCAGGAAAAGTACACCGCCTCGAAGATTGTGCGGTGATACTTGTATCCATAGATGGACGAGAAATCAATGTCATGACGTAAGACGACATCTGAGCGGCCTCGTAGACGCATGTGCATTGACTGGCTGAGGAGGCTTGGATTGCATGTGCGCAACGGAACAAGCAGGCGGGCTAGAAGCCGGAACACCTGAGAGAGGGATGGGATGTAGTAGATTGCCAGAGATCCGTTGGAACGGCTGTTAGAGTAAGGATGGAGCCTCTTCCCACGCCTCGGTCACGTGCCAGGCGCGTCGATGCGTTCAACCGTCTCTTGACAGACTCGTGGATTAATTCTCGTTCTCCTGTCCCCCTACCTCTTCCTTTTCGCCCTTTTCCTCTGTGACACCACGCGGCGTAGAAAACGGGGACTACGCACAGCCCCTGGCCATACGCCATGCCTGCAGCGACGCCGAAGAAACTCGTTCATTGGGCTTTCGACGCGTCCTTCCCTGAGCTGGGATCCCCTTTCTCGGAAGCCCCGTCGACCGACTCGTACTGTTCGACCTCAAGTCTTCAGTATGTCAACTCTCAGCTTCTATCCCATGGGTTCTTGCACGACGCGGGTCTGTCTTTGGATGGTCTGGGGAAGGACGATACAGATCGGGTGGTGAAGTGTATCCTTGGGATGTTGAGTCAACGCGTCGTGAGTGGCCCTCTCCCTCTCTTCCGCTGTCTGTCTCAACAGCCTTCAGGATGATATGTCGCGGACAGAAGACCTCACGACCAAGCTTCGCACCCTCTCTTATGATCATGAACGTCTTACCTCTATGTACAAGTCGGAGAACGAGAAGGCAGGGAACGCAGAACGAGAGATGAACCTGCACAAGACTCGCATGACGTACGTCTCTCTCATCCGCCTTCTCCAACTGTTTTGGTTCCCTCCCCATCGATCCGACCTCAACTTATGCGCACCTATGATCCAGTGCTGCCACCAAGTCCCTTCAGTCTTCCGAGAACGCCCATAAGCACACTACCGCCGAGTTACAGCGCACCCGCACCAGTCTTCAATCTCTACGTGGAACCCATCAGACTGAGATAAAGAAGCTCGAGAAGGAGAAAGAGCGTATGATCGAGCGATGGGGCAAGCTATCGGACAGCCAACTCAAGGCTAGCAGCCTGCGCTCAGGACTCAGCTGTGCTAATCTCGAGGCCGCCGAGGCTTCCGACGTGCAAATGCATGGCCAGGGTACGGGTTTCCTGGACGTCGCTCTCGAGCAAGCAGAGGCAGCAAGGAAGGAGCTGCTGGAACAGAACAGGAGGCTCAGGGATTTGCTGCTGTCGGCCGCGAATGGGCTTCAGAACGTTTTACACGAAGTTTGTTCGGCCAGGCAAGTTGGTGCGGTTGAAGAGGTGCGTAGCTACTCACTGTATGCGCCGTTTCATGCTGAGTACTCGGAAAGCCATCTCTTATCCTGTCAAGCTCGCTCTTTCCCGAATCTCCGGTAGAGTCTGCCAGTGAAACTTTCAGCTCCCTGTTCAAGTCTTTGCGCGGCAGCCTTTCGCAAAAGACTGAACCGCCGCTATGCAACTGCCCCCGGAAACAGAAGACATCTGTTCAAAATCCTTCTCGAGCATCTGAGAGCGCGGAACTTGAGCGATTACAGGGTGTCATCGACAAATTGCGTGAAGAGCTTGGTACGTTCCATCTGCGTCCTTCGGATTCCATCCTCACTCGTCGAAACAGACAATTCCCAGAAGCAGGCAGCCGCATCTGCTGCTCAAACCCAAGAACTATTCGACCGGTTCGCGGAAGAACAGCGACTGGCGGCGAGCAACGTAGCCGAGATGAGCGTAGACCTCATGACATCCACGGTGTGCGATGAGGAGAAGGCTCGACTGGAGGAGCGTTTCAAGCAGCTCGAGGAGGAGCGTCGGAAGTTCACCGAGGCTGCGATACGATTAGGCAAGGAGAAGGCAGCAATAGAGGTGCGCATTCTTTGCTCCTTTCCACATCAGCGTGTCTAAGCGTTGCGATTAGGCGGAACGATTGAAGCTGCTTGAAGAGAAGCGAGCATGGGAGGTGGAGATGATGCTGGCAGAACTTCCGCCAACTCCAATACCTACTGCGGGCTCCTCGTCGCAGCTGGCCGAGGTTCCTCCGTCAGTCACTTTGCGAACCCGCAGTCCACGGAAGTCACCTCGAAAGCTGAAGAGCATTGCTGCGGGCGCACGTAAGTCGCGGGCATCACGACGGTCTTCGGGACTTGGAGCATTTGCCCCTACACCCAAAGCCAAGGTCAAAGCCAAGGTGTCGTCTTCCTACGAAACAGAAGTCCTCCCATCCGCTGTCCCCGTATCTTCTGCCCCACCATCGCCCCGGCGCCCTCCTCCAGAGTTCAAGACCAGTATGACGATACCTGCCGCCCCTTCTCCAGCACATCTTACCAGCGCATTCGTGCTCCCTCCCCCTTCTCCCGCTGCCGCGCTTCCCTCGATTTTCGCAGAGCCTTCTGTGTTCCCTCCATTACCCCCAATTCCGAAGCTCCAGATTCCCCCATTCACCAGCGTCGACGGCAGCATGGAAGCCGACTCGGACCCATCGCCTTCCGCCGGCGCCGCATCATCATCGTCATGGTCATCATCATCCAGCAGTACCGCACCCTCCACGTCCTCTTCTGTCGCAAGTTCCTCAGCCCCTCCCGTACCCCACACCCCCGTCGCGCGACCTTTCCCTATGGCGAAGCCATTTGCACAACGCATGACCCACGCCTACTCCCCGGTCAAGCCCAGTCCGCTCTCCCGCATCCTCATGCTCGGCGCGTCCCCCGACAGCCCTGAAGGCGACCGCCTCGGCGCGCTCGCGGAGACGAGCGAGTCCTCGTTCGAGATGGACGTCGCGCTACCGCCGCCCGTGCGCAGCCTCGCCGAGGAACTCGGGGTGTCCGAGAGCAGCGACGACTACCCACTGCGCGAGACCCAGCCCGCGCCTCCCGCGACGAAGAAGGTGGCGCCAGCCCCCCCAGCGCCAGCGAACAAGGGCAAAGGCAAGGCGGCGCCTGCGCCCGCGCCTCCAGCGAAGCCTAACCCGCGCACGCGCGCGGGCGCGGCGCTCGAGAAGGAGAACGTGAAGCGCGTCAAGCTGTCTGCACCCGCGCCCGCTGTGGCCGCGGGCTCCGGGTCCACAGGAAGCACGAAGAGCTCAGGGTCCGCGGCGTCCTCCCGCGAGAAGCGTGGGACGGCGGCTCCGAAGCCACCCGCTGGTGGTGCTGGTGCGCGGACGCGCGCTGCGGCTCAGGGGAGGACGGCGGCTCCGAAGGGCGGGGCGCGGAGGGTGCCCGCGGGGAGCGCGCAGGCGGCGAATGTGCCGTCGTGGAAGGGCTGAGGCCTAGGCTGCTGAGCGCGAGCGTTTGTATGTTTTCCACGCATGTATTGATTCGCTTTCCTATCGCATCGGATTCGTGTTTTGCATCCGTGTGGGTTCTTTGGACATTTGGCACCGACCGAAGACATGTTATGTGCAGGGAGGGGATGAAGTCGTGTGTGGTGCGTGCACAACTTGAGTGGCCCAGGTCTCTTCTGGTATGGCATCGTAGCAAACCAGTCGATTGTACAGCTTCTCGTGGCTATGCTGACCTTGGCTGTATTCTGCGTTGCGAGCATTGCAGGCAATGCTAGATGCATTGTTCTATCATCTTGCGGTTCACCAGATGACACGAAACCAGGCCCCATGGCATTACTAGAAGCACATACTCTCACCCACCCCAATCCATGCTATGGGGGCCTTGGGGAAGACTGTTGACCCGGCCGATCTCCAGGTAAGGCTCTTCATACTTATGCCGTCCTACTGTCCTCCGACTTATGTAAAACTTTGCAGGATGTGAGACTGCCCATCGAAATCTGGTGAGTATAAAGGGCTCATTGTCCAAGACCTATCGATACTCCTCGACGAACACCTTGAGGCTTGCCGCTTGAGGCAAGTTCAACGGGCAGCGCACCACGTGGGATAAGTCCGGAAGATGCCGCTGGCAAGGTTCGATTCCCACAAGTGCATGCTCTTTTGCCGTCGTTCAACAAAATTGCCAGCCGATATCCCCTTCGGCTCCAGCACACCCACTAATCCCACATTGTTGCGCCAAGGATGTCCATGTTTTCACAAAGGAGACCCAGAGCACTCCACAGTGGAGAATTCCCGCCATTTGGCAAGAAGACTCTGATCTTGGTCCTCTGAGTTCACTGATGACTTTTTTCATGATCTCTAGTTCCATCGAGGACTTCTTTGCTCAACTTTATCACTAGGGGACTCAGACACGTAGCATAGCGGGCTTCGCATGCTTTCAACACGGCCTTCCTGATGGGGAAGCGATAGAGCGTTGAAGGACTTCGGTACGTTTGATTTGAAAACTTCTCCCCCGCGCCGCAATCAAACACTGACTCATTATCTCATTGCGTTGCCTTCAATGATGCCGTATACCAACTCGCTATGAATCATCCAAGGCACATCCCCGCTGCGCCGGTGGCATTGCCATCTCTCTGGATGATAGTGCATCCTGGGCCGGCAACTTACGGTCCACGCATTCAAGGGCGATGGCGTGAAGCGCCTCGTCCAGGAGGCGCCTCGCTGCTAAAGAGGCTTTACTTCTCCGCCCCCCGCCCCCCAATCTACGCCCCAGCTGACCGATCGCCGGCGCGTTGCTGGGCATGGACAGTAAACCCTCCGGGGGAGCTGCTGAGAAGGCGGCTACAAAAAGCGACACTCTTCTTTCCCTCGACACCTCGACCCGCGCGCACGCCTTGCCATCGCTTCCCCTCTCCCACAATGTCTTCGGCAGACGACGCAGAAGCCATCCAGGAATTCAGCGAATTGTGCGCCCTGGCCATCCTCTCGGTTCATGGATGGAACCCGTGTGCTCATGTATGCCTCTGCGCAGCCTCATCCAGGGATACTGTGCCACCGTCGTGACAGGTAAGATTCTTCTTCGTCCTCCTCGACACGCGCTGATAGTTTCACAGTTCTGGTTATGTACGAGTACCTCGTCACCTTGTCAGACGAGGTGGAGTACTTCTGGAAACGCAAGTTCTCGGGAGCATCCATTCTGTTTTTCGCCAATCGATACATCACCTTGGCATATCTACTATTCTCTCTGGCGTCGAGCTGGGTGCCATTATCGGATGCAGTACGTGTACCCGTCGTAAGGCTGAGTATCTGCTAACTCACCTTCAAGGGGTATGTCATATCGTGCAGTCCATGATGCTCCGATTGACTTCAATGCAGGTGTGCCGCTGCTGCTCAAGCCGACGAGGCGTTGGACGTTGCTCAGTATCTACCGTGGGCAGGTGCGCACATGATCGACACTGCGTTCCGGCCGTCAATAACGCACGTCATAATTTCCAGCCTTTTCCGGAATGCGAGCGTTTGCACTTAACCGCAATCGCCCAGTTTCGATACTCATATTTCTGCTATCTATGGTCCCCTTCGGAATCAACATGGTGCGTTCTTGAGTCTTTCTGCCACAGGCATTTGTTGTATCTAATACCGAATCGTAGGTCGAAGTTGTCGAGACTAGTGGGGTCATTTTGCCAGACTTGGGATGCGTAGGAACGAGTTCCGTGAGCGACGCACTTGGACTCAAGTATGTACTCTCACTTTCACACAGCATGCGCTACTCACTCTCCGTTCACAGTTGTATGTGGTTCAGCCCCATAAATAATAAATGCTGACGGCTTTGAACAGTGACCATTGCCTCTCGATCATGTCTCATGGCCGCAGACGTCCTCCTTGTCCTCGTCACCTGGCATGAGCTCTGGGGAAACCAAAAACTCACACGGCTATTCCAACGGGACACATTCGCGAATGTGTTACTCAGAGACGGTATGTTGGAATTCCGAAGTCGAGGCTGCGGGACGTATCTGACTTTTCACTGTTGTATAGGTACCATTTACTTCATGTACGCGTCCGACTCTTGGTCGTCATGTCCGCCTTGATAGTTGCGACTGACGTCTCCGCGAACAGCGTCCTGCTGATCATGAACGCGCTCCATCTCGCCTTTACGCTCATGGCTGTGAGTTTCCATCCTTCCCTCACATCCCAAGACTTGACAGCCGTGCTACCACACAGATCGATCAACCTGGCACCACCGTGTCATACGTGACCATCTTCACCGACCCGTGCGCTCCCCTACACACTTTCCCCGCTCTCACAACCATTGATCCCGTCGCTCGCGCACAGGCTCACGTCGATCCTCGTCTCGCGTTTCCTCCTCCGCCTGCAATCCATCAACCGGCGCTCCGTTCAAACGACCTCCCTGTTTTCCGACACCCCAGTCAACACGATCATGTTCAACCGCGTCGTCGGCTCTCTAGGCTCCTCCGTCACGCGCACCGGCGGCGCGGAGGACCACACGCACTACGACCCCACGTGGGCAGAAGACAGGCCCTCGGACGACGGCGTCCAGTCGAAAAGACAGCTGGACGCGGTCTTTGGACGACACTCGACTTCCCCGGCGGAGGCGATCGAGCTGCGACCGGTGCAGTCGCCGTGAGGTCTGGGCTTTCTGTACTTATGTGTATCTTATCTTATCTGTATGATTGTCTACTCGGCACTTCGGAACCTTGAAGCTTGCACAGCGTAACTCTGATTGTGGGTCAGCTCGGCTCGTTGTCCCGGCACCATCCGTGGATCTCAACGTCTCTGCATTGCGCGGCTCGAACACGGGTCATCCCAACGGTGGAGTACTTCTCGACGGTGGCTCTGCTCCCGTAGCGCCAGCCCAAGGTGAATATGCATGTATTGATTCATTTACATGTACGCCATGTGTTGTGCTGTGCATGGAGTATCGAGGGCGGGGTGATGGTCCTGGTTCGGAAACAAAAGCTTCGGGGCTGTACGAGTACGATTGATATTTAACGTACCCTGGCCAGGTTCGTGACGTGCGCTGTTCGAAGCCAGAGCCTAGGAACACGGCGTCTCGTGGTAGGTGTTAGAGTCATGCGCGCCGCCTCAAGGGCGTGTCACCTGCAGTGAAACAGATGTGGAAAGATACCTACTCTTCCATATCGCGCGTAATGTCTGTAGGACCTGGCCTTCGAACAGGTTCGGTTGCAGTCGCCGTGGGCCCGGCCCGGTATCTGGGGTGGTGAGAGGTGTGCTCTTGAAAGTCGCGCAGCCCTCGTGCTGGAACGAGAGGCCGCTTCATCGTCCTGTGGAGCGCTGCTTTTCGCGTGAGCGTTCGCTGTCTGTCGCCGACTGGCTCCAAACCGCGCCTCACCTACAATGCATCCTGTAGAGTGTTCAGGACAAGAGGTGATACCACGGTAGACACGACGCACCGGTCAAACTGCTGAACCGCACGCGCTGGTGAGATCGCACTGGCGCGCTCCCAGCGCTCTTCACGGAGACCTACTCACGCCGGGAAACCAGAAACCAGAACGCTTGACATACTCGCAGGCGCGAGCACGGAAAGGAGTGGAATGCGTGGTCTAGTCCATTGCAGGTGCGGAAACAGATGTGGTGGTACATTTTGGGTTGATGTGTGCCGTCGTGCTATGCAAGATTGTAGAAATGCCGTCTAGAGTTCAATACATACCATTCACGCCCGCGCCCTCCGTCCAGTCTCCAAAGAGAAGAGAGATGCTCTCGCCGTTGTGCGTCCGCCGGATGCTCTCTGCGATCGTCGGGCTCACGTCGATCGTGACGAGCTTCGAGCAAGCCGCCTCGTGCGACTTTTGTGGCACTGAGTTGGTCACCTGAGAAACGAAGAGAGTAAGACTGAGTCAAAACACGGCAATACCAGGCTCTACACGCGCCGGGGCTGACGGCAGTGTAGAACGCAGACCCAGGACGCACCGCAAGCTGCTCAATCGGGAGCGCTTCGATCATCTTCATGTTGGTCTCCGACAAGAGACCTAGCCACTCTCTTTAACCGGCGATTTCGCGAGGAGGAACAGAAGGACGCACCATGAGAGATGATGGCGTACACCTTTCTCGCACCATTATCCACGAGCGAGCGAGCGGCGAGCGCGAGGGTGTTGCCGGTGTCAATCATGTCGTCGACGAGTATTGCGACCTTCCCCCGAACATCTCCGACGAGGACCTCCATCCGCTCCGGCGCGCCAGGTTTCCGCTTGCGCTCGCGGTGGATGAGCGCGAACTCGACCCCGAGCTTGTCTGCAACGGCAGTCACCCTGCCGGTTGTGTCAGCGTTACGACACGCTGATCTGGAGAACACAAGCCAGGCCAGAAAATCTCCTCCCCGCGCTTCTGTTCGCACGACGGCCTTACAGAGCGCTCGCGCAGCGCGCGACGCCCCCGACGCCCCCGACTGCCATCTGCGCCTCCGCGCACTACCTCCCCCGCCAAGGGTGATCTTGCACTCCTCCCCCGCCCACACATTGAGTCAGGATGACGCCACTCACCTCTTCGCCCCACCGGCGTCGGGGCTGACAATGATGCTATCCTTCCAGCCCTCAATGTTGCGCTTGATGTATGAGATCATGAGCGGCTCCGAGTACAGGTTGTCGACCGGGAAGTCGAAAAAGCCCTGGATCTGGCTTGCATGCAGGTCCATGGTGATCACATGGTCACAGCCGGCGACGGCGAGCATGTTCGCGACGAGCTTCGCGGTGATGGGCGCGCGGCTCTTGTCCTTCTTGTCCATGCGGGCGTAGGGGAAGCAGGGGATGACCGCCGTGATCCTCCGCGCGGACGCGCCCTTGCAGGCGGAGATGAGGATGAGGAGCTCCATGAGATTGTCGTTGACGTCGGTGCAGCCGGTCTGGATGATGTACACGTCCTCGTCGCGTACCGACTCAGAGATCTTGACGTTGATCTCCCCGTTGGAGAACTTCTTCACCGTGCAAGGGGTAATGGGCACATTGAGGCTGTCGGATTGGACATGAACGGCTGCGGGGGAACCATCGCAGCCGGATGGGAACAAAAGGCTCACCGTTCGACCACGGCCTGCGCAAGTCCGGGGTGGGAGTTGCCTGTATGCACATGGCGGGCACAGGGACATTTAGCGCATGAAAAATGCCGGGACATGGTGAGAGACGCACCGGCAAGAATCCTGACAGAGTTGCCACGGAGCATGGTTTTAGGGGTAGTGCAAGAAATATTAGTTCATGTGCGAAATAGAGTAGACGGAGGGGGTGGGGAGAGGGATGGAGGGAGAGGGAGAGGGAGGGGTCCGCCTCGGCGCTCCGCATTACTCGCAAGTTCCGTCCTGCGGCCACCCACGTGCGTCGCCCCCCAATCGCGGTGCACGTATCCAAGCACGTGTTTTGAAGGCGTAGCGCGAGAAAACATCCAGTGCAAATCCGGTGTTCAAGCTCAAGTCGTGCCGAAGCGGCAGAGTCCGCCTATATAAGACCACGAGGGCGGGGTCGAAATTGCAGACTGGAGTCTGGAGGCGTGTCGGTATGAACAATCCCGGGCGTGTTGGTATGAACAATCCCGGGCTGTCTGTAACATAGATTACTAACAAACCGACCCTCAGATGCAATCTAGGAAGTACTTACTAGCATGCAACTAACTCGAGATGCAATTGCGCAGTCGGGACTCGGAATCTAGCCCTACATATCGGCCCCAATCCTCGCTCGCCATCACAGCGAGTTTCGTGTGGCGTCTGCAGCTGTGGTACGCCGGTCTCTTCAAGTGACTCGTCTGAGAGCATTCCAGGGCAGAGAGCGTTAAGTGACTGGCCGACGAGCTCTCACCAACCTCTCCGACAACTCAGTTCAAGTTCAGATGGTAAATGGCTTGTCACCCCTCGGAGCCCCATGTGACTAACGCGCTACTTACAGTGTTAGTAACAGTCGAGAAAGCGATATTTATAAGCCATTCAAGTCGAACCCAAGTCAGCAAGAGATGACAAACGGGACGGCCCTGAACGGCCACTGAAGGAAACAGCACAGGAGCGGTGGATCGACTGTAGGTCTATGAAGTCCTTTACTCATCCCTCAACAACTATAAGCTTACACATCACTAGAGCTGAGCCTGTCGTACTTGTGTCTCGAATAGCAGTCATTGCGCCAACAACTCAGTTGACAAATACCCGACTTTCGGGGAACAATTTCCGACTGGTACTAGGCCGCAGAATATACAGTGAGTCAGCACCTTGCCGTACTAGGGCCGGAACAATTCGACTCTGAATGACTGTAAGTTGCCGTTGAGCGTTTTCGACAGCATATATCAAGACAGACTGCTATCCACGCTGCCAGTGTACCATCCAACACCGTCTTCTCCTTCTTCAGCATCAGGAAAACCCCAAAATGCGAATTAGCACTAACAGCGTGAAATTAGTCCTAATGGCTTGTCTAATCGGGCTAACAGAATTGGAGGATCTAGTCACAACTAATGTGTGATAGTTGGGTACTAGCAGTACAGTCGATCATCTAATCTCAATAATTCTACCAGCTCTCTCACTAATTGGTGTAATTCACTCATATCTGATCTTCTGTGTCACTAATTTGAACGTCACACAGATATATTGCAGCTAATTAGAGTAACATTGGAAGGACGACATAGGGGGCCATATGGACGACGCCGTAGGCGCAACACACGGGCAGAACAGGCAACACAGGTAAAGTGGGCAATATAAGAGCGACGAGGGCGAAGGTGATGCAAACACGGGGCCGAGACGGGGGTGGGGTGGGTGACGCGGACACAGGCGACATGAGCCGGGCGAGGGCAAAGTGGGTGACGTGCGGGCAATGTTGATGAGGACGTGATGTGGGTGAGACGTGGACGACGCGCGGGCGAGGCGACGAGACGTGGGTGAACGCAAGCGTGGTGAGCGACACACGGGCAGACAAGGGCAACGTGGTGACGCGAGGGCGAGACGGACGACACAGGGTGAGATGTGGACGATGCGGGGGCGACACGTTGATGCAGGGACAGCGCGGGAGACACGGGCGACGTGGCGACGACACGTGGGCAACGCGGGTGTGGTGGGTGAGGAGAGCGACACGGGGGCGAACGCGGACAACGTGGGGGCGATGAGAGCGCGGTGGGTGCTAGGTGAGGCAGATGAAGTTGGCGATACAGGCGACGCAAGTGCAAGACAAAGGCGACGTGGGCTAGAGCGAGATGGGCAAAAGGAGGTGGGTGACTCCTGTGGCGAACGAGACAGAGACGGAATGAATACTCGCCGAGAAAGACGGGCTGAACGTCAGGCTGAACGTCGGCGTCGCGGGCGGGAGCTAGCTTCCCGCTTATGCCGGCGCGACAGCGCTTGAATAAGTGTATCTTGTGAGTCCTCAGTCCTGGCTCGTAATCGATAGGATAGATATTGATAAGGGAGAGCTGTGTGTCGTTCCGTCGGTGACGCGGGTGCGCAGGTGACGCGGGCGAGCAGGGCGAGGTGGAAAAACAGGTGAGAGGGCGAGGCGGACAAGGTGGGTGACGTGGGCGACACGGGAGATGCGGGCGCCGTGGGCAAGGTCGAGACGGGCGAGGTGAGTGATGTGGGCAAGGGCGAGACGGACGAGACAGGCGAGAGCGAGACGGGCAAGACGAGGAGCGGGAGGCAAGGAACGATGAGGGCGACGTGCCAGGCGCCAAGCGCTGGAGTCCACGCGACGCGCGTCGATTCCCACGCGTCTGGAACTGCCAGCACGTCGTCCTTCCTTTCGTCCCCTGCAGCTGACACCGAGCTCGTCCTCCCCGTCCTCCACATCCTGGCCCCCTTCGTCTCCCCGGCCCATATTCTGCGCCCTTCGTCCCAACCTCCTGACCCCACAATGTGCAACCGCAACGACGTCTGTGGTCACGCCCCGCCCCGGTGAGTCCCCCGCTCCCCCCTCTTGCGCTTCCTACCTCGCCCACCGCCTCCCAGGTCCTGCCCGCGCCACCGTCCCCGTCCCCGCAACCAGCACGTCCCAACAGACATGCTCGGGACGCTCGTTCCCGATGTGACCGTGGGACGCCGTCGTCACCACCCGCCCGCCGCAACGCCGTTCACCCGCGCTTTCCCGTGTGCAACCCTGGTGCACGGTCCCCTCGTCTCGAGTGGGCCGCGAAGGAGAAAGAGGCCGGCACTGCGGTGGTCACCCGTGTGAAGATTCACGCCCTCGGACGACAGGGTACAGAGGAGGGCAGCGCGCGACCTCAGTGCTTGGAGGTAAGCCTGCCCCGTCTCACCTGCCCTGCGCTCGCTCGCTCACGCATTCTCGCCTGTCTCGCCCTCGTCGCTCGTTTCGCTCATGTCCGTGTCACCCACGTCGCGCACGTCGCCCGCGTCCCTCTTGTCTGCTTCGCCCACATCTCCCTCGCTGCCTTGCCCGCACTGCCCGTGTCGCCCACCTGGCCCATCTCGCCCTGCCCCGCGTCACCCACCTCGCCCTCGTTCTGGCCCGTCTCCCTCTTACCTGCTCGCCCTTGTACTTGCTCGTCTCGCCCTCGTCCACCTTGCCCTGGCGTCACCCACGTCGCTCTTGCCAGTCTCCCCCTCACGTGTGTCACCAACCTCGCCCACCTCGCCCTCGCCCGTCTCCCCCAGTCTCCCCCTCACACATTATCCACCTCGCATGCCTCACGTCAGCATCATCACCTGGTCAGCGTCGCCCACCTTAGCCTGTCTAACCCCCGCGTCGACGTCATCCCTTCCCCATATCGCTTGCGTCGCCTATCTTGCCCGCGTTCGCCCTCACGTCGGCTGCGTCTTGCCCCCACATCACCCACGTTCACCCCCTCGTCGCTCGCGCTGCGTCGCCCTGTGCGTCGTCCGTCTGCCCTCACGTTGTCTTTGTTCACCCACGTCTCGTCCCCGCGTGGCACTTTGCCCACCTCGCCCGTCGCGCCCGCGTCACCGTAGCATAGTACTTGTGTCCCTGCATTTAAATATATCTGCTTTGAGCTCTCCGAATGCGTGACTAGTCGTGTGATTATCATCTCTAAAGTGTGCCTATCTGTGTCTAATTGTGCTTATTGTTGCTAAACCCTGCCTAACTGTGTCTCTAACACATCTATTCATGCCCAAATCCCCGGAGTAGTGCATGGCTAATTGTTGAACTATTCTGTCTAACGGTGCGAATTCGCAGGGGACCGATCTAATTAGACACTAATCGATAATCCGCGCTAATGGCTGATAATCAGCTAAATTAGTGCCATTAGTGCGAATTCGCACTTTGGGGTTTTCCTGATGAGAATGTCCCCAGCATATGACTTCGCTGCTGCTCCGGATGTGCCTTACTTCACACCCGCCCAAGTTCCCGTCGCGGGAACCGGACGCCCTGTCAAGGACTCAACAAAGCCTCTTGCAAAGCTCTTCCAGCCTCTCAAGATCCGGGGTGTAGAGTTCCAGAATCGCCTATGGGTGAGTGTCAGACCCGCCTGCAGCTGCTCGACACGTGCTCACCTATCCACAGGTCGCCCCGATGGACTTGTCCTCTTCTGACGTCCGCGACGGTATGATGAACCTCTGGAACATCACTTCGCGTGCGTGTGTTTCAGCCTATCCATGTTCGCCTCTCGTGCATGACACTAACAATATCGGCTCCCTGCACAGTCGCCTCGAAGATCGTCTACGGCCCCGGCCTGACGATCATCGAAGCCGCTGCAGTGACCCCGGAAGGTCGTGTCACGGTGCACGACGTCGGGTTCTGGTCGGACGCGCACGCCGTGCCCATACGCCAACTCGCCGAGTTCACCCACAGCCAGGGCCAGAAGCTCGGCATCCAGCTCGGCCACTGCGGCCGCAAGGGCACCATGGCGCCCATCTGGCACGCCGGCCACGAGGTCGTGCCGTCTTCCCGCGGCGGCTGGTCCGACGACCTCGTCGCGCCCTCGGCCGTTGGGTACCCCCCGAGCGTAGGGGAAGAGGGCGCGGTGCCGCATGCGCTGACGAAGGAGGAGATCAAGACGCTGGTCGTGAAGTGGGCGGAGGCGGCAAAGCGCGCAGTCGACGCGGGCGTGGACGTCATCGAGCTGCACGGCGCGCACGGATTCTTGATCCACAACTTCCTGAGTCCGGTCTCGAACAAGCGCACGGACGAGTACGGGGGAAGCCTCGAGAACCGGGCGCGATTCTTGTTTGAGGTGGCGGACGCGATTCGGGGGGTCATTCCGAGCACAACGCCGCTGTTCCTCAGGTGAGACGCTTCGGTGGGATGTGATTGCTACGGGATGCTGACCTTGATGTAGGGTATCTGCGACCGACTGGTTGGACAAGGTGCTCCCCAACGAGCCGTCGTGGACGCTCGACGAGACCATCAAGCTCGCGAACCTGCTTCCGGAGCACGGCATCGATTTGATCGATGTCTCGTCTGGAGGGACCGACCCCGGGCAGAAGATCGAATTCATCGGTGGGCCGGCTTATCAGGCGCATCTGGCGGAGGCAATCAAGAAGTCTGTCGGCGACCGCCTCTTGGTCGCGGCAGTGGGTGGGATCACGACTGGTAGTATCGCGGAGGAGGTGCTGCAGAAGGGCCAAGCGGACGTGGCTCTGGTCGGGAAAGCGTCGCTGTTAAACCCCGCGTTTGTGCTCGATTTTGCAAAGGATCTGGAAGTGGACGTGAAGATTCCGCATCAGGGAGACTGGGTGGTACACGGAAGGAAGAGTATGTGGAGATGGGTGGACTCCGCGTAATAGAGGACTGCACGCACTGTACTAAGAGTTACTAGAATTTGAAGACGAAGGCTCGGCCCGCTCGATGTCGTCCAGGGCCATGAACAACGTATTACGGATATGTGGTGGATCGGTGATCGGCATTGTTTTTGCTTTCCTGGCACTTCTAATTGCGCTCCACTTGATTCAAATCTCCTGTAGTGCCCTTGTTTGGCGTGTATTCCCACTTTCCCTTCGCCGATCGCGGAGCCCCACGCGTGATCGGGGCTTTGCTTGCACACGGAAAAGCAGATGACACGTTCTGTCATCGTGAATTCTTTCTGCGCACACTGACGTCATGTGGTGGTGTATTTCTGTCCCAGATCTAGACCAGGCTGTAGAGTCCAGTGTACGAATCTTCAAAGCTTCAGTCCTCCGCGCTGAAGCTGCGTCGCCGCGACAGTACTTGCTCGCCCTCAAAATCCAGCACTTCGGTACCTGCAACACAATCGGGTTCAGGGTCGTGCACTCATGGCCCTCGCGTGCGCTGGCTCGCGTTCGGCGCGTGGCACCGACGCCCGCCCCGGTGCCTCCATCGCGACCGTTCATGGACACGCGCGCGAGTGCGGCGGCGGAAAGGACCCGCAATTCACGGCTGTAGAGGAGACGTGGCGCGCGGACCGCGAGGTGCACGGGCGCGAGCTCGAGCGTACACGAGCGGGCCTGGCGCAGATTCCACCCTCACCGTGTTCCGCCCCGTTCCCCCGATGTGCCGCCGTGTTTGCCCGGCAAACCTGACACTTACTATAGCTAAGCACAGTCACTTCCAGACTAGCGTAGCACACATAGGAAGGGTGGAGGATGCTAAAGTGGAAGAGGAAGAGGGGATATTGAATGAAACGAGCGAAATGCACACTGCCAGGTTGGGACTCAGAACTTGGCGCCCGTGATACGATAAAGTTGTTTTTGGCGCTTGTCCCAATGCCGCCGGAGCGCCTGGACGAGCAGCCGGATCACGATGATCGATGACCAATCTCAAGCTTGGCTTCAAGCTTCAAAGCTTCAAGCTTCGCCGAGTCGCGCCGACGATTTACATGATTGAAACGCCCCTTGAAGGACAGTCTGGTAAGCACATCATTCCCTATCCTCAACTTCGCGCACTTCGCTAGGATCGCTTTGTACTGTACCATTTCGATCTATTCGAACGTCACGCGTCACAAGCCTTCCAAAAGTTCGAAATTTCTGGGGTCAGTCACGCATCACAAGCCCGCAGTTCGAAACGGTTGTATGGGCGCCTAATTACTTGCACACTCGTTTCGCGCATTCATAGCGCTTTCGGCCTTTTAGGCACGTTCTGAGTTAATTCACGACATAGCCAAGTGCTCTGTGTCTCAGTTAACCGTGCGCACGGCTCGTTTTAAACCCTCCGGTTCGAATATTTCGGGACGGTCACACCGGGCCGGCCCCTGGTTCGAATTCACCTGGCATACTTGGGCTGTCACGCACCAAGGCCCGGTTCGAATAGATCGAAATGGTACAGTACCAGAAGGCGTTCTTAAACAAAAGGAAGAGAAATGATGGTCTAGGTCAGGCCCGGATCCAGCCTGCAACAGTCCATATGAACGTACGTGTGGATCAACAGTGGCATTTAAAGGTCCACTGAGGGCCAAGTCGTTGGGTGACATTAGTGACTGTCACACTGGCTCGGCGCTTCAGCGCCAGCGACCAGTGATCACGCCGTGACTAGGCTGTTGCAATCATGTGCGCGCGGGGCCGGTGGACCTTCGTCCACCTCCTCCTAGGTCCTTTCATCCCACCCTGAATCTCTTCATGGACGTGGAAGCTTTTGAGGCATGGATGGAGAAGTATGGCATCTGCCAAGAAGGCACCATGGTGACCCATTCCAGCGGCAACGGCGTGTCCGTCATCAGCTCTTCAACTTCCGTCGCTCACCCAGCCCGAGGCGCGTGCTCTTCTCACACCACCGGCCGTCTCTCTGAAACTATAAATCAGTTGCAACAATTCCCAAAGCTGCCATTCTGTCGGTCCGCACATCCTCGCTGACCTCGCACATCGCGTGGGTCCCCTACGGCCATGGCGCAACATTGGCCCTCTCTTTCGCACTTTATTCAGAAATGTAAGTCATACACGGAGCCTGCACGTTTTCCTTTATACTCACATGCGCAGCGGCTGCACAGGATCATAGGCGATCAGTCGCGATGGTACGGATATCTGCAATCATTGCCCTCGGACATCGTCCCCATTGCCCGACTGTGGGCTCATCGAGAAGCATTCGCGGACGACGACACACAGCAAGCCATGCGATGGCTGGAGAGAACCGAAGTACAACATGAGCTGAATGACGCAGAGGGCGTTTCTCTCGCCGTGAGCGTCTCTGCTTCTACATACCAGACGGTACACTGACGAGTACGTTGACCAGGACGAGATCGATCAATACTACATCTCCGAAGTGGCCCCGATTCTGAGCAAACTTGGGTATAAGCCACATTTACGTGACTTCCTCCACGCATACTCCCTCGTCTCATCTCGTGCATTCTTGGTTGACGCTTACCACGGCCTGTCTATGGTACCTCTCGCCGACGCGTAAGCTTTGGCGTTTCTCGAGGGGTTTTAAGCAGTTTCTCACAATCCTTGTGCAGATTTAACCATAGCCACGACAACCACGTGCAACTCGCCGTACGTCATTATTCACACTTTTCCTTCTGCCTCACGTCCTAACTATCCGTACCCAGAGCGAATACGACGTCTGCCCTTATTGCGGATCATTATCTGAGTGCGCACATGACGACGACTTTTCGAATGATCATCGCTCCGCCGCGGTTCACAACATCCCCACCGAGGCCGACACCGTCGACATGGTCACCGTACGCCCCATCGGAGCGGGGGAAGAGGTTTTCAACACCTACGGAGCGTCTCTGGGCAACGCCGCGCTGCTCGCTCGATACGGTTTTATCCTCGAGGGCGGGGAGACGGATGTGGTGACCTTCGGCTGGCCAGGCTCGGACTTTTTCGATGTCGCCGATCAAGAAAGACGGTGGAGGGACGCGTGCGACGCAACGAGAGGAGAAGCGAAGCGCCTCCTCGAAGGTTCAGATCTCGTGTACTTCCCGGACGAAAGGCGTGGGGCTCGTCCTTTTCTCGGCATCAACAGCGACGCGCAAGTTTCTATCGGGCTGCTCACCTGGGCCTTGAACAAGGTCCTCGCTCCTTCCAGCGCTGATGTGGACATCCACAAGCGGATATCCGTGCTATGCTCGGCGCTTCAGGACGCTGAAGAGGAGCTGTCTCGTGATGACGAGGGGATTCTCGCAAGTGAGAGTCATGCCGGGGGCGGCACGGTGGGTCCATTAGGCTCTTCGTCAGGACTATAGGGACTAACGAGCTAATGTGTATACAGATCATTCAAGATCTGGTCGCAGTGGCACATACTCTGCTGGATCTGTTTAAATCCCGTCTGGATGTGATTGGACAGGGTTGCAGCGCAGAAGAGTTGGGGCTTGAGCTTGACGTGCGTGCATTTATACTATCTTCTTCCACGTATGTCTTGATGAGCTCACTGTGCCTGGTAGGCGCTTCCACCACATCGTACGAAGACGAGACTGGCACTACAGTATGTGCTAGGGGAGCGCGCGATCATCGAAACGTGCACGGCGCAATGGCAGGACATGCACAAAGTGCTCCTCTGTCGACTCTGACGGTTCAATTATGCCTCACTGCGACCGAGCTACTCTCACGCAATCCGCTTTTCTGAGAGTACTCCCCTGGCCCTGCCTACCGCCGGACACCATAGACGCCCTCCAGATCCAAATATTTCCCCGACATCCCCAACTTCTCAGTCTCTCCCCCCGCACTGCTCCCGTCCGACGCCCCCACGATGCCCACCAGCGGTATCACCCCGTACCGTCTGCCCTCTCCTGTTCCTGAACGCGATCTGTTCGATGTTGCCACGACGCGCGGCGCGAGAGCAGAAGGCGCTCGACGCGGCGGACGTCGCGTTCCTGCTCGAGCACTGCGTCCGGCGGCGGGTGGAGGTGGACTCGGTGCAGGTGCCGGACGTGACGCCGGAGTTGGCGGAGTACACTGTTGGGGAGGGGTGAGTCGAGCGGGGGCTGTGGTTGGAAGCGGCCGCGGCCGCGGGGTTTGTGTTGGGTCGTGAGTCTGCACGGTCTCGACGGGCGGGCTTGTTTCTTACCTTGGAGCTCTCCGGGGGGCTGGCCGTTATGAAATGATGACGGCGATTCATTGACTCGAAGGCGGAATACGGGTACAGCGATATAATGCACGTTCTTGTTCCACATCTGATCACGATTCACAGCAAGTTACAACACGCATGTCGCATGTTTATTTTGCGCCTGTACTACATGCGTCAGCGTGACTCTAGGTGCTTGTGCGGTGACGTCACGAAGAGCATGGCGAATCGCGTGACAACGGACGAGCCGTCTTCTTCCGCCCATCCTCAGGGATATGGATATCTTCAAGGGCGTCGGTGAGTCGACGTATTATCCAGGTCGTTCCTACGCCCAACATATCTGCAGGTTCTTTCAGCCCCTCCGTGCCGCCTTACGTCAGGCAAGCGTGGAGTAAGAACGTCTCCAGACTCAAAGTGTAGCTGCATAACACCTTTTCCAGCGAAAGGAGGAGGCTCTCTGACTACACAAGACTCAGCGGCGTCCATGACACATGTATTTGTGGATGCCGACAAGGATCTGTGGGTGCCCCAGTGCGTAACGCGTTCTCTACCATTCAACACCTCGCTTCTGACCGCATATATGCGCGTCCAGATTGCGCTCTCGCTCTGTTGTGGTGCGATCTACCCTCCTGTTTTTCTTTCGCCACGTGTGACGAGGGTGCTTCATAAGGTCTTCGATTGGCGATGGGTCGTCGACTGTGCAGACGCCGGCTTCAGGCTCCCGATATGCTCCTATGTCATTGACGGTAGGCCGTTCGCGAGTCACAGATCACGTCGCACATGTCGGTTCATTCTTATTGCAGGACAGACGCAGGACGATGAGCAAGGACACTCTCCGCGTGCATACACCCAGCCTGATCACGCACCCACTCCTCCCCGGACGTTTCCGGACGACGACTCGGGCGACACGCTCGTCATGCAGGAGCTCCAGGGAGACCGGGCGTGGCTGCACGACGCCATGGAACGCAGCGTACAGCCATCTTCCGACGACATGAAGGCGACGGACGACACCTTCGCGTTCCTGCGTCGCACCCCACCGCGGCCCCCGCCCGCTGCCGTCCCCACGAACTCGGACGTGGTGCAGAGCCTCGGAATCCGGTGCGTTCCTGCGCGCATGGGACGGTGCGCGGCTGACGACCGTGCCGCAGCTCCCTCCAAGCCCGTCTCGCCAGGCACCCCGTCGTGCCGATGTTCGACGCGTGGGACATGCTGGCCGACGTTCCCGTCCGCCGATCGGGCGTGTTCGTGCGCGGGGCAGACCATCGCGGGGGACGCTTTGACTGCTGCTATGTCGACGAAGACGTGTAGGCTTCGCCCGGGGTTTGTACCTCTACATTTACATGGCACGAGACGTCCGGCTACACGCGGAGCTTCACCGGTGATCGATGACGTTCGGCGGGGTGTACGGCGCCTCGAGAGCCTTGATCTCCTCTTCGGTGAGCCTCACTTCAAGCGCGCCTGCATCGCAGCAGCGCACCAGAAGCGCTGAAAGACGTCGTAAGCCATATTAGCGACGCACCGAGTATGTCCTCCAGGTTCGCGAGGCTCGTCGTCCCGACGATCGGCGCGGTGACTGCAGAGACGGGCAGGCGGCACAGAAGACATAAAAGTGGCAAGTGGTGGATTCGAACCCTCGGCCAGAGGCTCCAGCGCCAAAGGCTCCCACACTGCGCTTTGCCGTCTTCCCGTCGTCCCAGCCGACACCTCGCTCTGTCACTCAGGCTGCATATCCGTTTCCTTGATACAGCCTCAAAGGCGTGAGTGTCATTCCGGGCTCTTCAAGCTTACATGAGCGCCATCAAGAAATCTCGAGTGTCATGGGTCGACCCAAATTTGCTCACAACTTCAACCAGGCCGCCCACACCAAACAGCCCTTGTTTGGCCACCCTTCCGAACTCCGCCGTCCAGCCGGGGCCTGACTCGAGCACCCCAAATCATTCGTGGGTGCCGTTCTCTCGGATCCCTGCGCCGCCGCTTGGGCTTTGCGACCAATCCGCGACACACGACGGCCTGCGATGCCTTCCTGCCCCCTGGCCGCCGTGATCTCTCTGGACGAGTCTTCTCGCGCTCGGTAAGAAAGCCCTTCTGTCGAAACTCGGCTGAGACCTTCTTGATTAAAATCAAAATTTCAGGAACTGGTTCAAGATCCGAGAGCACCTTCTCACCAGAGAAGCACCTGATCTTGCTTGGGCGCGGAGAAGTGCAGGAGGCGATTGGCCAGGGCGATACTCGTGACCCCAGTATCGCGGGCCTCGACGCGGCCTTGTGCCAGCCGAGTGCGCGACCTTGTGCTCTGCGCGGACTGGGCGTGATGCGGTCGCCACCCGGGATTCGCGGTGGGGTCCGACGGGCGAGCATAAAAGCCCTCCCCCCCGCGCTTTCTCTCCTCAGAACCCCCACCACCCGCCATCTCGACGATGCTCTCCCCCCGCGGCGCACCCATGCCCATGCGGCACACCATCGGCTCCCTAGCCACAACTCAGCCCACCCCCTCGCCTCTCGCCCGCCTCAACGGCGGCGACGGCAGCACGTTCGCCTCCGGGTGACGATGAACAATGGGTTCATTAACGGTGAGCCTTTTCCTTGAGCACACGCGCCACCATTCATGCTGACCACTTACTAGGACCGGTCCTGTCACTCTCCTCGCCCGGCACCAAGGCTCTGGCGTCGCTCGCGCGTTGCCATCCTTACCGCCGAATGGGCAGGCGAGAGACACCGTGCAACGGCTTCATGCCACACCGCACGGGGTGCCCGAAACGTACGCCCACTTCGCAATCCCACTTGCCTTGCGGCACGCGGAGCCTACGCGCCGCGCCCGGACAGAGGGCTCTGTCAAGCTGTACCCATCTCTGCCGAGCGTGTGATTTGTGCGTCTTTTTGTCACTCCGTCCAGCCGACGTCGATGCTGATTCCAGCACGGCAGCTAGTTCGATAGTAACCTCCCAACATAGTGAGTCACTGGCCTTTCCATCGCTTTTGAATACATCCTGACTTCGATCGTTTAGCAGCGACCCGGACTTGTGAATAGGCTCCTAGTAAGGGCGCGGTCGACCGCTTCCCGCTGTCCAATCCAGCGGCGAAAGTAGGATATGGTCCCGCGCCAGGCGGCACGCGCGTGCCCGACGGTTGCCGCTCCGTAAAAAGTTGGCACCGGGAAAGTCGTGCGTGTCAGCCTCAGATTCGGAACCGTCTTTCTTTTCTCTCGATCACCGTCCCTCTCCTTCTCCTCCCCATGTTCATTCGTGTCCACAAGCACGGCGATCGTCAGGCGGCGCGCACGACCCGATGAACGCCGCTCCGTGAACCTCACGGAATGTTTTCATGGCTCCGGGACACTCGTGCGCGCCGACCCCAGCTCGGCCCGTCCTTGTTTTCTTTTCCTATATGCTTGCGTCTACTCATGTATCGGGCGACGGAGGTCCATACGACCTCCGTTTCAAAATGCCTCCCGAGGTATCGGCGCAGGCCTCTCCGTGGCCCTCGGGACTAGTAGCCGTCGCTCGCGCGGCGGGGAAGCCAACATGCGTCGTTGATGTATTATGTAGTCGCTACAATCAATGGTATTCGCTCCAAGTTCGCTATTAAACACGACGATCTCAGTGAAATGTCCGCGAAGACCGGATGCGTCGTCGGCGAACACCCGTCCGGATGTACCGGAGAACCCATATTTGTGCGTGTTCCCAGCCAGCCTTGAGGTGATGGCTTCATCCATGTTCACCTCGACGTTCGGGATCGCGGACGAGCGGATGGAAATAATACGTACAGCAAGGTCTCGATCGATGTCAGGCTCGACATACCTCTTGAGAGCAGTAAAGTGCAGGTTGCCGTGCGCCCAAGCTCCTCACCCTTCCACCTCCTGGCGGACCCGTGCGTACCGCTGCTGCTTATAAACGCCGGGTCCGGGAAGAACACTGGCAGGTGGGATGTGCTTCATCAGCTCTTGCGACGAAACATTCCCCGAGGCTGAGCAACGCGCAAGATCGAGTTCGAGACAGGTGGAACGGGCGCTGTGAAGACTTGCTGCTTGCGGTCCTCATTCTGTAGATCCTTCGGGCGAGTATTCTGCCCGCTGCGTTCCAGATAGCACGTACGGTTCCTTGCGTCGAGAACGGTCCTCGGGTCCTGGATGACAGGCCGACGAGAGACTTCTCTGGGTGCAGACGCAGCGGGAAAAGTTTAGAGGATGAGCCTTGGGGCGGGAGATCCGTCGTGAGTGGAGGGAAGCTTTAGAGCCTAGCCGCGGCCTCGAGATGGGCGTCTATTCCAACCTACCTTGTTCCCACCATCATCGCTTTCCCCAGCACACCCCTGACCCTCCCTGGCCTCGCCCAGGCGCTAGGATTTGGAGTGCGTAGTACTCAAAGGTAAGTGCCGTGAGCCCGGAGCATGCAGTAGCAGCGGCACTTGAAGTGGACACGCGGCCGCTCGACTCATCCCCGACCGGGGCCGTTTTGGTGAGTCCCAAAATTTCTCAGTTCCTTGCATGACCTCTGTCTGATCGTCCGTTCAAATTTCAAGACTAAGGAATCAGACTCGGACGTTTTAATTCTGATTAAGCGTTTACGAGCGGCGCGGTCGCTGTTCCGGTGCATCGGAGCATGAGAATGTCTTTGCAACCGGGAAATTGATGGCATTGGGATTTCAATTGAAGGATGAGGATGTGTGGATTCTGAAAGCACTGTCTTGAAAAGGCACCCATAGTTTCAAGAGGACATCTCCAAGTCTCGACAACCGCTGCACTTCCCGGCCGAAAACAATCACTTTGACTGTTCATCAAATACACTCGGGCCGGATGCACACCCGGCGGCCATCTTCGGCTTGCGTGGACACACTGACACAGCTTGACAGGTACGTGGCGCTCACAACGTATTCATCGCTTGTTGCACACGCACACTGCTTTCTGGCTTCAAGCGTTGTCACAGAGGCACTCCATCGCGTGTTGGTCACCGCGCTGTCAACTATGCCAAGCCCTTCAGCCAGCCCGAGTCACTTTCGGACTCAGTACGGACATGAGATCGGGCGACCCGGCCAACGTCCAGGTGTCGTGCGGGAACGGTATAAGATGAATCCATTCCCCGCTCTTTTGACACCTATACTTTCCTCCACCTTCCATTCCCTTCATATTTCACTATGTACCCCCTCGCGATAATCTCTCTCGCTCTTTTCGCCACCCACGGTACGCCCCAGAACCGCGCTCAGACCAGGCGTGGCCTCTCAGATATATATCCGATAGCGTCCGCATCGGCAACCACCCATGCGCCTCGATTCACGCACATATTGACCACTGTCGGCCAATTGGGCGGTTTCGACTCGGGAGACTTTCCGTCTCAGGTCCGTTCGCGAGCCTCCGCGTCCATCCTTGAGGTTGCCGCTCATTTCTCTCTTGCCGCTCACAGTGTACGTCCGACTGCAAGGCGCTCGCCGACACTGCCAGCGTATGTCGTCATCTTCCCGAGATCTATGTGCGAGGTGCTGAGCGTAGAGCTGCAGTGCGACACAACCGACGTCGGCTGTGTCTGCAACGAGAACGTGAACAAGGGCTCGCAGTCGTGCATCGACTGTGCCATCCGGGTCGCGAACGGCACTTTGTCCCAGTCGGACATCGACGGGTTCCAGAGCGAGATGAAGGGTGCGTCGTCGTCTATGCGTGCTTGGCGTCGTCCATATCAGTCCCCTCACAAATGCTCAGATTTCGAAGACTCGTGCAAGCAAGCCGGCAAGGCACTCGCATCGCTCACTATCTCGTCGGACGGTGTCCTCGAGACCGGAAAGAGCGCAGCAGGGAGTGGATACACGCTCTCGCTGGCTTCTCTAGGAGGAATCTTGGGTGCAGCCGGAGTGTTGCTGCTTTGACTGTTTGACTGTAGCGCTGCACCGGATATCGATGACCACCTCTCTTTTGGTTTTATGCTGAACCGCACTGGTAACATACCCACGCTTCTCCGAATACTGTGCTTTCACACCACGGGATAATACCACGCGTTAGTTTGTCTTAGTAGTGCGATCTGCTTTTGTGGTGCGCTCACGACGCCTGCGTACTACACGCTTTTCTAAGTTGCAAAGTAAGACCATATAGCCCAAGGAAAAACAAGCAAACCAGAGTGTTCGTCGAGTTCATAACACACTCTCTTAGCACACAAGTTGGCCGTTCTCGTTGATTTCTTTCTCGTCTTCGACGACGTCCCCAGGGGTAAAACGAAACCGACCGTCAAAGCGTGCTCGTACCACCGTGCTATCTGTTCCGGCCGCGACGAGCCGGCCGCGAGGCGCGAAGGGAGGGATGTGCCCGAGAAAGCCGAGGTGGCATTCCATCGTGTGCCGCTAACTTTGGGTTTGCAGGGCGTGTAGTAGATCCAGCACAGGAGCCGGTTAGGTGTCGTGCGCGAGGTACGTATACGTACACCCCCAGACGGCGCGCCGCCGATTTCTTGCTGGCGCCTCGCCCGCCAGAATTCCGGTGGAAAGACAGGTGGATTCTACGTGGCTACCGCTGGATTCCACGGGTGGGGCCGCAACGTTGATTCCACATTTCATCAAGCAGAAATCCACCTCTCGCTCTGCTTGCTTCCAGAGGCCATCATGCCCTCTGTTTTCATGCTGCTCGTCAGCCCGTTTTCCAGTACAATTACGTACACATGACTGAATCGACGAGTGCCGCTGGCCGCCGAGATCCTTGGAACAGCTAGGCGCCCAGCCAAACCTGGGTCCAGCGTGTCACGCTCGAGTACAGTGACACAGAGAATCTCACCGTACTTCATTCTGCATGAGGGTCCTCGATATCGTCCTCCTATATGAGAAATAACACGCCGCGCGAGGTGTGCACAAAATTCATTCACACTCATATAATTTCCCACAATCAGCGTGGGCCGTGGTCCCATTGAACATCGTACTGTTCACCATGAACACAGGTATCCAAGGTGAAGGGAGGGCCTGTGTGTGTGGCAGACAAAGGAAGCTGGTAACTGAGGACTTAGGAAACGCCAACGGCGAGTTTGACGGCATGAGACGGTCGAACCCCATCTGTGGAAGGTTGTTCCCACGCACAGACCTTTGGGCCGCAGCTGCCAGCAGCGCGCTGCGCGGCTCTCGTTCGTCTTCAATCCCTCCTCGCTGTTTCTACCGCCACCTCTGATCTTGCACTACAGCTGCTTCCTCCTAAGGGCTGCTTCACAGACATGTAAGCCCAAATTTTGCTCGTGTGTGCCTTACCTGATAGAACGTCACATGAACAGGCCACCAAAGAAAAAGGACAGCAGCTTGAAGTCCCCATTATTGACTGGAGGACATGTCAGTGCCGAGAGTCATCGGGTCACATTAGCACCACCCCGGTATGTAATGTCCACTGTGCAATCACACACGTCTACTCCCTTTGTGCTGTCAAGGACGCCGCAGTTCACATGTTTTGTGCGAGGTTTGAGCGGCTTCGTGGCCCGCTTCCGGCGTCCATCATCGTTGCTCAGCCCATCGACAACAACGATGTCACTGAGTAGCTCGATGACCCGGTTGATCTTAGTGTAGAACCCCCTGCTGTAGTCGCTCCTTTAATACTGCCTTCAATAGAGGTCTAATACATTCGTTCTTCGAGTAATTGCTAGTGCGTGGACCAGTTTCGTAGCCCCCGCGTGATGCCGTTGCAACCGACACGATGGCTGACAAACATATGTCACACTGGTCACTATTTTATTCATTGTGACTCTCAAAACAAAGGGCCTGCACGGTGTCGGGTACCTTTATCGGGGGCAGATCTGTCAGGTGGAATCCACGTATCAACCAGCTGTTTACCACCTGTCGAACACCTGGAAACTGCGTTGCGGCCCGACTGCTTGAATCCACGTTTCGCACGAGGAATTCCCCACCCGCCTTCTTACACGTTGTTTCCGGCGGCGCGCCGCCTGGGGGTGTAATAGTGGAGGGCTCTTCCAATCGCGGGCATACGGGCGGCCGGAAGGTAGTGCAGACTCCGATATCCTCGAGGAAAGGGAAGGATACAAGTACTCATCATCGTCGCTGTATTGAACGGCGACCGGGATTAATAGTCCTACTAGTCCAGAAACAAAAGCTGAGAAGCCATTGAATCGAAGATGACCTAACGCTTACTGTGAACGATGTTGTGAGTCCGCCGACTCGGCGTTGCGTCGAGAGTGGACGCGCAGGCTTCTGCGCTGTCCTGTCCTAGGTGCGTGAGTCCTGTACCTTACAGATGTCGTGGCCGTTCGAAACCAGTCAGCCAGTTAAGAGTCTGTTCCATAATCGATGGAGGCGCAGGCAGGGCTATGATAGGACAGAGAGGTAAGTAAATGCGCCGTACGAATACAGAGGATCAGAGAGCATAGGTGTAGTATCCAGAACATAGAACGAAGGAACACGAGACCCAGACGCAACGTACGAAAGACCAGCACTCAATCTCACTTTCTCGCCTCTATCGACGCTGTCTTCTGCCTCTGCCTCTCCACCTGGGTGTCGATATGCCGTGCGATCGTCTCCCCACGCTCCGTCAGCTTCCTCTCCAGCTTGCGCGCCTGCCCCTCGACATATGTCCCGAACGCCGCGCCTTGGCTCTCGAGGATGCGCCCCAGCGTCTCGAACAGCCCCCCGCCGCGCGCCGCTTCAGGCTCGCGGTCGACCCCGCTGATGCCGATGAGGATCTTGCCGTGCTTCGAGCGGACGAGCGCGCGGTCCTGGCCCGGGTCCGCCGCCTTGACGTCCACGAGCGCGTTCGGGGGCTGCCCGGGCGCGGAGACGACGCAGAGCGTCTCGCGGTCCGTCGCGCGCAGCGTGCGCGCGCGCGCGGCGAGGCCGGGGAGCAGGCTCGCGTTCCCGCGGCGGGTGCCGATGACGAGCGGGCCGGAGAATGCGGGCGGGAGGAGGACGGTGATCTTGCCGTGCCGGGTCTCGACGAGGAGGTCGAGCGCGCGGGAGGGGGCGGCGTCGTGCACGTCGAGGAGGACGCGGCCGTGGGCGCTGTGGACGTCGACGCGGGTCGGCTCGCGGCCGTAGGCGAAGGGCGGGGCGACGAGGGCGAGGTCGAGGGTGAGGGCGCCGTGCCGGGTGGTGAAGGAGGCGTGGACGTCGGACTTGTGGCGCGACTTGCCCCAGGCGCGGTCCTGCTTCCGGCACATGCGGCGGGAGAGGCCGGAGGTGGGAGAGGGGAGGGCGGGGTCGATGAAGTAGGTGCCTTTCATGGTCTTGCGTGAGGCGGGGGGCGCATACAGTGAGTCGGGAAGGACGAAGGACGCACCTGAGACTGGGGCATGCTTTGAGAAGACCTCAAAGCGGTTGACGGTCTGGGGGTTGTGAGGCTGGAAGATCGGCTCCGAGCGCACTGGGGTCGGTTCGGGGACGCGACTGGGACCAGCAGGGGGGGAATATGGGGGAGGGGGAGGGAGCGCGGACTCTACCCGAGGAGAGGGGGCCTGCAGGCTCGATTGGCCAACGTTGAAGGCACAGCAGAGCAAGCGACTCACCTCAGCAGGCCGTGGATGTTTTTCAGGGACGGGCGGGGACTTGACGTCGTACGCGTCTTGAGGGTGGCTGTTGACGATAATCATGTTGAATGAAGGGATGGGGCGAAGGACGAGAGTCGAGGGTATAAGTAGGATGCGCTACGGCCCGGAGCTGTCGCCTGCGGAAGGCAGGGCTTTGACATGCCGCGGCGCAGCCGTGAGCGCTCGAGCTTACGCACTGCCTTTGATCCACCACCGCACCGTATGCGCATAGACCGCCTGCTCGGAATCCTAGCGGACTAGCTTGCTCTAGAGAAAAGTGGGTGAATGAGCCACCGCAGGATCGCAAGGACCCAGCGCACTTACTGAAGCAGAGACTCTCGAAGCTGGCACCAGTGGCAGCGAAGATGCCCGCGGATCTTATCAGATATAACATGTACAGCTTCCAGGCCGCGACCCACGCTGATTCCAGCCGACCCACAGCAGGCACGGCACGCTTCTTGATCATCTCGCGCTCGCTCGGCCTCAATGCCTGCCGCCTCCAAAGCCGGTGTCCGATTTCAACGGCTGGAACCTGCTATATAGCACCCGACTCGTCTCCAAGTCGATCGCCTGAGACAAGTCGTCTTCCGACCACCGTCACTTGCACCACCACTGCAAACGCCCTCGCCGCCCAACGTCTTCATGATAGTCTCACCGGAGGGATTGAACGATGTGGTGGCATCGAATGGTGCGTGCCTATGTGCTCTCTCAGGATCTGACCCCTGACCCCCCTTGCCCTTGCACAGAGACGACTGCGGCCACGCGTTTAGAACTCAGGGTGCGTATCTCACTCTCCCCCCTCGCATGTATGCCGACAAGAAACAAAGGCAGGGACATCTGAAGATGACGCCCCTCCCCCTCCGTATTCCCTCCTCGACCCTGGGCCCTCTCCTGCACAGGCAGCTTCCTCCCCCAATACCCTCCCTCTCGCGGCTGCACAGGCTCACCACGATGTCGTACCGTCTCCTCCCCCACTCACGAGGACCGCGCTGAGCGAACCTGTAGCGTCATCTTCGACCTTGGTTCCTCTTACGCACCCGGCCTCGTCTTCACATTATGGCTCTCCGTATCTATCCCACCAACAGTCGGAAGACTCTTCCCAATCGGCGTACTATTCTCCCACTCCAGCTCCCCATCTTTCCTCCAGCTCATTTACTCCATCAAATACTTCACTACCCGCTTCTCGCCAGTCACCAACGCTCGCATCTTCCCCGCCAGACGTGGACAGCTTTACCGCTGCTTACTTCCCGGAAGAAGTCGCGCAACCTCGTCCCACCAGCCCCTCCCCCGGACCCTCGTCGCAAGTAGGCGGTACGGCAGAGCAGCCACAAGTCATCAATGGCGTCGACATGTTCGCGCGCAACGAAGCGGTCACGGGTGAGTAGTCTTTCAGCTTACCGTCTTCACATGCGTTCAACCCGGTACCTATCAAGGCTCGTTCGACGTCGATCCAATGTTGGAAACCCAACCTCTCATGATGCCGTCAGACATGTCCAAAGCACATGCGGCTGTCTGGGGCACAAGCACGTCCCCACTGCAATTGAACGCAGCTTTCCGATCGCTGAAACTCTCCGTTACGGTGGACGTCGCTGTTGTCGGGCCGCCTACGCACGAACCGCGCCGGCGGAGGACACCAGTGCGACTATGTGCGTCCACCCGGTCGGAGCCGGTAATCATGAACATTGTGAGTTCCGTATTTCCCCACTGGTCGCGACTGTAACTGACACACCGACAGCGCGAAGTCGACCTCCGATACTGCCTGGACCTCCATGTCGAGTCAAAGTCCGGAGACATCACCGTCCTCCTCCCGCCCTCCTTCTCCGGCCCCATCATCATCCAGAAGAAGAAGGCCGACTCGCTCACCCTCCTCCCCGACTTCGCCACCACCACCCGCACCCTCCGCACGACGGACCACGAGACCGTGCTCCTCGTCTCCTCCCCCGCGTTCCCCGTCCCCGCGATCGACAAGCCGCTCGCGCAGACGGCCGACGACGACCTCGCCCGCGCCCTCCTCCACGCCAAGCACGGGCGCATCACCATCGGGCTCTCCGCCTCCAGCACCGACGCCGCCGTGCTCGCGCCCGCGCCGAACGCCGCGGCACCGAAGAAGCCGACGATCGCCGGCGCGCTCGGCGGCCTCGCGCGTGCGTACGTCGACGCGCAGACCGACGCGCTCCGGCGCGAGCTCTGCGCGACGAGCGGCGCGCTCCGCCAGGAGTGGGCGCAGCAGCGCGAGGCGGTCGCGCAGGAGTGGCGCGCGGGCGTGCAGCAGACGCAGCGCGGGCGCCAGGGCACCGCGCGCGCCTACCGGCAGACGGCGAGGGGCGCTGCGCGCGGGGCGCAGCAGACCGTGCGCGGGTACGCGCAGCTGTCGGCGGGCACGATCAAGGCCGCCGCGGTGGCGGCGGCGCTTGTGGGGAAGGGGCGTGCTGGGGAGGATACAGGCGCAGCGGACGCGGTGGCTCGGACCTCGGGCTCGAGCCTCGGTCGGAAAGACAAGTAGGGGGCACGAGAGGTGCTAGTCGTTTGAGGCCCGGAGTGGTTGGAGCCCAGATGTTTTCCGGTTGGATGCCCTTGCTGTGCCGGTATGCGAGTACATTGTCGCTGGCGCACGCTTTGCACGGGTCTTGTGGCCTCCGCAGGTGGACAGCCGCAGACTGCGCGGCAGTAATGGACGCAGGCACTTATTACCAGGCTCCTACCCATCCTCGTCTATCGTGTTCTCGCTCCAATCCTATAGTGCTGTCCATCTAATCACCACCACATTTGTACAAAGGATACCAAGCACCCAGATGTTACTCGATTTCTTAGTTGTCTAGCCAAACGCATTATCTCGACTGTCTGAGCAAATCCCTAAGACGGTTTGTCAAAATTCTCAATCCCTATGAAGATGCAGTCGGGGCTATTGCCACACGTGCTGATGGATGACTAAGCGTGACGTCACTGATCAAGCGCCTGCGCAACGGTATCCGGGATTCGCCGGTGGGACTTGTACTGACGAGAACTGAACTGCTTCACCTTTGCTTGAGCATCCTTCGCATCTAGACCTTCCGTATAAGCATCAATGAACCTCCATGCACGATGCTCCCACTTCCGAATGAGCTCAACCGGCACGGAGGCCATGGCGGTGGGCATGTTGGCCCGGATTGTGTCGAAGCTGTAATCACAGTGCTCCCGCAACCAGCGCTTGACAATGCCCCAGAAGTACTCGATGAAGTTGATCTCGCAATGGTACTTCAGCAAGAAGATGCAGATGTGACCTGCATTGTGTATGTCAGGTCAAGTTTCACCAGGTCTGAAGGGACACTCTGACACTTGCCTTCGGCCTTGAGGATCTCCTCGACGAGTGACTTCTGCTTGCGGAAGTCATCCTGTACTGACAGAATCCGAGTTGCACAACAAGATGTGGCATCATCGGCACATTTGTTCGCCCCTCCACACTTCATCAGAAGTCCCTGGCGCCACAGTCCACGTTCCATGAGAATGTCCTTCATGCCGCGTGGCTCGTTTCTGTAATTTCCGCTTGCATCACCGTCCGGCCCGAATACCATCAGCTGTGCCACTCGCTGACCATCGCGCTCGTACCACCCCACTGTTACGGACACCATGCGTACGCCGGACCTTTTCCTCCATCCCTCGTTATCTCCGTCATGGACTACGCCTCGTGCCCTCAGGGGCTACTGTACTACCACTCCTATCTCTGCCTCATGCTGCTGCGCAGCCTCGTCCCGGACATGCACGTACCTCATGGCAACCTCACTACGACCTACCTCCTTACACGCCGTAGCCATGATGCGTACTGACTCGTATGGACTCGCTGTATACGTACCGTTACCTCACCCCTCACGGACCGCGGCCTCGAGGCCTTTGTACTTATAAGAGGGACAACGCAGCATAGCGCTCCCCATCTTTCGACCTCCTGTATAGCTACGTCCTCTGGCCTAGTGCCAATCTACTCTCTTGCTTGCCTTCTACCTCGCTCGCTCGCCAGTCCACTCGATAGTGCACTGTGCTTACTCGCGTCGGCATCAAGAGAACTCTCACAGACATAACCACTCGGCGTCTAGGCCTCGTTCCCGACGGAACTCGGACTTCGACGTAACATTAGGTCGAAAGATTGAACCCTCCACTTATTCAAGTGCAGAGGACCCATCTACCAGGACAGAAGGTTGCGAACTGCTCGATAGCAGAACACAATAGAAGAACAGGCACCACGGACTCCACACAGAACACCCAGGCTCGACAGGACACCCCTCGAGTACACCCACTCCCCATTATCCTCACACCAACCCCAGAGGAAAGACACGCAGCACAACTGCAAGGACCAGGACAGGAAGGCAGCGGTCACACCCTACCTATTAACGAGGAACACGAAGAAACACTCGTCGCCACATCAAACAGCGGAAGCTCGGACACATACCTCCATACGTTCTCTCGAGCGGTACAACAAGGGGTACAGAACTTTGAGATTCTCGCAGACCACCCACTCCTACTCGCGAGGTTCAACAAAGAGGATCTCCTGGACTTCGGTGGTCACCTGCGCGATCTCGAGAACATCATCAACGTACTCCCACAAGTTCCAGAAGCACCGCAGGACGCGCCAGACCACATCCAGCTTCCCCTGAACCACGCCGCTCCCATTCACGTCCTAACAGAGAGGCTCGAGTACGACATCAAGGACCTTGAAAACTTTGTCTTCGACCTCCCCAACAACCTCGTGCACCCGGAATACCTCGGAAGACTACAGGAGCTTCAAGAGTTCCGGACCGCGTTGGGAGTTATCCAAGACTACTTCCATGACTGAACCAGACACGGCTTGCAAGAATAGAATTCACGCATTCAATACCGACACCGGAAGAGACGTACATCACAATAACAGAACGTGGAGCAGCTGCACATCAGCAAGGTGCCCAGCCAGATACTGGAACACGCAAACGCTTCCAGCAGGAACGGACAACAAGTACAAGGCCTGTATCGAAGCACAGGAAAGAGCGATTACGAAAATATTCGGTCAACAGAGACCAATCTTCAAAGTCCCACAAACAGGAAGGATAGGAGCTACCAGAAGGACAACATCCAGTAATCAAAACACACCAAGGAGTTCACCACTATCAGTAGCAATCACCCCGCTACCAGATTTATCCGAACCAACCACCGAACCGGGACTGAGTACACGAGCCCAAGAAAAGGTTCCAGCTGGAGAAACCGAGAGCAACTTCTCAACCCACGCACGACCGCTCCCAGAAGAAGCGTACATGGCCACTCAAACCATGACAGAACCGACGGAAACGATACCAGACCCAGGATCAATATCATGACATCCCCCTACTCGCTCTCCGAGAACCTCGGGATTCACCACACCGGAGGACGAGATAGACACCAATAAACCCATAGGACAACAGCTTGAAAGAAAGCGTGAAGACATGGAAGAGCAAATACGCAAGATGAAAGAGAAGCTAGCCAAGATGGAAGAAGAAAGGGATCAAGCCGATTTTCACTTCTGACACCTCTCGGGAATCCGCCGACAAGCAGTCCCAAGCTACGCAATTGGGAGACCAACGGATGCAGGAGAATCGGCAGCGAGCCTCGCCACCATCACACTCCGCCCTCAAGCAGTCGTCCTTGACCCTATACCAGAAAGACACGATCCGAGGGGGAGAGGTCACCATCGTCACCGAAGGGGAGACCCAGATGACGAACCATCGGACGATGACAACCCTCAAGGCGACAGGAGGGGACGACAAGATCCAGACAGAAGAAGACCACAAGGACCCCCCGGTGGAGGAAATGACCCTCCAGAAGGAGGGGGAGGAGACGGATACCAAGGAGGAGGCCCCCCAGGAGGACCATTCGGAATACCAAGAGGCAAGGGCAAAGTCAAAGTACCAGAAGTATTCGACGGCACACGCGACAAACTCGACACTTTCGTCAAATCACTCCTCCTCATGTTCGACGCCCGCCCTATCAACTTCCCAGACGATCAAACAATGATCACCACCGCCCTCTCCTACATGGAAGGAGGGACGGCAGGAGTCTGGAAGACATCTATCCTACGCAATGCATGGGTCAGAAACGCGGCAGGGCGAAGGCAAGGCTACGGAACCTGGGACAACTTCCTCAACAAGCTCCAGATTACCTTTGCCCCTATCAATGAAGCTTTCGCCGCAGCCAATCAACTACGAATGCTCGGCAAGAAACAATTCGACTCCATCGACGATCTCAACGGAGAATTCATCCATCTCATACGCAAGTCGGGTATCACGGACCCACAAGCACAGCTCGGCTGGTACCAACAAGCATTGCCACCAGTCATCCGAGATAAGATTATGGGTCTACTCCCAGCGCCACCCGATCTCGAAGGATGGATGGGAAGAGCAGTGGATTCAGATCGCAACTGGAAGCTCAAGAAGGAGCTGGACAAGGCACTCGACCGACAACCCCGAAACAAAACCAGAGTTGTCAAGGCCACACGAACGGACAAGATAAACATCAACACACTGTCAGCCGAGGAACAGAAGGAATTGATGAATAAAGGACTCTGTTTCTTTTGCAAGAAGGGAAAACACCTCGCCAGGTTCTGCCCTAACAAGAAGAAGGGAAAACCTCAGCAGAAGATCAGAGAAGTCACCGTAGAAAACGAGGCCGAGGAAGAGGAGAGTGACGGAGATGTCCAAGTAAACGCAGCACGATTCGATGACGAACAGGATTTTTGAACAGGCAAGACGAGTCGACGCTGGACTTGCCTAGTACCCCCAGCTTTCATGTAACGCTAGTATCAAATACAGAGCGACGCAGGCACGCGCTCTTGCTCTCTGGTCACATGGAAGTGGGAAAAATCGCCGTCGAAATCAAAGAACTCCTCGATTCGGGAGCAGACGCAGTCATAGTCAATCAAAGACTGGTGGACAAATACAATCTCCCAACCGTCCAACTCCCCGTCCCCATACGATTCAGAAACGCGGACGACTCCATCAACAGTACAGGAAACATCACCCACCGAGTAGAAGGACATTTTCGACTCCAGAACAAACTACTGCCAAAAAATTGGTATGTCGCCAACATCGGACGAGACGACGTCATCTTTGGCATGCCATGGATAAGAAAATACAACCCAGCGATCGATTGGGAATCAGGACGAATAACCATCGACGCTACGCATATCAAGAAACAGCAGCAGATTGACAAACTACGACGAAGTCGACCAGCTCCAGAAGGGAGACTGTGGGGTTATCCACTCCAGGGCAAAGTACAGGACAGATTACTGGCCTATCTGGAGATAGATGAAGACAATGAAGGACTCACACACTACCCCTCCAAAATCATCCAGCGATTATACGAGACCGCACAAATCCAGAAGGTTACCAAGTCAGCGGAAATCGCAATCGAAGCAAGCAAAGCGAAAGTAGAGAAAACACTAGACGAAATACTACCAGACTTTGTGAAAGACTACCGACAACTATTCGAAAAGAAAGCGGCGGCACGATTCCCTCCAACACGACCATGGGACCATGCGATTGATCTCAAACCAGATTTTGATTTCAACAAGAGTCGTACATGGAACAAAATCTATCCTCTGACACTCACGGAACAAGATAAACTAGACAAGTTCATACACGAGAACCTAGAGAAAGGATACATCAAGAGGTCCAAGTCACCCATCGCGTCACCGTTCTTCTTCGTGACCAAAAAAGATGGTACACTACGACCTGTCCAAGACTATCGAGCACTCAATGAAGGCACTATCCGAAATGCGTACCCATTACCTCTCATCAGCGATCTCATGGACAAACTCAAAGGAGCAAACTTCTTTACTAAGTTGGATATACGGGCCGGATACAACAACATACGCATTAAAGAGGGGATCAGTGGAAGGCTGCCTTCATCACTCCTTCCAGTCTATTCGAACCTACGGTCATGTTCTTTGGCTTATGCAACGCCCCGGCAACTTTCCAAAGCATGATGAACGACTCGTTCGAAGACATGATTCGCGAAGGATGGATCGTAATCTATATGGACGACATTCTTATTTTCTCCCACCACATCAAAGAACATCACGAACGAACACTAAGAGTCCTCAAACGACTTGAAGAGTTGGACTTATTTGTCAAAGGAGAAAAATGCGAATTTGATGTCACCGAAGTCGAATTCGTAGGGTCTATCATAAGACCAAACCAAATCCTTATGGATCCAATCAAAGTCAAAGCAGTACTGGAATGGAAAACACCCAAGAAACTCAAGGAAGTACAAGCGTTTTTGGGTTTCGGCAATTTCTATCGACGATTCATCAAGGACTACTCAAAAGTGGCTAAACCACTCACGGCGCTTATAAAGAAGGACACACCATTTGTATGGAACGAGGAATGCGAAGCAGCTTTCCAAGAACTCAAGAATCGCTTCACCAACAGACCGATTCTACAAATGCCAGATCCACACAGACCGTTTCAAGTAGAGTGTGATGCATCGAAAGTCGCAACTGGAGCGGTACTCCGACAACAAGGACCAGACGGACTATGGCACCCTTGCGCCTATCTTTCCAAGTCGTTCACAGAAGCAGAACGGAACTATCAAATATATGATCGAGAACTACTGGCCATCGTACGGGCTTCAA